GAGCCGGCCGACTAGCACCGGATATTAAGATTTTCTGACGAGGTCACTGGCATGTAAATCCTCTATTTTATCAGTAACTCAAAATTAAGGAGAAGTAATTAAATTTTAGATGATCTCCTTCTTCGCCGGCACCTCCTACGGACCTGCAATGTGTGCCTGCGCCGCACTGTTGATACGGACGCGACTAGTGACTGTGAATCGATCAATCGAGTGCTTGCAGTTGCAGCAGCGGATAATGCATGGAATACACGCATGCATCGATCGATCACCCTCACACCCACTCTCTCTGGCTCGCCTATATCTATATCGATTGTACATCCTGGCGTGTCAACATGCGTGGGCGTATAATGTGGAGCACAGTGTATAATGTATAGTACTAGGAGCAATGCTCCGGTGCTTTCTACTTGTAGTATTATACTACAAGTAAAATTAATCCCGACCGTTCATTTTAAAGGGTAGATTAGTAATCTCCTAATATATATTAGGAGTAATTTTGGCCGGATCAATTTTCTCTGTCTCGGTCGGTCTTGGCTTGATCGCGTCAGGTCCGACGCAAGCACAACATCTCGCCCGACGCACGTTGCTAATCACTACTCCTCCCAGCACGCGGCGGCGCGGCGCGGCGCGGCGAAACCCTCAGGCGTCCCCTCCTCCCACCTCTCACCTGTCTATCCGTTCCCCCTCCTCTCCTGTATTCCACGCCGGCATCCTGGTTCGCCGTCGTGGCCTTCTGTCCGCTGCGAGTGGCCTTCCGCGCGCGTCCGATTCCACCGGAGCCCCTGCGCAAGACCTGAGATTCTTGGCAGTGCCCACTTTGGAGGATTCAATCCATTCCGCCGGCGGGTAGTGATCTCCATTCCGTGTTGCCCCGATTGTGTGGGCTGCGGCCACTTGGGAGGCAACTGCGATACATTCCGGCTCCCCGGTTCCCCTCCGTGCGTGCCCGAGTCTTGTGGCTTGCATGGCGAGCACCTCCTCGACCGCGAGCAAGGCATGAGATTCAGAATATGCAACAGTGTCGCTCGCTGCGTGCTGCCGTGGAAGGCGTCGCCGGCGAACCTGATAGACCGCAATGCTCAGAGGTTTCAGCACATCCGTGCTCTCGGCGGCGTCAGGACACTGGATCGGGCGCTGAACGATGCATGCGGCATACCCGATCTGCTAGCTCAGGATGGTGGCCGGCGATGATGTCCGCACGCTCTCCTGCGGGCATGACTTCCACGAGGATTGCAACACTGCAAAGTGGTTCAGTGACAACAAGAAGGCCTGCCCAGTTCATTCTGCTTGTAATATTCAGTTGTATGGTGTTATGTGTCGAATACTTCATTGACTAATTGACGAGGTTTGAGATATTGTTGTTTATTGGATCTTGTGACTGTCCCAATATATTCATTGTTCAGTAATGGTTCAAGTAAAAAAGAAAAGGTGAATAGTGAGGGACTACTAGTAATGTCAATGTGTTGACCATGTCAGTGTGTTGTGCATTTTTTTGTGTGCAACTGTGATGGGGTGAGAAGAGTCCAGGCAATTTGAACTGAAATATGCCATCCTGCTCCTGGATCAGTAAACAAGTTGTTTTGCTCCTGAAAAAGTGAGACTGAAAAAATCTGATAAACTGCTTAAATGAGATTTTTCACTATCAGAGTTTTGCCCATATGTAAATTGCATTTCAGTCAGAGCTGTAATTCAGGATTTGTTTTATATTTCATACCATTGAAACATCTAATTGCATTTTGTCATATTCTGGTGCTCTGAATCATCGCTACATGATTCCTTTCTTTTGCTCATATGGGGGTAGCTAAGCGCTCAATTGCCACTAGATTGAATTTTTTTTTCAAGTCATAGGACAATGTCTACTAATGGGGGCTTAGAACATCTTGATTCACTCTTTGCTGCAAACTCCCTGGTCTACTGTCGTGTTTATGCAAAAGCATTTGCATTAGCTCCGCGGCAGCTAGTGAAGTCATGCACAGTCCCTATTCATGTAGCATCCAAACGCCTCATTCCCAAGTCCCTTAGCCGCTCGTACGGTCGCCGGCGGCGACCAAATGCCACCGCCTCACTCGAGCTCCGCCACCGCACATCGCCGGCTGCCGTAGCTCATTTCTTAGACAATCCGAGCCGTCCACCACATCCCCATACTACACTCGTTCATTCACAGTTGCCCATTCCTCCTACCTCGCAGCCGTTCGCCGGAACCCGTCGAACGTCGTCCGCTGTCCAATTGCCCGGCTATCTCCTCTGTCTTGGTCAAAGCTACATGGCAGGACTAGTCGTCCGCCGTGGGCAAGGACCTTCAGCGGCTCGGCGAAGAGGAGAAGGGCCACCCTTGGTCGCTAGAGAGGGAGGAGATGTCGATCGCGCTGGAGATGATGGAGGCGGAGAGGGAGATGCACAGGCGACGAAGTCGACGATGGATGGGGTCAGGCGCTTGAGAAGGGCGAAGGTGTAGAGTTACTGAATAATAATTTACAATAATACCCTTACGTGAATTATTATCTATGAACAAATATACCCCTCCATGTTTCTACTACCACTAAGCGTGGTGGTAGTAGAACTAGATCTCAACCTGACGATTATATACGATCAACGGCTCAGATTATTTTCTACTACAAGTAGAAAGCACCGGAGTGAGGCTCATAGTACTAGTATTTGTCTAGTAGACTACGTCTATACTAGTTACTCTGCTGAGTACTACTGTTACTGTTGATCGATGGTTGAGATGCCGTTTTGCCCCTATGTTGTTACGCTAACGCACTGTTTGTGTCACTGTTATCAGGCCCGACTAGCTAGTTAAAGTATATAGACGTATATGTGCATCTACTTTGGCGTGCCAATTAATCCACCCGTGTCCGTGTCCGTTTTTATGCTGCACAGTTTATTTACTGTCAAGTGTATCTGTCAGCTGTAACGCTAGCTTAATACAGTTCCCCTGCTAAATCAGTTTTTATTGAGACCCTACCAAATCAGTTAGAGCAATGCTCCGGTGCTTTCTACTGGTAGTATTATACTACGAGTAGAACTAATCTGAACCGTCTATTTTTAAGGGTAGATTAGTAAAGTTCTGAGATAGATTTGGGATAAATTTGGCACTTAATTTATTTCTCGTCGTGGATCGCTCGGATGTTTCAGGAAAAGCAGCGCTGCCACCGCTTCCTCATCCATCGCATTCGAGCGGAGGTGGAGAGAGCGACTCCTTCCGCTGCCGGCGCTTGTGCATCACGTTCCCTTCCGCCGGCGGCAATACTCTCCGGCGCCCCCTCTTGTTCTGTTCCCTTCTCTGCCGGCGTCCGCTTCCCCGCCGCAGGAGCTTCTGGCGCCGCCCTGACGACTTCCGGCGTGCGCACAGGGGCGGTGGTGCAGAGGAGCCCCGCATGGTTCTACCTCCTCTCGCGCGACGCCGCCGGCGGCGGCGGCAACTGCGACGACAGCTACAGGCGTGCGTGGAGCCGGCTGTTGAGGAGGCTGGTGCGGGAGAGTAGGAGTTTCTGTAGCCTCAGCATCAGCAGGCACGGTAATGTTAATTTTCGTGGATGACTTCACCAGAATCAAGAATCTGATTCTGAATCTGAATAAGAATTTAATTTGGACATGGACAGTATGCTCTATTGCTATACCAGAATCAAGAACCTGAATTTGCTATGAAAAGAAGTAGCTAAACTTCCGTGAGCCTGGTCCATTAAATTTGTGGTTTGCTTCCTCTTTACCCGAGCTAATGTAACGTGAATAGGGCCATCTCGCTGGAATTCTGCGTGAAACCCATTCCAGCGATCCAGTTCATGAAGCTTCCCCTTGCGAGTCGTCGCGGTGGCGAGCGGGTGGCGGTGGTGACATGGATGGCCAGCAGGAGGAGCAGCACGCGGGGCGGCGGCAGCTGGAGCCCGGGAAAGACGAAAATATCCCTATGCAAATAATTTTTTATGGACAAAAATATCCCTCTACAATTCTACTATCATTAAGTGTGATGGTAGTAGAAATAGATCTGAACCCTATGATCAAATGAGATCAACGGTTCAGATTATTTTCTACTACAAGTAGAAGGCACCGGAGTGGATCTCAATCAGTTAAGACTTTTAAGTTGCCAAATCAGTTAAGACTTCTGAGTTAGGCAGGGCGCGCCTCGGTAGTTCTGTTCTGTACACGCCGAGTCGCTGGAATTTTTTTCATTTTTAAATTTTTACTTTTTAATATTTACAGAAATATTGTACCATCCAAAATATTTACAGAAATGGCCCCTGCCGCTCAAGTGGAGGGCGTCAAGGTGTGCGCATGTTGCACTGAGATCCCTTGCCGCCCTCTACAAGGGTTGCAAGGGGGCAAATGTAATTTCGCTATGCTAAAAATGTATTTTTCTAGTTTTTTTTTCATCTTATGCGTCCCTCACGTCACCCTGCCGCCCTCCCCGAGGGCTGCAGGGTCTACTTCTGTAAATATTTTCACCGGTACAATATTTCTGTAAATATTAAAAAAATAAAAATTTAAAAATGAAAAAAATTCGAGTCGCTGACCGTCTCGTACTTTCGCTCGGCCTGTTTGACATCCACTGGCATTCTACACGGGCTCATTTTCCGGCCCAGCTAGGACGGTGCGTTTGGACGGGCCCGGCTTAGAGTTTTGGGCTGGCCCGTTTGGCCCGCACGAGTTGTGGTCCGTTTTGGCACGAGGGTTTTGAGTTTATTTTCTTTTTCATGGTATATATATCTTGCTGGCTGAAAAATATGTGCTGGGGTCAGCCATCGGAAGAAAAGATCAACTTGGTCGAGTAGGCTGCTGCGATTGTAGTACACGCAAGCAGCATCTCTGGAAACGAAGAAACTGTCGTCTTACGGCGGTTACAGCTGAAAACCAACTGTTTTTGAAAGAAATTCATGAGAATTCAAACATGAACATGTAACGTTTCGTATGGTTCATAGATAGAGTCAACGCCCGGACTCCCCAAGGTTGAACGTATTCTCACTCTATTACATCGACCTACCAACTCTTTTTTTTATTATAAAAAAAACAAAAACAAAAGCTTCGAAACGCAAAAGTCGCCTCTTTCCTTCTCCGTTCAAAGCAAGCCCACCTCGTTCCTCCTCCTTTACACCTTCCTCTTTTCCATCATCTGCACGCGTTCGTCCAAACTCCGAAACAAGAAAGCTCAAACTCGATTTCGAAATTTTCGAAGCCCCAATTCTCTCCTCCCACACGCGGAATCGATCAGCGCAGCGCAGGGTAGGCTAGGCGTCGGCGTGCTGTGATGGCGCCGGTGGTGTCGGCGCTGGCCAAGTACAAGCTGGTGTTCCTCGGCGACCAGGCGGTGGGGAAGACGGCCATCATCACCCGCTTCATGTACGACAAGTTCGACGCCACCTACCAGGTTCGTTGATGTCGCGCGCGTCCCCGATCGATCGATCTTACGCGCTGGAGAGAGTTCCAGTTTTTTTTCTTTTTTGGGCAAGGTTTGTTCGATGAATTTGACGGTGTTCATGTTGTTGCGGCGGCGGCGGCGGCGTGCAGGCGACGATCGGGATCGATTTCCTCTCCAAGACGATGTACCTCGAAGACCGAACCGTACGGCTGCAGCTTTGGTATCTGAGATTCTGAAAACTCTCTCTCTTTGTTTTTCCCCTATCATCATACTCTGCTTATCAAGCTTGTCCTGCTTACGAGAATTCAGTTGGTGCAGCTTAGCTGCTGTTACTTGTCCGATCACCGATTTTACTCTGCACAACCTGCTTTATTACCATATAATCCTAGTGCCTACTAGTTTCGAAGTCTTGATTTTTAGTCTCAGTTCCACCCTCAATTACGTTGATTTCGTTTTGCTGATGGAGGCAATATTAATGCTCAATTGTTGCCCTTTTTTTATCCTTTCCTGGTGAACTGAAATCACGCGCACAAGACAATTCAGCTAGTGAAAACTGGGAGGTTTTCAGCTAGTAAAAACCGGGAGAGTTTTATGGTGATGATAATGTGCAGGGATACAGCTGGGCAGGAGAGGTTCCGGAGCTTGATCCCAAGTTACATCAGGGATTCTTCTGTGGCAGTGATTGTTTACGATGTGACTGGCAAGTTAACTTCATCTACACCCTTTTCTCTCTGCTGTTGTAACTAGAAAGAATTTGTGATCCTTTGCCCTCCAGTGCTCTTGTAAACTACAGTGCTTTTGCTCTAACAAGGTTGGCACCTATTCTGAACATGTCACTGAATCAGGGATTGGCGAATTGCCGATACCCTTGGAATACAAATTTATCAGAAAATATAATATAATCCACTGTATATTTGTTTTGTGGTCTCATATCGTCCTTGTTTTCAGACAGGCAGTCCTTTTTGAGTATATCGAAGTGGATTGAAGAGGTAAATACACAACGAGGCGGAGATGTGATCATCGTCCTTGTTGGAAATAAAACAGACCTTGTTGACAAGAGGTTAGTATCTGTCGGTATTTAGTTCTTAAATCAGCAGTTCATTAAGTTTACATAAAAGTACCAGCTGCTCCCAAAATTAAATAGATCCTCTGTTCTGTTCTGATGGATAGTATTCACTGATCAAATGAAATAACGATATAACTCTGTCTTCAATTTGACAATTTTAATTCAATCTTCTGGTCTTGGTAATGTCCACACGTCAACAAAGTACGAAATATCATTTTGGCTAATACTCCCTCCATTTTTAAAATACAAAACACTGTTGAGTTTTTGACATACGTTCACCATTAGTTTATTCAAAAGAAATTATATAATTATCATTTATTTTATAACTTGATTTATGGTCAAATGTTTTTTTAAGCATAACTCGAATTTTTTTATATTTTCACACAAAAAAATTTGAATAATGACTTGATTTATCGTTAAATGTTCTTTAAGTATGACTTAATTTTTTATTAAAAATGAATAATGACTTGATTTATGGTTAAATGTTATTTAAGCATGACTTGATTTTTTTATTTTTTAAAAAAAATTGAATAAGACGAAAGATAATTATTTTTTTAAAAAAAAAAGTCAACGGTGTGATATATTAAAAAATTGAGGTATATCAGTTAACCTACTCCTTTCTGTCGATTGGAATGTCAACAGGCAAATATCCACTGACGAAGGAGAAGCCAAGGCACAGGAGCACGGCGCCATGTTCATGGAAACCAGCGCAAAAGCTGGATTCAACATCAAGGTCTCCAGCCTTTACTTTGTTTCACTTTGACAAGCAAATCTACCACTGTTCTTGTCCATCATTGCTCAAAACACCTGATGGTAACTGATTGAAAACTTGAACCACAGCCACTGTTTCGCAAGATCGCTGCATCGCTGCCTGGAATGGAGGCGCTCTCATCGGCAAAGCAGGAAGACATGGTGGACATAAACCTACGGCCTGCTGCCTCCGGGCAAATACCTTCAGGGGCAGAAGCACAAGAAGAACAGAAAGCAGGCGGTTGTTCCTGCTGAGAGTTTTGTATTCAGGGAAATCGAGGTCGCTTCAGAGTTCAGACTTCAAATTAGTACACACAGTGAATTTCAGGTAGCTTGGATTGTCAGTGCCGATTCGAGTATAGAGAATATTTATGTGTAATTTTTAACAGCGGCATCTAGGTTTGAAACAGACAAAAATTCCCTGAAGTTTCTATGTTTTATACCGCATAATCTATGGCCAAAGCACCCCAAAAAGGGTAAAATAAAATAAAAATCGCCGTTGCCGGGGATCGAACCCGGGTCACCCGCGTGACAGGCGGGAATACTCACCACTATACTACAACGACATTATGTGCCGGACAAAGAACTGTAATTGTCCTTAATTTTGGAAAAAAATAAACATGCTTATATAGAAAACCTATCTGTAATTCTGTACTGAAGTTTTTTAAAAAGTAAATTTCAGAGAACCTATAAGTTGTGCCAAAAGTTTAAAATACCATATATATTAGGATATATTATGATTTGTGGCAACCATAAACGGATAGCTACATATAAAATCAAACTAAAGTGAGTATTCTCTATAACAAAAAAGTGGGCAACAAATTTAACATAACTCTAAATGGTTAGTTGCGTATAAAATCAAACTAAAGTGAGTATTCTCTATAACAAAAAGAGGTCAACAAATTTAACATTACATACCAACTAACTATAAATGGATAGTTACATATAAAATCAAACTAAGGTGAGTATTCTCTATAACAAAAAGACGGAAACAAATTTCATGAAAATTATGATTTTATTTATTTTAGGCAATACTATGATATTTTTTTTTCCTTCTAGTCGTATCAAAGCACAAGAACTTAGCTTTAGGATTATGAAATAATATTTCATTTAAATCTCAATTAGTTTTAGGATATATGAAACAATACTTTTTAAAGTAGTGAAGAGTCGTTAAAAACCAACTGCCTTAATCAAGAAATGAATAATTAAAATTTTCATAAACACTTTATATTTTCAAATTTTAAGTAAACAGCTACTGTACTTTACATGTATTGGGGTGGGCCATAATATATAGGGTCATACACCACTAGTCATAATATTTAGGGTGCTATGTAACTATTGACTATAAAACATGGGTTCTCTAAAATATATTCATTCATTAATTAATTATTTTGTGATGTGCTTGACTTGAAAATATCTCACTACATTTTATTTATTAACTATTTGTGCTCCTCCCATCAGCGACTCCATGGCCCAATGGATAAGGCGCTGGTCTACGGAACCAGAGATTCTGGGTTCGATCCCCAGTGGAGTCGTTCTTCTTTTTATTCACTCTCTTTATCTGTTTTTTTTTTTAAAAAAAAAAATTTCTGTTGTCAACACTTTACATTGTAAGCATTGCCTTTGCATCCAAAGTAGGTGGTTGACTATACACAAAGCACACGAAAGTCACGTTCATCTTGGATTCATTTCCCCATCTATGGCCGTGTTTAGATTAAAAAACTTTTAGCCAAAAATCACATCAAATATTTGACACATATATGGGACATTAAATGTGGGAGAAAAAGCCAATTGCACAGTTCGCATGTAATTGTGAGACGACGCCATGATTTCATAATATGATGTTATAGTAAACATTTGCTAATAACAAATTAATTAGGCTTAATAAATTCGTCTCGCAGTTTACAAGCGGAATCTGTAATTTGTTTTGTTATTATTCTACGTTTAATACTTCAAATGTGTGTCTATATACTTTAAAAACTTTACGCCAAAAAAACTAGGGAAAATTGGAACGCAAAATTATAATGGCATGGTTCCAATTTTCCAAAAAAAAAAAAAAAACTAAACACACCCTATATGCATCAGCCGGCTAAAATGCCAATTCAAAGGGATACCAGAGTGAAACAGTCATGACTCCGTGAGCGTCAGGATTCAGGGTACCTTTGCATAGCAAGAAGTCGTACTTACACATAAAACAAATGCCAAGTCAAAGGGATACCAGAGTGAAACAGTCATGACTCCATGAGCGTCAGGATTCAGGATTTCAGGGTACCTTTGCATAGCAAGAAGTCGTACTTACTCACAAAACACTACTTACACACAAAACACCAGAAGTACGTTCGACGAGAGTGAAGCATGCCAATTTCTCCGACCCACACAACATTTCCAACGATGACTTGAGATGTTTTGGAAAGTGTACTCTTACCAAAACGCATAATTTTAGTTCGTTCGTTCAAAAGAAAAGTTCAAAATTTAAATACCTTGAGATGTTTTCTCAAGTACCTAAAATTTGTCTACCAAAATATGGTGACGAGGCAAATTTCTCTACCAAAATATGGTGATGAGTCACTCTTCACAGTTCAAAGTCCCAATAGCACAAGCATCTATTTCATTTAACCAAATTGAAGAGGAAATGCTCTTGGAAGATGCAACTATGTAATATAACACAGGTATGACAACTTTGACGAAATGTAATGGTCACTCCGTTTAGCACAACCAAAAAGAGTATTACAGAAGATACAGAACAGGCAGTTCAGAAAGAACTAGAAATTTTAAAGAAAATACAACGCTACAGCGTTGCCGGCGTGCTGCAAAAACTACATGACGATTCTACAGCCTGGTTATAACCTATAACCAAAACCACCTCCTGAACTCCGAAGCTTGTATGGCAGATACATTATAGTTTAACAGCTAGTGCACATAAATAAACAACAAAGCCTTCTAGGTACCACAGATTGTACACATCTCATCTCCTGGAGAGGGCACTAGGCATTCACTTGCAACCTTCTTGGTACCACAGATTGTACACATCCCATCTCTTTCTTACCTCCTAGAGAGGACTTTAGAGATTCTCTTACAACAGGGATTGGTCCGAATAGCTTCCTCATGGGGGAGGATTGCGTTAACAAGAGCGCTGCGGAGATGGCCCTATCAAGAACAGTAAGATTAGAAGATGTTGAACATAATGCGCTGTCAAATTCAAAAGAACTAGTACTTACCCTGGTCTGCACAAGAGCCGTATGAATGACATAGTTTGCGTAAGGGTCTTGCAGCAGTTGCTCAAAATGGGAGGCTGAGATTAATTCCCATATTATGGCAGCTTTGTCATCATCTGGGAAAACCTTCAAGCATTTCTCCACCACATTGCTGCCCACCTTTTGCTTCGAAAGATACACATAATTTCCTTGAAACAGAGATGCCAGCTGTGCATTTGCAAAAGGAATTTTCAGATCCAGGACATATTGGATCACATAATTCCTGTAATAAGGGGAAACAGGAAAGAATTTTAGTTTGTGGATTTACATGTCAGCGAACATCATAAAAATATCAATAAACTAATCTCAAAGTACGAACATAAATAAAAATCCTTTATGTGGAGTCCTTGACTAATGACTACAAGATAGATTTGGTTGCAGATGTTTTCAACTCAAGTCAGCAAAGAGTACACGTTAAAACATTCAGAGAATTCTTGTAGTGAGTGTCAGCACCGTCATAAATGATCTGTTTGTGAGATGCAACAGATTACGTCAAGCACTGAGAATTTAACATGCATATATACATGAGTTATGAGTAATTTTTCAACAACACGTGTGAATGGCTAAGCTGCTATCAGAGTGGTTTGGGATGTTCAGAAGTTTTGAATTGTTATACATAATTGTCAAACAGAAAAAATAGCTTTTTAATGTGAGAAATGAGCTACAGCATTAAAAAGAAATAAAGCACTGACATGGTATATGGATAATCTACATTTTGAAGTTCTAATTCATATACAAGTGTTGAGGAAGTAGGAACATTTCAAGAAGCTACATACATACTGTAGGACTAACTCAGTACATAGGTGTTAGAGAACAAAATTTGGCCAAAATTTTAAAACTTCCATCATTTATTTTATATTAGAACAAATTTATAAAATCTATTAATGTGTTTACACTTACCAATTGTTATGTTTTTAAACTAAGTATTTGAGAAATTATTGAAGATCAAAGATTTAAAGGTCATCAAATATTAAGAACCAGAGGGAGTACTAGACAGACAAATACAGTTTTAGAAACAAGCACAAAGTAGTAATTTCAACTCAGCAGTACATTATAAGATGCCTAACAATGAGAAAAGGTTTACCCAAATTGATCTTGAGCAAGATATAAGCCATCAGCACATATTTGCATAATTAACTTGATTTGATATTCACCATATGCATTTGATATGCAACTTTGTAACACACAGCAGCCATGGCGATTTATAGCCATTTCAACACAATGGGTTGCAGCAGCTTCAAATATGAACTGTTAAAAGAGAGTAAAGATCTTCACACATATTTTTTTGCAGAAGAATTTCATAAATTCCACACAGAATAGTGACTTCTCTGAATTTTCAACAAGAGCCAACAACTATGGAACTGAACTAGTGAACTTTATAACACAATATCTGTTCTCTAACAGAAGACATTGAGATATTTATCAATTGTTAAGAGATTGTATTTGCTCCATGAGCAAGTTTCTATGTAAACAGTATGAATATGTTTGTTCCTATAATTTTTCTAAGTCAAACTTCTTTAAGTTGACCAAGTTTATAGAAAGATATAGTGACATCTACAACACCAAATTACTTTACTTCAATCTGATAGAGTATCGATGCAAGTTTCAGAACATGATGCTAGGTATAGCTACAGTTTCAGAAATGTTTTGCTCCAGATTGAGAAAATTGTATGCAGACTGAGAAAATTGTATGGGATAGGACACAGCCAATAAATTCCATGTGTTTAGAATGTTGCTCTAACTTATGGTGTGCAACTGTCAAAACTACAACAGATAATTCTCAAATCAATGGCATAACAAGTAGTAGTCAAGAAGAGTTAACAAAAATCAGTTTGCAAACTAGATATTTGCCAAAGTACCTTGTTCTCTTCTGCATCAAAATTTTTCAGGCATTTTTGTATAACATGATTACCATTAGGATCATTGACAAGATGAATAAAGCCTGGTTGTAGAGCCGAAATAATGAGCATGATCTGCTTCCTGGTTTTAACAGTCTCAATCAATTTCTGTATCGACCTTGTCCTGAAATAAATGAAAAGAAATCATCACCATTCATTGTGTCCAGTAGCTATTACAATGTTAGCATCAAAGTACACTTGGTCCTGCCTAAAGTTACAACATTCTCCAATCAACAATCGGCGCTTTCTTTTAGTAAGTTAATAATGGCAGATCATATTGAAGTACATATCAGTTTTTAACAAAAGATCATTACCCGTGCGAGTTTAGAGAGACTCTCAGCAGCTTCACAGGGTCCTCAGTCAGTACAGCAATAATTCTCAGCCTCTGCTCCTCATCACACACATCTAGTAGTTTCTGTACAAGATAATTTGCAAACGAGTTGGCCATAAGTTCAGGAATGTGGTCGATGATACCTTCAAATATCAGATCGGCTTGATCTTTCCCTTCCTCAAACTTTTGTTGCAAGAACCGGCACCCATTCTGGTCCTTGGCCATGAAGTAGATATAGCCCTTGGCTCCAACCATGTTCTCATACCTCAGCATCCTAGGACTCTCCAGCTCAACTATGTTCTCATACATCAGCATACCAGGACTCCCCAGCTCAACTGACCTATTGTTGACATGCTGCTGAAATCTCCTCTCCTTTGCACGGTTCAGAAAAGGCACATTCTTCCTCCCATCACAAAATGGCTCCATTTGATTGAAACCACCTTTCATGTACCCAATGTCTCTCGCTGCTGCAACACTGTATTCGTAGGGCGATTTTGGCAAACTTCTGCCACGGGAGTCCAGGGAAATCTGACCCGTACCAGCGTACCCCCAGTTGTGTTCTGCACCAGACTGTCCAGGAAGCAAGACCGGTCGAGCATGATCAGGGTGCACTAGCCCTTGTTCCCAACCAATGCCGGAGCTGTTCCTAGTCCTAGTGTACATGAAGCTGCCAACACTGGTACCCAAGCTTGGAGGGAAGCCGCCGTAGCCATCCAAGCCGACGTCCACTGGAAAGCACTGAGATGGGGCGACATAACCGGACGCCATGGCCTGATCAGCTAATACGCCGGGCTCATGGTGAAGCGAGTAACCCGGCTCCCCAAAGTTGTAGCCATTGTTATACGCACCGTGCACCGCGGAGACATCTGGCAGGTACACGTTCTTGGCGGCGGACGCCGGCGAGCCCTGCGGCGGCATGAGCGCTGCGGCGAGCGCGTCCGCGGCGGGCGCGTCCCCGACAAGCAAGCCGTCGAGCTGGCTCGCCAGCCTCTCCGTGTCCTCGTCGGTCGTCGCCTGCACCATCGGCGACGGCGAGCGGCCGACGAACCGGTCCGACCCCGGCGACGGCGCGCTACCGGCGGACGTGCTCGACGCCGGCGACGACGCGAAGCCCCCCGATAGCGGCACGTGGATGGCGCCGCGAGCGCCGCCCTGCTGGCCACCACCATCGTCGCGACGGTTCAAGACCAGGGGGAAGCACGGATCCCCGCCGTAGCGCGCGGGCGCCCCCGCGTGCGCATGGTAACGCGTAGGTCCATGCAAGCCGTAGCACTGGGCAGCACCACCACCACCACCGCCGCCGCCGCCACGGCCACCGCGCTGCCCATGCGGCGCGGTGACCTGAGGGATCTCGCTGAGCAGCAACTCCATCTCCCTCTCCTCCGCCGCCGCCGCCGCCACCACCTTCGCACACATCATCGCCACCACAGATCAAACCACCCAAAAGATCAACCCAACCCAAAAAAGAAAACCCCACCGCAAAATCCGGTCAGATCAAAACTCCCTGGACTGAATCAAGAGTGGGGAGACGGCCAATCCGCAGATCGCGTAGACTCGGAGAAGGGGGGAAATCAAATCAATCGGGAGCAAGCAGCTAGAGCATTGGGAGGCGGAGGAGGAGGGGGAGGTGGAGAGGCCGGTGAGGCATGCAAAAGGGGAGATGCGCCGTGCCGCACTAGCGGCGGGGGGGTTTATATAGCCCCCCAACCCCCCCGAGATGCCTGGGGTTGCCTCCGCTCCGCGGCCGATATACGCGTATAACGATACAATCCGTTATTATACGGCGTTGCACGTACACATACGGTTGAGGTGATGAGAACAAAATATCTGAGATCTTTCTATCGGAATTTTCGAGTTTGTAGGAGGCATCAGACCTGAAGATTATTACTGTTTTACAAGATTCAGCTAACATATGCTTGGCATCTAAAACGTGATTCACGATTTTTGTTTGAAAAATATATTTACTGATGAGAAGCCTAACATGAAGGAGAGGCTTTTGGCGATAGTATGTGAATAGCCGCGTGCTGAGTTTTGTGCTAAATTCTATAGTAAGAAATATATTATAAACCAAAACTTTATCATACATCGAAAAAAAAATACATCAATGATTACCTATATATCAATATTATAGTATTTGGTATCACGTAAAGACTATGTGTGTAGTTTTTGGCGGGATAATTACGACCACTCGTAATTAAGCTGATGCATAACACACGATATGTGGGCCCTTGCCCTTCCGTACCAAGGGGTATCTTGCCTCATACTAAATTGTCTAATATAAATATTATGAGTTCTATTGGACCTAAATAATTTAAGGGACCTTTAATTTATAGAAAAAATATAGAAAATTTAAAAGATTTCATTCATATGAAAAGAAACCCTATGAAAACCTTAGAAACAAAGGATTGAATTATATCATATCCTTCAAAATTCCTATGAAATGGGCAATCCTCTTAAAATAATTCCTTTAAATCTATCATCTCATCTGATTCATATGTTTTTCCTGTGATCCAATCAAAATGTCATTTCTGTGTTTTACAATTCTCTGTTTTATATTTATATTTATGTTAGAATCATATATTTTTTCTATTTCTCGGTTTTTCCATTCTTATGATTCAAAGGCTAAAGTTAGTATGGAGACATCGAATTGTCCTCTCAAAGGCTCATATAGCATATATCATGAGTTCTTAACCCTGCCCTGAGTATTTTATAGAAGGATTTTCCGCCTAAGTACAGATTATCCAATGATTATTTAGCGCTCCTTAAAATTAGTGGATTATCATGGTCCAGAAAATCTCCGCGAGAAGAGCCTCATTTTCTGGCAATCAAACACAGTACTCCTTTTATATATAACTTTTCTTATATATACAGGTAGCTTTTAAAAATAATGGAACAACAATCCAATTCACTGGACCGTACCATGCGTATAGGTGATGCTAAATCTACTGGTGGAAAATTAGGAGGCGCGGTTGGATATATGACTAGGGTGGTTTACTACATTTCCAACCTATCAATTTATCAATTTTTCGTGAGGAATAACCAATACCTTACCAGGATTCAACATCTATCTATCACCTACACACACAAAAAAAAAACAACAACAAACCACACATACCCACATATGACTCCTACAGTCTTAACTTTACCAAAACTCATGGTATGAATCCTTACTAAAATTTAGCTACATTAACTTTTGGAAAGGTTTAATTTGTCCCTAAAACGAGACATACCTGGAGTAAACCCTGATAACCATAGTAAAAAAAGCCGGACCGGTAAGTGATCCGGCCAACCTCTCGGTTCAACGGTCCACCGGTCCAACCAGTGACTCGGGCGGTCGAACCGCGGTTCACAAAGTACATGTATATTACATATTCACTTATATACACATGTTGTTGGATGGCCTGATGGCTAGCTCTTTGCTCTTGTAACCTTTGGACCCAGGTTTGAATCCCACGTAGCGCACCATTTCTTGCTATTTTTGCCAAAAAAAAAAAAAGACCACCAGCTGCACCAAATGGGCCTTTAAACAGCCGACTGTGGCCCATTAGTATGGCTAGCCGGTCCAACCAGTGCCGGTTTAGTGTCCGGTTCACCGAAAACCGGCCGGTTCATCTGGTTCAGAGCGGTTCGATTGCATGTTCGGTCTTTAAAGGAAACCGAACCGTGGTCACCTCTGGTTCCGATTTTTTCCGGTCGAACCGCCGGTCCGGTCCGGTTTTTTCCACTGTATGCTGATAACAGGACTCAGGCCAGGCACTCAGGCAGACTCAGCCCAACCAACTTTTACCAGATTTCACAAAGTTGGGCTCATCCCTGGATTTACAGCCCACAAGCTTTGCTGGGCCGGGCTTGGTTCTATTGGGCTGGGCCGAAAACGAATTTAGTGAACAAATCCCAAGCTCCGAACCCACCCACCACGTACGTACGCCGTCGGGCGGGCGCCGCGTCCGGCGACATGCAACCCGGCAAGGCGCCACCATCCAACAATAGGAGGGGAGTCGCTAAAAGCGTGTGCCGTTGGCGCGCACGGGCGGTCCCCTTTTCCCTCCAAATCGCCCGCGCGCCACCCGCCCCCGCCTGATGCGACGCCCTCCGCCACCTCGTTCTTCGCCTCTCCCTGCGCCTCCTCCCCTCCCCGCCTCGTCGTCTCTCCCATGGCGGAGAGGAGGGCCCTCCCCCCGCCCGTGCCACCCGCCTCGCCCGACCCCGCCGCCTCCTCCGGCGCCGTCTCCACCGCCTTCGGCTCCCCGCTCGACCCCGTCGCCGCGCGCCCGCACCAGCCGCGCGACACGTACGTCGTCCACGTCCAGAAGGACCAGGTATACCGCGTCCCGCCGCCCGAGAACGCCTACCTCGCCGAGCGGTACCGCGCGGAGGGCGGCGGCGGCGGCGGCGGGAAGGGCGGCGCGTGCTCCCCGTGCGCCCTGCGCACGCTCGGCGCGGTCCTCGCCGCCGCGCTGCTCCTCGGCGCCGCCGCCGCGCTGTCCGCCGTCGTGCTGCGGCCGGACGCGCCGAGCTTCGTCGTCGACAACCTCTCCGTGCACACCAACGCGTCGCGGCAGCACCACGTGGCCTACGACTTCTTCCTCACGGCGATCAACCCGAACAAGGTGACCGCGCTGTGGTATGGCGGCCGCGGCACGGCGAGGCTGGCGCACAAGGGCAACGCCCTGGCGAAGGGCGGCGTCGGGGAGCCCGAGGACGGCGGGGAGGACGCCATGGGCTTCAACGTGCTGCTCCACGGGACGCAGCGCGACGGCCGCACGCCCAGGGCGGTGGAGAAGGCGCTCCGCGGCTCCAAGGGCGCCGTGACGCTCGACCTCGCCGTCGAGTTCGCCGTGCAGGTGCACGCCGGCGCGCTCGGCTTCGAGCGGAGGACGCTGGCCGTGTCGTGCCACATCACCGCCGCCGGGCTGAGGAAAGACGTGCACATCTCCTCGCAAACGTGCAAGAGCCGCTTTGGAAACTGACGACATGTACAACGAGCTTGGATAGGGTCATACGAATTCGTGTAAAAATTGCCAGACTCTTTGATGAGATTTGCGTGTAAATTGTTTACGAACCAAATTCTGGGACTTGACTTGGCGTGAATTTTGGACAAATGTTCTCAAGCTTATGTTCAACTCGGGGACTAAAGCATCGATTCAATTACACGCTGGGCTAGGCTGGACTCCGCTCCGTTTGGAAGTAGCTATAGTACTTTTGACAAATTTTCAGTTAGAAAACCTCTAAATATAAGTATAGTATGATTATAGGTGTAGTTATGTTGTAACTAAGACTGTAATTACATTGTAACTTATATATAAATAGCATGTAATTACATGAAAAGCGTTCGTGGCCAAGTGGTTAGCCCACGCAGGCTCTGTATCTAAGGTCGCAGGATTGATTCCCTTCCTCGTGTGGGCAGTGTGATCTTTTTTCCTCACGCCGATCTGCACGAATCGTAGACACGATCTAACGGTCGACAATTCGAAATTTTTTAAGGGGAAAAAATTGCCGTACGTAGTATTAGCAAATCCGCTCCATTTTGGGCTTCTCGAAAAGAAAGACTACTTTTGGGCTGGAATTCTTCGTGAATTCGTGTAGTTTTTAAGTTGGAATAAGCACGTGGGTAGTTCACAATTCGGAAGTTTTTTTTAGCAAAAATGCTGTCACAAGTAGTATAGTTTTGCGTCAAAAATTTTTTTTTTAAAAAAAATGCGTAAAAAAAAAGTAGTATAGCAAATCCGATCCCTTTTTGGCTTATCGAAAAGAAATACTACTTTTGGTTCTTCGTGGATTCGTGTAGTTTTTAGTTGGAACAAACGTGTGGGTCTCACGTACTGACTTAGCACGTTAACATATCACGTGAGCAGAAATTGCTTTTTAAACTATCCAATGAGTCGATTTGTATCGATTTTCAGAGATGCAAGAGGCATTATACCCCTTTTTAGTATTGAGGGAGGCGATTCAATCGGAACAACAAAGAAGGAAAGTAAAATAGACTTTGCTTTTCAGCTCAGTCAGTTCGCGAGGTCCTGAGCTATTGGGCCTGGCATACCAAGTATATTCAGGCCCAACACGAAGCAACAAGAATCGCATGCAATAGATCGATCGATCGCCTTGTCAGGAACCATGCGAGGCCTTGCTCTGCCGGCATGGTGACTGACAATGACAGTAAAATTTATGCGCTGCCGACATGGATGGCTGATGGCTCTCGATCGACGTTGATATGCGTGTATTTGTCCAGGACCATGATAATTGTTAAGATCAGCAGCATGGTACGCGCATGATGGCAGGTTCACTGTTCCAATCTGCAGGTGCAGAGTTTATCATAGCTGAGGTTCATGCATCATCATGGTCACTGCTTCACTTTCAGGTTATCCCATTTCATCAGACACCTGTCTCATTCTGAATCTTGAAGCAAATCCGACTACTGAATTTACATTTTTCCCCTTTCTAATGTATGAGAAGGAGAGACGGTAAGGACAACTCTGAAGTCTGAAAACGCATATAAACTGTCTCTCTTTTTTCTCTGACTTTCAGAGTTCGGCTAGTGGAAACCAAAGCTAGTCGACCAGATCAACATTCTCCGGCTGGTGCTCCTCGCAGTTCCGGCCACAAACCTGAGATCAAAATCCGCCGGTTGCTGCGCCAATCTCTCACTGGTGATCTGGTCAACCAGGCAAATCAAATCCAAACAGCTTATGGAGTCCTAGCTTAACAGTTAACATTATGATTAAAAAACTGAAAAGAATGAACATCTCTCCTTTTCCTTTTTCTTATTCGAAGAAAAAGCATGCAGAGCTCGTTCACTAGAGTCAACGGCTACTGAGCTGAGGTACACTGTGTCACTGTTGTTGTAGTGTTATGTCGTGATCAGATAATTTGTAAATTGTAATTAGATACATCATCCCTAAGGTTAGCCTTTTCCTTTGTCAAGTGTATCTTCTTGTCATGACCAACTCATGGCCTGGTCTGGATCATGGTTGGGTAATGGCTTCTCCCTCCATAGCAGCTACCTTTTTCAAGAGATCATTTATTTAAGCGTTGAACTAATCCTTGCATTAGCTCATAACCTTTTCCTTTTTTCATATTCTGCCCTTTGAAATCACCCAACAAGTCAACCCAAAGCTGTGACAGTGGACCATCAGGGATTGGTATGGCAGTGGCAGGTGGCAACATAGTGGACTTCTCTGTCCAATCTCCTTGAGTGCCTCTGCAGCTCTGCTAATATAGCACCGTGTTGACTTTGGGCCATGGGTGATTATGGGGGTTGACCTGACAATGGCTGAGCATTAATGCTTTTCTGCAATCTCTGGCTAGCGCCATGAGAGGATATGCATAAAAAAAACATGAAAGGTTCATTCCATGATGGACTAAAGCATGAAAATGACCACCAAAAGAAAGTTTGAGATAGACCATACTGATCTGTAAAGTGACATATACCAGCCGGAAATGTAAGTTGAGCATTAGTAGTTTACAATTAAGAAAATATATCATCACTCGTAAGGGCCTTGATGTTGATGTTCACACCTTCTCACTTTCTCAGTAGGGCTAGAATTTATGGCTGTAAAATATAACTCTTTGTTGTAGCTAAGATTGTGATTACTGAAAGTAGACACAATATTATTATGTAAATGTGTTTTTCCTTAATTAAACTATTTTTTTGGGAAGAAATTAAACTCTCCTTTTGATATTACAGATAAGACAAGGGTGCTGATCAAACTCATGTGAAGTCCTCCAATGCATCAAAGATAGAGCTAACAGCCATCTTCACGAATGCGTTTCTCAAGGTTCATGCATCGTCCAAAAGCAAGCAATTGTTTTGCAGCAACGACAAAGTTAAGCTGAACTCTGAACAGTGTACAAGTACAATGAACTAGGAGAGGAACTATGTCCGTTGTGGTTATTGGCAGCTAATGACAACTTAGCTTCTCTCTCGTGTTGGGGAATTGGATTAGCATTATATTAAGCCAAAGCAAAGTAGTGATAACGTGGAGAACTGACTTGCCCACATGACTCGTTAGTCCTAGACAATCATAAGCAAAACAGAGATCCAGATGCTTGCACTTCTCTGCAGTCACAGATAAATATTTAGCACTGTTAATCAGAAGGTAAGTGCATTTGTTACAACGGCCAACAAGCCAGCATTTAGACTAGGTTTTCAGTCTTGAATTCAAATTTTATAGCCTCCATCAAATGTAAAGAAAGCGCAACAATGAAACTAGTCTAGTTGGAATCGTATAGTTCCAGCGGACAGAGATTCGGATAGCAGTATAGCACCATAGGAATGACATGCTTGAATCATCAAGGAAAAAAAAAGGTAAAGATAATTGCCAAGTGATGTCTAAGAAGCTTACATTTGTAGAAGAATATCAAAGTTTACGTACTTTTGTACATTTCAAAGAACCGCAACATCTCTAGAGAAAAAAAGCAAGCACCTTTTTGTTTCAGAAAAGTTCAGTTGACATCTGCGCAGGTGAGTACTGGGACTTAACTCTATCATACTGAGAAGAAATCTGAATTTGGTTTGTTCATATCTTCAAATAGGCGAAACGGCAAACTGTCTGCTATTTTCTGTGTTAATATAATATCGAAACATATAATTCTCCTGCATATTCTTGTAAATATACTTCATCGTTCAGATACCAGTGGGTAAATACTAGTGCATGTTGAATAGACGGCGGGCAACTCAAATTTGACTCTCTATGTTTTTCTGTTAGGAATAAAACTGCACAATATACTTTTTTACTAAATAATTTCTTATAAACTCGTATATCACATTCGATTTTTCCATCTCTCGTTTGAACTGCAACATATATATGTACAGAATATGATCCATTAGACGTTTGAATGTGCTAAAATGGTTCTTTATTGGATATATGAACTACTACAATGTAGAGTTCAAATATTTGGTATATACAATGAAGAGTTTGCATGCAGGGTTGCACAACTCGCAGAAACCAAAGCACTGAGACCTCCTTCCTGGCAATGCCATTGAAAAAACCAAGCAGACCAGGGGTTGATGCTACAGAATCGATGGCATGATCAAACCCAAAACCTAGATTAACATGTAGCTAATCAAGGAGAGCATCACTCTCTGAGTTGTGAAAATGTTCAGGACACCAAGAGCTGGATCAAGAACAGGGAGAGGAAGAAGATTCAGCCACTGCATCAGGAAAGGATCGCGTCCCAGTCGATCTCCAGCGACGGGTACTTGTGCAGCAGGAAGCTCTCGGACTCGTCCCATGGCGCCTCCGAGAAGTCGAGCAGCTGCATCTCCGGGACGACGTCGGAGGAGCCCGTCGATGACACGTCGCCGTCGGCCGAGGAAGAGCTCTCGGAGGCGGAGCAGACGGGCTCGCTCTTGACCACCGGGCTCTCCGAGGAGAAGAAGGGGCTTGGGGTGTTCGTCGCCGTCGTCGACATCGTCGTCGTCGTCGCATTGCTCTGGGTTTGGGGTTGGGGTTGGGGCAGGTCCATCCCGTGGCAGATGGCGTGGAGCTTGGCGTCGACCGCGGCGTGGAGCGGCGGGCCGAGGTGGGCGCCGCCGCGGCGGAGCTCGGGGAAGTTGAGCCTCGCGGACTCGCCGCGGAGGCGGAACGCGGCGCTGTCGTACGCCAGCGCGGCCTCCTCGGCGGTGTCGAAGGTGCCCAGCCAGAGGCGGGTGCGGTTGCGCGGCAGGCGGATCTCCGCCACCCACTTGCCCCAATGCCGCTGCCTGACGCCGCGGTACAGCTTGACCGGCGCCCGCGCCGCCGCCGCCGCCGCCACCGCCACCGCGCCATGCCGCTTCATCGGCAGCGGCGGCGCCGCGGCGAGGCAGCCGCTCGCCGCGCCCGGGCGGCGCAGGCGCTGTAGCTGCGCCTGGACATGGAGCACCTGCGCGGGAGTCAGGTAGTTGGCGCCAGCAAGAAGCGAGCTCGCGCTCTGCTCGGAACACGGGTAGGAGAAGGACACCATGGACGGAGCAAGCGCGCCCATTAGCTCCTTGCTATCCACCACCATGTCATACATCGCAGCAGGAAGATTGCTGCCACGGCCACACCAATCCACTGTCGTCGCCATGGATGGATCAAGAAATCAAGAAACGAAACACCGATGATGATTTGAAACGAGCAATCAACAGATTTACTGAGCTGAATTCTAAGCTGTTGCTGAAGAGGCAAATGGTAGATGAGCAAGAGCAGCCATGGCCGGGCTCTTTTATAAGCACGCGGAGCGGCGGGAAAGTGGGTGCTAGCCAATGGCGTGACGCCAGGTGTCCACGCTGATTTGTTACCGCCACCTGCCGATCCTTCTCCGCACTAGGACAATGGCTCTCCAGGCAGGTGCCGGTAAAACGGTGGACACCTGGCGGATGCTGATTGGTCGAGAAGTGGTTTTGACCTGGTAAATCACACGGATCTAGCTGTCACATGGTTGTCGAGTATACCAGTGGCCAATGGGCGTGAACTACGCGGCAACCTGCGTGCCACCGGTGAGCTCGCCGAGGAGTGTTAGATCTCGTCGCCGTGATCGAGCTAAAAAACCATATTTCTTCAGCCAGTCAGATCCTAGGATTTGCGAGGCAAACAAAGCTGAAGTATTTCCTCTATTTTAAATCAGCTATCGTTCTAAATTTATCCTAATTTAAATATTTATATTTTTAACGACTACTTTTTAAAAATTCACACAGTTTAACAAACATCATAAGATCTACCAATCACCATTATAAATACTTCTATAGCATATAATTCTTACTACACGATTTTTTAAAAATTAATGGCCAAGATAAGTTTAATTTAGAACAAACCTCTAAATTGATAAGTATAAATTGTAACGGAATGATTACACATAGTCAGAGATGTGTCATGTGTGGCAATATAAAAGTAGTGCTAGTACTCCCTCCATACTCGTAAAGGAAGTCCTTTAGCACAGCGACACGGTCTACAAAATACAACTTTGACTTTTTATTTCTATAAAAATATTTATTGAAAAGTGATATATGTTTACTTCTATGAAAGTATTTTTCAATACAAATCTATTCATATAATTTTTACATTTTCAAACTCAATAACTTAAGAGTTATTTATGATTTATATTCTTAAGTTTTGACTTAAACATTGTTCTAAATGACTTCCTTTACGAGTACCGAGTGAGTACGTACTACTAGTACTCTGTGTATTTGTGTATTTTACTCTACTGGCTACTACTACTATTAGATACGATTGCGATGTTAAAGGCAATTCGGTTTCATGATTTGATCCAACAAGGCCATTTATTTATGAGCGATGGCGCCAGCACACATCTGATTTGCTCGTCTGGTTTACTTACTATTCATTCATGACCCATTTCCCTTTTCTTTGTGTGGAGCGAAAAAAAAATTGCAGGCAAACGATTCTCTTTTCTCTTCCAGAAACAACACTGTACACTTGCCAACGGGTTGGATAGTAACGGCCTGGCAATTAGCATGTGCAGCCATTTTTTGTGACCAAGCAAACAAAGCGATCAGCAACAGTGGCTCACTGTTTACAGCCTCTTCCGTTTGGGCAACCAAACAGTTCGGTGCAATCTAATCCAGAGAAAAGGAATACAATAACAATAAAGCAAACATCAGTGCAGTTGCGAACGTTGTGTCGCTGCAGAAAGTGGCTTTTGCAAAATTGGTCATGGAGCTCCTGTTTGGGGGCAAGATGAGATGACAGCACGCGTGTTCTGGCCGCTGCGAGAATGGTCGATCGGCGACGAAGGGGAAGAAAAAAGGAGGTAGGGATCGGAGAAGAAAGAGGCTGGAGCAATCAAGAGCCACAGAATGATTTGGTGAGGGAGAATATCCACGTGTCTGGCTTCCATCGGCAGGATTAGGGCTTGAAAGAACGAGTCGTTAGTGGCTTTCTTTCAGATCCACGATCCGAGAAATTGCCTAACCATGAGGTATGTCTTGTAGTATTGTCATCATCTTTAGCTTAAGATGATAAGATCTTTGTTTGTTGTAAGGTTGGAGAGAACGGGTACCCAAATCTAAAAATGTTTTTTCTTTTATAGAAATGACTTCATATGCTCAAACAATTAGAGGATGAACCTCTTTAGGGCTCTTTGAAACCTAGGCATAGGATTGTTTTTTTCAATTACACGGCAGATGCATACATACATCACTACACATGTAATATCACACCCACACCCCTACGAAACCTAACACATGCTTTAATAGATAAAAACCAGCGACCCATCTCTGATCTCAAAAAAATCCTCTACGAAACCTAACACATGCTTTAGTAGATAAAAACCAGCGACACATCTCTCATCTCAGAAAAATCCTTTTTGAAAGCTCATCCACATGTGTGTAATATTTCTTGTGAGCACTAGGATTTCTTGTGAACCCTGGTGGATAGAGTCATACACCCACAACTCTACCACCACAACATTGGTGCTTCCTCGTAGGAATAATTCTCCTATAGAACTGGAGGCATAGAAGGCCAATAGGAACTTTAACATCCTATTCCTTTGTTCCAGATGACCTCATATGAAAAAATTTCCAAGGATTTGAAACCTTCAAAATTTTCATGAATCCTTCAATCCAAAGGAGGCGTTAGAGTTATTTCTCTGATCTTCTCACGAGGAAGAAATAAAAAAGGTAACACTTTGACCAACTTAGTAGCCATGCTCATAGCCAATAGCACAATAGCCATAATCGAGCATTGACGTTGAAGGGAAAAAACGAGAAAAAGGAGGCAGTCAGACAGGCAATACTTGTCAGTCTAGCGCAGTTGGTCCATCAGCAAGTGATGATAATGTTCTAAACTGGAAACCAAAAAGTATTACACGCAGATGAAATGTTTTAATATAACCGGTGGCTGGTGTTCCACAACGGGAGTAAAGAAGTGGACAAGAATTAGTGGTCATTACGCTGTCCTAGGGGAAATTTTTAAGCCGTAATGACGCAGCATATACCAAATTGGCAGCACCTCTAATCATTTAGTGCAGCATATCTTTAGGTCCTAATGCCCCATCAGGAAACATGTGACAAATTTGATGATGGCATGCGGCTCAGCAACAGTTCAACAAGATAAACAAGGGATTAAAGCAAACAAGCCAATGGCAGAATTGACGAATCGAATTACTGCCGCAGCACTACACAAAGGTCATGTTCACAGCCTGCCCAGAGGCTGAAGATTGAACTTGGTACTCTTCAGGAGATAGATTATAGGACGCCGTTCTTTTCCTCCCACATATAGCAGTACAAACGATCACATGTACATTTCCCAAACCCCTAAACGCAACGATTTTTTTCAAAAAGAATTATATATAAGGTTAAATATTGTTTAAAAAATATGTTTTCAACCTTGCAATAGTTAATTCATTCATTTATAATCTTGTAAATATTATCACAAAATTAGATAATCTATCATCTATTCGGAGCAAAATAACTGTGCAGTGGTATTTTTGCGAGTAAATCGTACTTCGGACTACAAATTCCTACCAAAGTTTCACTTTGTACCACTCTCACAATGTTTTTTTTTACTTTACACTAGGTATTGTCGTCAAATGTTACACTTTGGACCGGGTAGCCCATATGTCAATGAAACTAACCACCTCTAATGTCCATGTGTCACTTACATGTGGGCCACCCGGTCCAAAGCGTAACATTTGACGACAATACCTATTTGACGACAATACCTAGTGTAAAGTGAAAAAAACATTGTAAGGGTAGTACTTCACTTTGGTAAGAATTTGTGGTCCGAAGTACAATTTACTCTGTTTTTGCACAGTTAAGAACTGCAACCTAATTAGATGTTTACATTTACGTACACAGTCAAAAAGAAAAGAAAAAAAAGAAACAAACAAAAAGAGCGAAGTGATCAGACACCGGACTACAGGAGCCATTGCTGATATAAACGAAACGCTCACATCTTTAGGTTGGACCATGACAATGACAGGAAGAAGCCAAGATCACGTTGTATAAAATAAATATGGGAGCAAAAATAAATAGATAGATGAATCCAGTGGAAGATTCATTTTTTTTCGACTATAAAATTACCATGTCACAGAAACCCATGAGATATTCAAAATTAAATATAGCAAACAGAGATCTTTTGCCCTGGTTCATTTCTGTGGGAAAATAGATGAACAATCAAACGTGAAATTGCATATAATGGTTTATTGTTGACAAATAAGAAAAGAAAGCATGTTCCTGTTAAAAAAATCAAAATAACTGCAATATCATGCTGATGCCGACCTTCACATTTCCAAGAAGCAAAGGAATTGAATATCATCAACCATACAATTTCTGGTCAATGGATACGTATCAGATCGAATTGGATATCCATTAACTATATATTAGCTTCTTGTTATAATGGTCATAAGTTTAAGTTGGATATTATGGACAGGTCTGTTCCAATGGACAGGGTATGAACCTCACACTCAACTAGCAAAGTGGAACTACCCTCCCTCCTACCACTTGCACTCATAACTACAGCATGGACCATATAGGCTCAATTCATAGACTGGGCCTCACAATTGACAACACACACAATGTACATAAGCAATCAGGACAGTTCTGATTAGAATTGAAAAGGAGACATATACAGGAGAGTATATGTGTGCTTCACTGATACACCCGTGAAGAAATGAGTATTCTCCATTAAAAAACCAGTAGCATACTTGCATGCTCTAATTATGTGCAGCTCTTGACAAGCTGTTAAATTACCAAAGGAATATTCATTCTTGATTAAATGTTAATGACTTATCAATTCTATATCATCTCTACTTTTAGCAACACCATCACTAACTGATAAAATATGTATTAGGTCTATGGGCTGTTAAGAACATAGCAAAATATAAATGTTGAGTTGCAAAACACATTCCAGATAAAGGGAACACCCATTGTTCAAGGTAGTCATGCATTTGAGATTATCTTTTACCTACGCAATGGGCAAGCTTCAATCTTACCTCCTCAAGTTCCACTTCTTCCATGCCATTGTTACTTAACCAAGAAGATAAGCACAGATTAACAATATCCATACCAGAACCCGTTGATGAAAAACCATTAAAATTAATGAGTTCTCCAAACAAAACCATCTTTCCCAGATTAGTCGTAGATGGTTCCTCTGCAAACTTCAGTAGAATGTCTTTCATGGCACTACACCAGATAGGCCGAGCCATCTTCAAGAAGGAACACAAAGTAGTAATAGCAAGCTTAACTGTTCCAATATCAGATTCATCCTTTCCACCTCTTCCATGGAAATCTGAACCTCCGATCTTCAAAAGGTCATACTTCTCAGCTAATTCACTAAATCCTGTGGAATAGAGTCCATACGTGTCAGCAACGATCCTGTAATTGGATATGAACTAACAAATAACAAACATATGCTGCTTTCAAATAAGATTTGAAATGATTTATGTATGGTACAAGAGACATACCATCAACTTTTCCGTCACTTCTGTAGACTTCCAGAGCATTAAGGCCAGCACCTTTCAATGCTCGGATGACTGCATCTGGGTTCTTCAATGCCCATGGATGAGCTAATGCAGATATACCCCCTGTACGATTAATCAACTGCACCACAGTCTCAGCGAATGGTTCACTTCCTCTGCACAAAATATGGGCCCCGTTATTTAACAAAGACATTCCTCCGCGTGAAACAATCACCAGGATGAATTTTTCGTACATTATCAATAGCACTTACGTGGCATATGCAGGGCCATCATCACCAATGTACTTGTTGAATGCTTGCCTAATGTTCTCTATATGACCCATTTCAACCATAGCCCTTGCTATATGCAATCTGCCAGGTGCTACTCCCTCACCAGCAATTTTAGTTACATGTTCCCACTTTATTGGCACCTTTAGTCTATCTAGCTTTGCCAGCATATTCCTTGCACGCAAGTACCGCCCATCTCTAATGTTTGATAGCATCCTTTCCAGATCATCAAACCTTGAAGGTCCACACATACCATAGTATGCAAGAATATGAACATGCTCACCAGTACCAGCGATTTCCCTTTAAGACAATGAAGATCAGGGACAGCTATATGAACATACAAGGACAAAATGCAACATATATAATGCTCGGTTAAAGTGACCATTGATAACAGATTGGCATATTTGGTTTGTAGTTAATAGTCATTTATATAAGGTGAATAGATGAGAGGAGCTAGTATTCCTTGGCGCATTTTTATAAGGTGATTAATCTTGATCCTCACGCTTGATTTTACCTTGCTCTGTTAAGCTGACATGTAAACACCAACAGAACTCTCTTGGTCTTTAGAATCAAGATAGCTCAATGATATGTCAAAAAGGTACTAGACTAGCTAGCACAATTTTACGGAAAAGATGCGACAATGAAGTCTTGTTCACTACAATTATCAGTAATGGTACAGGAATCTCTGAACGAAACAACTTCACTCGTATTGTGATTACTTAAATGTTGTTTACAACAAAGTAACATAACAGAATATTATAAGATGGAACAGGCATATAGTGCGATGATAGTTCCTGAGTTATGAGGGCATGAACCAACTACGATTATTTGTTAAAATTCCATCGCATTGCTATTTTTTATTCAAAAGATGGATGGGAAACAAGAAATATCTTACTTTGGAGAATATAGTGCACTGATTTCAACTCCTGGGATTATTCTCATGCCAAATCTGTGAGCCGCTGACACAGCTTCAGGTATACCAGCCATGGTATCATGATCTGTCAGGGCAAGTACTTTCACCTGTAGTACCGACATATACAATTTAGCCATTCTAACTCTTCTTCTTTTTCTACCATTCAAAATTGTGGCATGCACATGGTAAGATTTAACATCTGAACAAGCACCCAATACATAAGACAAACTTTGGGACAATGAGATATAGCATATACATGAAGATCACTTCACTAGAAAAAGGGATGCTGCACTGTCAAGCAAAGCACGATCTGAACTCTGAACTACCCAACGCAATCAGCCGATGGCCGCTTCCATGATCATTGAAGGGGTACTGATTCAAGGGCATAAGTACCCTCCAAGAGTACGAGTGATCACAGCATTTAAATATAGTTAACAGATTAAGGAAACACGGAGGCTATGCGGCTGGCATCCAATATTGAACCCAGTAGGCACATTACCTACTGCTTCACAGGAAACTGGAAAACAGATTGGAAGGTGTCAAGGTGATGCTTGGAAGTGCAACCCTTGGTCCCTTAGAGCACGTTTAATTACTAGTAGGCTATATAAGCCATCTATAAACTTATATGAATGAGAAAGAACCCAAAAAAAAAAGGGTGCTAGCTCTCATGCAAGATCTAGATCTATATATGCTCCAAGGTAAATGCATTAATTACATAAGTGAGAAAAAGAGAGAGGAGAAGAGAATTAGAGGCAACCTTATAGCTAATCCATTGTACATGTCAGCTCTAATACATGTTAGTTCTCACTGTTAAACTAGCTCTTACTCCCTTACACAACGAAGCAGCTCTGAGGAGCCCATTTATCGCACAATATAACCGCTATACGAGTTACAGACCTCACAGGCATTTCCTCAAACACCTACCGGCTACCAGGCAAACGGAGGAGAGTCCAGATCGTGTACTTACTCCGTTGCGGTGGGCGCGCTCCACGAGCTCGGAGGGGGAGAGGAACCCGTCGCTGTGGTTGGAGTGGGAGTGGAGCTCGAACAGCACGCTCCCTCCGCCTCCAGAGGCCATGCGCGCGGCCTGGTGCGGCAGGAAGTCGTCCCCGGCGGCATCGGCAGCCGAGGGCTCCGGCGGCGGCGCGGAGGCAGCGGGATGCGCCCAGGCGCGGACGTAGTCGAGGGCCACGGCCTGGTCGGGGCTCGGCTTCGCCTTCTTCCTGCTCCTGCTCGGCTTCGCCTTCTTCCTGCTCCCCATGGCGGGTTCTGGGAGGGAGAGAGAGATCGGCGCCTCCGCTGTGCGCCCGTGCGCTCACCTCGTCGCCGCGTCACGGCGTCAGCTCGCCGCTCTAGGGCCTAGGCTTCTGGTTGTCTGGCGAATTTGGGCCGGGCTTGATCTCATTATCTATGGGCCTTTAGTTTTCCTTTCCGATCTAACAAATCAGTAGTAGTATTGTTTATCCACATTTTTAAAATTTTTGAACTAAACATTTAAAATTTTAATTTGGAGTGATAATAAGGTAAAGTTTAACGGGCAATAAAGTGCTTAAAATAGTCAACCAGCTCATCAGGAAAGAACAGTCTATTATCGGCAAGGACGTCCTTAAATTTGGGAGGGTCTTGAAAGAGAAGAATCAAAGACGAACGTGGCATCCGCGGTTCAACTGAATAACCAGAAAACAGGCACAAAATTTTGTTTCTTGCTATAAATCCGCTGTTTGCCAATAATCTGCATTCGCCATTATTTTTTTTTCCTCTTCCTCTGTTTCCCAATGATGATGATGAACTACAGGGCGTTGTGGTTGTGGCTCTCCGTCGCAATCGTCTTCTCCGTGCAATCATGCCGGGCTCTCGCCGCCGGCGAGGGCTCCAAGGAAGCGGACAAGATCGCCGCGCTGCCGGGCCAGCCACCGGACGTGAAGCTACAGCAATATTCAGGCTACATCAACGTCAATGAGACTTCCGGGAAGTCGCTCTTCTACTACTTTGTGGAAGCCTCCGTTGATGCTGCCCACAAACCGCTTCTTTTGTGGCTCAACGGAGGTAATTTTTCCGTATCCAATTGCGTTCCCAATCAGTATGTTCAGAATAGTGATCGAAACAGATCGAGTACATGTTGGAATTCTTCATCAAATTACTGCTGTGTTTACAGGGCCTGGCTGCTCATCCATGGGCATCGGAGCGTTCCAGGAGATCGGGCCCTTCCGCGTGGACACGGACGGCAAGACGCTCTGCCGGAACCCGCACTCCTGGATTACTGGTCAGGATACGTTTCTCGGTCACGTTACATTATTACATCGGTATATAAAAAAAACAAAAAAAAAGCCATAGTTTGGCTGGTTTCAAGCATAAGCGAGACGGCATATTTATAAATAAAAATTAATTTGTGAAGTGACAAAACTTTGATATGCGTGTTTTTAGCGATCTAAAAAATGGCTGAAAAATAAACTTTGATAAAAAAACCCTCAAAATCAACTTTAAATTTAAGTTTGAAAATTCAAATTTTGACCGGTAAACATAAGCATAAGCAACGGACACGGATTTTCTACACCTAGGTGCCATGGCACCCATCGTTTGCATGCGACATAAATAGTTATAGAAAAAATTAAAAAAAAATTAGTAACATCAATTATGATGATATAAGTCTATACACAAACATGCAGAACTAAATTTGATCTACAATTAGAGAAACAAAAATAATAAAATCAGACAATGAATAGTACCCGTACAACGTAGATAAAATTTGTTATTTTTGTTTCTTCATATATCGATCGAATTTAAACTTGCATATTTGTATATTGTCTTATATTATCAAAGTCCATCTTATCAAATTTTATATTTTTTTATATAACTGTTTAAATTACATACATACACCTAGGTGACATGGCACTAGGTGCAGAAAATACTTTCTCCTTCCTTGTGCGTGAGCGTGACTGACAATCGGTTGAACCGCGGGTTGGCGCAGCGGCGAACCTGCTGTTCCTGGAGAGCCCCGTGGGCGTGGGCTTCTCGTACGCGGCGGTGAAGCCGCAGGAGGTGTACAGCACCATAGGGGACAACATGACGGCGCACGACTCGCACACCTTCCTGCTCCGGTGGCTCGACCGGTTCCCGGAATACAAGACCCGGGACCTCTTCATCGTCGGCGAGAGCTACGCCGGCCACTACGTCCCGGAGCTCGCCGTCACCATCCTCGACAACAACTTGCTCCCGCACGCGACCCCCATCAAGCTCAAAGGAATCGCCGTGAGTATGCAGGATTCGCCATGCATGGCCATGTTCAGATAGCCGCGAAGCTGTAATGTTTTCTGAATTCTGGTGATGTTCTACGTTCAGATCGGGAACGGCATACTGGAGTTCGCGGCTGAGCAAACGCAGCTGTACGAGTACCTGTGGCAGCACGCGTTCATATCGGACTCGGCGCACGCGCTCATCACGCAGAGCTGCAAGTACCCCGACGACCACCCGTCGGCGCTCTGCGAGTCGGCGAGGAAAGCGGCGTATAGCCGGATTGGCAACATCGACATCTACAACATATACTCGTCCACCTGCCACGAACAGAAAGTCAGGCCCTCAGCCTCCAAGTGCATGGTACGGATGATATATTACTGCACGCTTTTGCAGGTTGAATTTAATTATCAAACCGCATGAAACACCCGCATTTGCATGCAGGATTTGGCTGATCCGTGCTCCCAATACTTCGTGGAGGCGTACATGAACCAGCCCCAGGTACAGAAGACGATCCATGCGAACACGGAGTTGAAGTATCCCTGGACTAGATGCAGGTATTTATGGTGTCAAGCTCACGCAAGCACGCTCTTGCTTTCCCATCTCTGACGTTGGAGGATGGAAATGTGACAGGGTTTACAACCTAGACCACTTCGGCGACTCGCCAAAGTCAATGCTGCCATACATCAAGGCAGTGATAACCGGCCGCATCCGCATCTGGATATTCAGGTCCGTCAAATGCTGCGTGTTCGATCGCTAGCTCTTCCGTTCATCCTGCCTAGCATCGTCATGTACTCTTCTTTGGTGACAATGTACATATATTTGTGTGTGCTGCAGCGGCGACTTGGATGCGATGGTGCCGGTGACGGCGACGAGGCAGTCGATGGAGAGGCTCCAGCTGCGGGTGGCGGCGGACTGGCGGCCGTGGTCGGCGGACGGCAAGGACGTTGCCGGGTACGTGATCGCGTACGACGGGCTGGTGTTCGCGACGGTGCGCGGGTCCGGGCACATGGCCCCGATCGACCAGCCGGAGCGAGCGCTGGTGCTCGTCTCCTCCTTCATCCGGGGGCAGCCGCTCCCACCGCCGCAACCTGATCAACACGACGCCTAGCGCGCGTGTGCCCCACCGCTGCACCAGTTGCCATACGTAGCTAGGGAGATTGGCATGGCATGGCCGAGCTGAGGAGCTCAACGTGTCGTCGTGCACTCGTGCGTCGTCGGATCGGAAGTGAATTCTCGCTGTACTCTTGGTGTCTTTCGAGACTCGATCGCAACTGTGTTTATGTGTGTAGGGTGACGCATATTTCAGTCAATCCGTGACAACCTCCAAACCTCGATCTGTAGCCAACCCGTTTTTCCCACCGGTTTTCTAGCCATATGCCCATACGAGCGCTGGGCGATACACAATCAGGCAAAAGCTAGGACGCGCCTGCAACACAGTCAGAGGCTCAGAGTCAGAGCTCATCAACTCAGGACGATGGAGCACGAATTTATGGAGCGGATGCAATGCATCGGGGCCTATTCATTGCCATCCTTTACGCAGTGGACCCAAGAGCGTCACACACCGCCCCATACTACCATCTGTTACCAAGCACATCTGGCATCAGCATGCTGACCTCGTTCATCATATTTTCACCGAGAAAGGAAACCAAACAAGCAGAATCAATCCCCTACTCTACTCTCTGAACTGAGTGATGAATGACTTCAACATTCCAGATCTACCAGCAACATGTAGTAATACAGTGAGTAGTCTCCTTTAATTCCTCTTAGAAAAGTACAACTAGCTAGATTAATGTTCTACTCAGTAGTTCCTGAAAATCTGAATGATGGTTGGAGTGCACCTAGCTAAGTTACTTGTGCTGCTTCTTCCTGCCCGGGATGCATCTCCCCCTGATCATCCCTTCCTCCCCTTCCATCTGCTCATCCGTCGTTGATCTCTCCTCGCTGACACCAAGCCTCGAACTCCTGAGGTTAAAAACCAAAAGTTATTTGCAAATGCCATAAAGTTTACAGGCAAAAGCGCATACCGATCTGTAAAAGTGTAACACAGCCTTGATCGAGCTCCTGAGGTTAAAAACCAAAAGTTATTTGCAAATAAATGCCTTTAAAGTTTACAGGCAAAAGCATACGATGTGTAAAGGTGTAACACAGAGAGATTCGATTCTGTCCGTACGTTTACAGTACTATGTACAACAACGTCGTACGCTGACACAGTAGAACCTAGTACAGAATCCATCAGCGATTGAGCTTGAGCTTGACGAGAGCCATGAGTGGACCTGGACGATGGCCCATACCAATATGCACACACAGTCTACAGTTGTGCAGCACGATTACATGACGCGTCGACGAAGCACGAAAGAACCTACTGTCTTCATGCCAAAACGCACCGGCGCACAGCATGCAACCAAACGAGATACTGTACACGTTTGATCGAGTATTTTCCGGCAAAAAAATGCGAATTCGAAGTACTACAGCTCGCTGCACACACCCGTGCATACGCCATGCCTGGTTAACTTAAATCTATCTATTATATACTAAAAGTCCATGAAACTTTCTACAAGCGCTTTCAAGCCGCCACGTGGCGCTCTAATAAAATAGAGAGAATCCTAGAAATTCTAAGAAAAAAACAAAACATATATCCTTTGATTTTTACTTAAATTGGTGGGTCCAATATTATACACCGTTAGATGAAATTGATCTTAAAACAAACTAAAAACCATGGGTCCCACCTATCCTCTCCTCCCGTGCCAAATACGTACGCTTCCTCCCCCCCCCCCCCCCCTTTTTCCTTTTTTCTTCTTTTTTCCATATATATATATATATATATAAATATATTTTTTAAATAATCATAATTTTACAAACAAAGAATCTACCATCATATAACTTAAGCCGGTGTACTCTTTACTTTGTACTATTATTTTCAAATAATGCACTATTTTAAAATAAATTTTACACAATTATATTGTGTACCTATCAAATAAACAATATCTATATATTAACTAATTTATATGTGCACTTAAACTTATGGCTCCATTATGCAAATTATTGGATCTACATTTTATTACACTGTTCTATTATTCTCAAGTAATGCACTATTTCAAAATAAGGTCTACACCATTATATTATGTACCCATTAAATTAACAATTTAAAATCTATATTAACTAATTTACACTTACACTAGAACTGATGGACCTATTATTATAATCATCAGATCTATTGTTTGCTAATAAATAAAGCGTCCAAAATTATCTTTTTGCCTGCTGCACATTGCACGTCTGCACCTTTGCCTTTCGCACGTGTTACAAAGCATAAAGCATAGTGTCTGAGACATCTAAGGTGAACACAACCATTATAGCGCTACCGCTTTGCCACGTATCAAATCATATATGTAGATGATTAATTTTGTAAATAACATAAAAAGAAAATTAAAGGTGTGATGCGACAAGAGAATAATTAAGCACCATGGGTTGTGTTTTTCTCTACACTAATTAGCTCTGTTTAAGTTGAAACCGAGAGTTGATTACATAACAACTATAATGTATTTATGTTATGTCATATTTGGATTTTGTACTATTTGTTTGTACAGGTAAAAGGAATCATTATGTTATAAATGTGAGCGCAATATTGACGAATATCAATACAAATCTTACTACGACAAGGGTGATAAAGGGAGTTTAAGGCCCTCTCTTTTTTCCCGATTCCATATTTTGGATTTTTGTTTGCACGCTTTATGAGTTTCTAAATGGTGTCATCTTTAAACAACTTTCTAACTTTTTAGAAGTCAATCCATTCATTTATACCCTCGAATAGCTATCACATAAATTATATAATTCATCAATTTCAGCTATCCTAAACTTTAAGTACTACTCTCTCTGTTTCACAATGTAAGTCATTTTAGCATTTCCCACATTAACATCAATATAAATGTAGGAAATGCTAGAATGACTTACATTGTGAAACGGAGGAAGTACATATTTTTTTCATGCGAGCCATGGTGATCAACGGATCATCAAAGTCGTAAGATGAATATATAAGAGTTGATCTGAACAATTGTAAATAGGTGTCAAAATTAATTGCTATTAATTAGACATCTAATGGCTTGCTAGCCACAAAATTAATTTCTCTCTACATGTATATAAACATGGACGAAGCTGGAACAAATATTACCATATGTCACATACATATATATTGTGCAGTTAATATTCTAATTAGTCATTTCAAATTCCTTAAAATGCTCACAAGCTGCCACGTGGTGCTATAATAAATTAGGGCAAATATTAGAAATTCTTAGAAAAAAATCAAAGTATATATTATTTGATTTTCACTTAAACTGGTAGGTCCAATATTATAAACCGTTAGATTAAATTGATCTTAAAACAAACTAAATACTACGAGGTCCCACCTCGACATAGGTACACACCTACGTGCACGGGTACATACGCCTCCCCTCCCTTTTTTCATTTTTCTCTTTCTTTTTTTCCCATCCATATGCTTCCCTTCCTTTATTACTATATCATGCGTCTTCATGAGACGATTTAATCAAAAGAATTTTTAGTATCTTGCACTCGCATTTTTAATTTGTGACCATACTACACGGTATGTATATACATGTACTGTATGATAATTAACTAGCAATAGTTTCTTATTTACTCGAGAAAAAAAATGATTCAAAAGTCGTAAGTACTTAATCCATCTCCTACTCAAAAGTTTATGATTGGTTTTATAAGATACCTTAAGAAAAATACAACCCTTAAATTATTATAAAATAACATTATCCAAACTTTAATTTGCCCTGAATCTATGAGACAAAATTTCTGAACAAACAATAATCTTACTTTTCAATAATATATAAGTGTATGCGCGGGCCACCTTCCTAGTCCTCCTAAACGGCAAGCATGCATGCCGGTTGCTGTCTTCTGCAGTTTTTGCTGTCGTTTTTTTTTTCTCCAACATAAAAAAGGACGTGCTCATTCGTTGACCTCTATTATGTTGTGTCATGTGTCATGGCTAAATTCCAAGATTTCCGTTTAGTCTAGACAAGCATTGCATGCTACGTCTACACATGACCTACGCATTCGACAATTAGACAAGAGATGTGACGAATCGAGTGATGAGATATCAGGAAAAAGCCATACGCATTCGACAATCGCGATGTCAGTCAGTCAGTCACTCGATCGGCCAGATGCAAGCTAGCTACGGCAGGTTAGGCGATCGAAGACTTTGCAAAGGATTTTACCACTTCCGGTAATGGTAAGGTTTACCTCTCCTCGTTGTACGAGTTGGAGCGTTTGAGCGAGCTGGATGGCAGTGGAGTGCCCCTGACTCCGCTCTCCACGATGCTGCCGCTGAAGTACTCCTTCTCCTCCACCGCCAGGTGGCCGAACCGCCGGCTCAGCTCGCCGCCGCCGCCGGCCTCCTCGTCGTCGTCGACCTCCGTGCCGGCGCGTGAGGCCGCCGCCAGCCGGCTCACCAGGCCGCAGCTCCGCCTCGGCTCGGTCCGGCACTTGGCCGAGCCGCCGCCGGCCGCCGACCCGCAGGCGATGAGCTGCAGGAGCATCGAGCCGGCCCTGTTCGACTCGGTCTCGTCACTACCGCGGCCGCCGCCCGGCTGCAGCTGCGGCGCGGCAGGGGGCTTGTCGGAGGAGGTCGACGACGGCGGCGAGGTCTCCTCCACGGGCAGCTCCACCGGGCGGCTCCGGTTGGTGCGCGCCGAGACGGGCTTCGCAGCGAGGCGAGCGCCGCCGGCTCGCCGGTGGTAGCCGTACCCCAGCTCGTCGTCCTCGGGATCCTCCGCGGCGTCGTCCCGGTAGCTGTCCACGTACTGCTTGTGGCTGGGCGGCAACGCCAGCCGCTTCGCCGGAGACCTATCGGTGACACGAAGGTGTGGGAACCGATCTGCAAATTTTAGAGGAGAAAAAAACAATTGAACAGTTTACACAGCAGGTTTGGCAGAGACAGGTGACCATTATAATTCGGATGATGGATGCTGCTACAGTATGAGAGACTTCTTCTACCGCCACGCATTAATTAACTGATTAACCTCAGACAGTAGGGTCGTAGTGAAGTCTTCACACACGATTTACGATGTGGGTGCAGCAAGGAAACGTGCAAGGTGTAAGAAAGCTGTACTTGTGTTTTACTATCAGCACCCATCATGGCCCATTTTCACATTTGAAAAACGAGTTGACAATGTGAAGTGAGAACAAAGAAAAAAATTACTCCTTCCGTCTCAAAATAAATACAGTTTTAACACTGCTCATGCTCAACGTTTGATCGTTCGTCTTATTTAAAAAAGAATTATGATTAGTATTGTTATTGTTATTAGATGATAATACATGAATATTATTTTATGTGTGACTAATATTATTAATTTTTAATAAAATTTTTAAATAAGACGGACGGTCAAAACGCTGGACACGAATATCTATGGCAGCACTTATTTTAGGAAGATAGTAGCCTTTTTCAGATTGATAAGATGGCCTCTTTCTTGTGAGTACTGAAAAAGACGATAAATTATTGCTGTACATGCACCATGACCATGGTGTCCATGCAAAGTCATGGCAGTTCCAGTACTACTCCCAGTACTTTTTTTTTTGAACGACCTCTCCCAGTGCAATCAAACGGCGAGTCCATCAATAATAGTTTCACATGAAAAAGATACGGAGTAGTGATAGCAGGTGGAGTTGGCCGAGTGAGTACTTTGTAGAGTGATGGCCTGATGAGTACATACCGGAAGAACAGCCAGGGAAGATTTCGGAGCCCTTGAGAACGTACTCCACGCCGTCCGACGGGTAGATCACATCGTTCTCAGATAGATCGTTCCACACATACCCGTTCTTGTAGTTCCTTCATGTTTGCACACAAATGAGCAGCAATGTTACTACTACATCAAGCTCAAGTAAGTGTTGTACTACTAAAAGATAGAGAAACAAGTGGGAAGCATGCATGAATGACCGCAGTTTTCAGTTAGGTACCTCTTGCAAGACCATGAGAAGAGAGCAGGCATGCCTTTTCCCCTAAGCAGCGTGAGCCTATCCATCACATCTTCAGGCACGCACACCGCCAAAGAAAAAGAGAAAAGAATCAGAACCGGTGATCACCATAGAAGATTTAACTAAACTAAGCACCATATGCATTTAGCATGCAGATACAACAAGATGCAGGGATGTTCAGATGTGCACCTTTGAGGCGAAGTGGCTGGTGAGGATGCTGAGCCAGCTCCATGAAGTGCGGGTGCTCGAGCTGCCCGTTCCTGCAGAGGTAGTAGATGATCTGCACCTTCCTCATCGGCCTCGCCGGCGCCGACCTCACCGGCGGCGCGTACGCCGGCCGGCCCCGCTCCGGGCTCGCCTCCGCCCTGCCCACCACCTTCCTCCCTTCCACCGTCGCCTCCATTTGGCCTCTAGCTCTCACACTCTCACCACTGATGACCACACTCGCAGCGGCTTATATCACTCCTGACCGGTAGCGCCGGTGGCTAGTTGGGCCCACAGGTTTTAGTACTAGTACTCGAGTAGGAGTAGTAGAGGAGATATGGTTGGAATTGGAATGGGAATGGAAACATGCAAGTACCAAGCGCCCATCTCGAGTATTTACAGCACGCACCCTCCTTCTCTGTACATTTATTCATTACTCCTCCATTCCCGTGTAGTACTACTTGTGATTTTATAGGATGTGCTCATGAGCTCATCTGCAGTTGTGATTTTAGGATGTGCTCATGTGCAGTGCATCTAGCAACGCCAGCAATCGAGGGCAGAGGACGCAGAGAAAAATCCAGTAGAAAAACGGGTGCGGACAGCAGAGGGTATAGGCTGTGCGTGCGAGGCTGCATGCGACTGCAAGAGAGAAGAGAGCCGAGCGGGCGTCAGCGACATCGCTCCATCCATGCACGCACTGTTTGCGCAATAAGTGCGCGGTGTCCGGTGAGGTCTTGTGTTCCGGTGCGGTCTTGTGCAGTTGCGCTTGTGCCGCGGGGTCTCCGCTTGTTGGTTAGTTGGGTCGTCGAGCGTCGAACGCGGCATGCGATCGGGGGAGCGGTTGGGGAGGGCACCGTGTTGTGTAGTGCAGCTCAGGGCGGTGCGGAGGTGTGGAGGGATGGATAAAAAGCTCTAAGCTAGAACTTGGTCAAGCTGAGCTAGGCTATGTTTGGAAGATTAGCCCAGAGCTAATTTTGAGAGTTAATGTTTAGTCATTAATTAGTAGGCTAAATATTAGTCTAAGTTGGCATGTTTGGATCCATTGACTAATTCAAGACCAAAAGGTGGAGAAAGAGTAAGAGAGAGAGAGCTGCTTTTTAATGGTCCCCACACAAAATTAGTCTCATTAGCACCCCTTGGAGGGGCTAATGTTTTGATGGTGGCTAATTCACTTTAGCCACAAATTAGCCCACCTTTTTGGATTTTTGGGGGCACACTTTGGTGGCGAAAAAAACCCTCACCTTTCATATTCAGGCTAAAAGATGGAGGCTAATAATTAGCCCATGAAACCAAACAACGCCCTAGTGATAGAAGGTGAGGTTTTTTTTTCGCCACCAAAGTGTGAGTATTTAATCAACAATTACAAATGTCATATCATTGATGTTTAGTGAGCTAAAGTTTGGAGATTTGAGACAATTGGCTATCAAGATAGAAGTGGCATGAGCTAAGACCATAGAAGGAGTGAATTTGTTGTGAAAATAGAAGTCGATAATGAAGTATTATGTCCAATTAAGTACATAGACATATAATTGATCGACATATATTAAATTTTGCAGATTTTTTTGGTATTCCATAGAATATCCAGGATCCCTATTGCGTCCATAAGCTTAACGAGCTAGCTCGTTAGTATAAGATATCACCATATCTTTATATACTTAGTGATTATTAATTACCATTAAGTGTTATTATGTTAATATATGATAAAATAGTTTAGTATGATATAAATGAGATTGTTAATGAGCAGCTCATAAGTTAAGCCAAGCTAACCTTTTGCTAGCTTGTTAATGAGTTGAGTCGACCTAGTTTGTCCCCCATCCCCCCTCCCAATTGTGTGGTGTTAGAGCACTCACAGTGTATCGTACAAAATACAGCGCATGGGCTTCTAACTAGGCTAAAGAACCATATTAGCTACATACTCCATAATACATGTTGCTTGGAGTGGGTCTCACCTATCTCTCTCCGCTCACTTTTATCTCTCCCTCTCTCTCCTCTCACACTTTCCCACCACTCTCTCCCGGGCAGACGAAGCTCCTCCCCAAGCCGACACCGAGCTCCACGCCTCCACCTCTCCTCGTTGGGGCCGAAGGCGGCGACGCGGCCCCTTCCTCTCCCCGTCCGGTCTCCTCCCTAGGAGGAGGTGGCGGCGGCGCGGGGCGGCCGGGCGGAGAGGCGGCCATCCTCCCCAAGCCGGCGCGCCAACGCTCGGATCTCGGCGCCTCTCCCTTTCTCCTTCAACCTCTGCGCCGTGGCCCGAGCGGCGACGGCGTCGGGCAGCTGTGCTTTTGCTTATGCTGCTTTTCCCACTCTCTCTCTCTCTCCTCTTCTCAGCTGCGTCTGTGCGCTTTTTAGCCCAAGAACAGGTGACCAACTTTGGCTACTCGGTTCTCACTTGCATGTGGAGACGTGGCACCGAATATGCCGTTTCTTCCTCTAAGACTGAACGTCGCGTAGATACATTGTAATTTGTAAACGCCCTTAAGGTGCGTGAGTTGCGACGGGGTCAGGGACCAAGATTGTGGCGAGAATCCTAATACGTGTGTAAGCGTCGAAAACATAGCTCGCGTCAGCGAACGGTCCGATGGTTGGATGTAGTGGAAAACGAAATCGTACCGTTTTTTTTTCTATTACCGCTTCATTAATGATTCACGTAATTAAATTCGATTAGCACATTGCTTTTTTTTTTTGCACGGTTTGGACTTTTGACATTTAAAACTTGTAACCGAAATTTGAAAATTTTTAACTTATATTTTAAAAACGTTCAAGTCAATTTGAAATTTTCACCTCAAGATTTGAAAACTTCCAACTCAAAATTTGAAAACATTTAACTCAGATCTTGAAAACTTTCGAGTTAATCTGAAAACGACAACTCAAATTTTGAAAATTTTTAACTCAAAATTCAAACTTTTCACATCAAAATTTGAAAACATTCAACTTAAAACCTAAAACCTTTTAACTAAAAATTTCAAAACTGAGTTTAAAGTTTTCAAATCTTAGCTTGAAAGTTTTTAAACCAAAGTTAAAAATTTTGAAATCTTACTTAGGCCCTGTTTAGTTCCCACGCAGAAACTTTTCACCCTGTTATATCGAATATTTAGACATATGCATGGAGTATTAAATGTAGAAAAAAATCAATTACACAGTTCGCCAGGAAATTGCGAGACGAATCTTTTAAGCCTAATTGTGCCATGATTTAACATGTGGTGCTATAGTAAACATTTGCTAATGATTGATTAATTAGTCTTAATAAATTCGTCTCGTAGTTTCTTGGTGAAATTTGTATATGTGTCCATATATACAATGTGACATGTAGCGCAAAATTTTTTGCCAACTAACAAGGCCTTATATAGGAGCCTCTGGATTGCAGCTTTTGGAAACTAGCCGGCCGAGCCGAGGGGAGGAATAGGATAGCGGTGTCCTTGGATCTGATTTGATGGGATGGGAAACGGCACTAACCTGCAGCTTTTCGATAATCTTGTTCGAACCAATCGTTTCGTGTCACCCACCAATTGCACGCACACACGCAGGCATGCCTTGCCAGGACAATAATCAGGCTATCAAGTGGTCGCAGTAGCAGAAGAAAGTTTTGGTCTGATTAGAATCTCGTGAATTATGGAGCCATGATTAAGTTTGAACACTTTGACCTCCTTAGTTCAGTTTGAAGTGACATTGCTCGCAGTATTTTACTCTACCAGCAGTGCTCCTGTAACAGTGTCTAGTGGGTTGAGTTTTTGGCTTTTAGGACTTGTTTAGTTCGCGAAAAGAAAAATTTTTGGGTGTTATATCGGACGTTTGATCTGATGTCGAAAGGGTTTTCAGACACGAATGAAAAAACTAATTTCATAACTCGCTTGGAAACCGTGAGACGAATCTTTTGAGCCTAATTAATCCGTCATTAGCATATGTGGGTTACTGTAGCGCTTATGGCTAATCATGGTCTAATTATGCTCAAAAGATTCGTCTCGTGATTTTCCTCTAACTGTATAATTAGGTTTTTTTAAAATCTATATTTAATGCTCCATACATGTGTCCAAAAATTCGATGTGATGTTTTTGGGGAAAAAAATTGGAGAACTAAACCAGGCCTTAATAAACCCGGTCCCAGGTTAGTTTCACACTAACGATCTACTCTCTCCATTGCTAGTTCATTTTTGAATTGACCAATATCATAAAAAAGAAAAGAGACAGAGTACTCTCTTTGTCCTAAAAATAATCAACTTAAGAGGGGTCACATCCAGATGCATTGTCCTAGAACGGGTCGCATATCCTTTTAGGCCATTCACAGTGCAAGCACCAGCTCCCGTAGCTTAGCCCTAAAAAAGACTCAAAGACACTCGTTCTCACAATGCAAGGATCCTATTTTGTGTGACCTAGTTGGATCAAGGCACCGTACAAGGCAAAGAGTGCCACAACGCGCGTGACTCGGCGCATGACCACAAGGAAATAAATTTCCTTCACCTACCCTTCCTCCTCCTCCCGGTCACGAGCTCGGCTCCTCCCACTCCACCTCAGTCGTCGCTCCTCGCCTCCCGCGCCGCCGCGCCTCCTCACCTCCTGCGCCTCCTCGCCTCCCATGCTGCCGTGCCTCCTTCTCCTCTCCTCCCAAGCAACAGTGGGCGGCGCGGTCTTCCACAGTGCACGCGGTGGCGGCGAGGAGGAGGAGGTGGGGGAGTGGATCCGGTGGGCGGCAGCGGGTTCTTGGCGGCGGCGGCACCTTCTTGGCTGCGGCTGCGTCGGCCACCACTACCGGCGTCGGCTTCTTTTTTCTTTTTCATCTTGTGGTGGACATACGCCTCGATCTGTTAGTTTTTCTATTGATTTTTATTTCTTCAATTTCTCGTTGTTTAACCTATAAACGATTCTCCTCTTTCAATCCGATCTGTGAGATATTTCTGTTTGAATCCAATGTGTGTTTCTTGTTGAATCCGAAGATTTTCTTGCCTGTGGCGGGAGGGGAGGAATGGCTGTGGCGGGAGGGGAGTTTTCGTGGGCAAACCAGGGATTTCTTCGCAAGAGGACACGGCGCATCGAAGCCACGCCCTCCACAGTGCGAGCGCTAGCCGTTTTCTTCTCCGCCCATGGACTCGCAAGAACGAGGTTTCGCGTCGCCCTCCATGGGTGCGAGATCCTCTGCTAGGGTGCGATTCCTTCTGCCACGTAAGCGAAAATCCTCGCTAGCAAGGTGGAGCACCGGTCCATGTAGGTGCACTGTGAGAGGTTTTAGGTTGATTCTTTTTGGGACGGAGAGAGTACTTTACAAATAAAAATAATAAGGCGAAAAGTTTCTTGCATTCATTCCTGGCATTTTGCTATATTAGCATGCACATATCCAGAGTTCCAGACTCTAGTCTAGACACCCAATGGAAGACACTATTCAGACACTCATCAGACAGCGAGCATCAGCTGCATCAATGGCCGTCAAGACCAAACAGTGTCTCTCCTCTCCATGCATGCGCCACTGTAAAGTGTAAACACTGCAAGTCTGCAACAGACGTATATATAGCACCAGCTCAGAAATGTACCTCATCGCAGCAAGTATAAAAATCTAGTACTGGTATTTATTGTCTTCTTTTTCTTTAAAAATTCAAAAACATGACAGTAGCTACAGTGGTACTACGAGACATGTACTGTAGGAGTATAAAGGGTTGTTTGATACCTCATTTAGCTTTTGCATTTTTGCCATACACGAAACTATATAATCAATTAATTATTAACTATTATAAATTTTAAGTGGTGTTTATTTGATTTTTAAAGAAACCTTTGTATAGTATATATTTTTTTAAAAAAAAGCATATCGTTTATCGGTTTGAAAACGTGATGATCAGGTAATACATTTATGCGTCAAATTATTTCATTGCTACTGACACTCCAGAATGGAGAAAATGAGGCGGCATTACATTTTTTTTCCTCTATGAATGTGTATATAAGTGCATTGAAGAGAGGAAAAAGAAAATCATACTCCGCTTCTATAATTCCTGATGTTTTGGACAACAACACATATCCAAAACATATTTTTACTATGATTTTCTATTGTAACATATTAAAATTTACGTAAATATTTAATTTTATTAAAGTACTCCCTCCGTCCCTAAAAGAATAGGACGAAGGCAATACTTTTGAAGTATAGTTTCTTCATTCTAAATATTTTAAAAGTTATTGTCAGTCAAAGTTTTATTTATGAGATAAATAGTACTATGGAAATATTTATATTATATACTACCTCTATTTAAACGGCTAATGTTGACTATTTGTCTCGTAAAGAACTATGTACACGTGTTACTAGTTTTGTTATGCCTTATTTTATTAGTGACGGTATTTTATGTATGACTCATCTTTCTTTTTCATATTTACACTAAATTTTTAAATAATATGGATGGTCATACACTATGTTCAAAAGTTAACAACGCTATATACTTAAAATAGAAAAAGAGCACATGTTCTGAATCTTAAAAATGCTTAATATTACTGCGTGCTACAAATGCTATTATCTCATCCCCGATGGTCATGCATGTAGCTAGGAACAGGGTATTTAAGATCAGAGTAATCAGTAGCTTGTAGGTACTCCTTACTCTACTCCACTACACTGCGGTGCTACAAATGCTAGTGAATAAAAAGAAATGAAGCGCGCAATCCTGGCATCCCTTCTGTTCTTGATATTAATTCATGAAAAACGATGTAGGGTGACGAGCAGTATACAGTTTGCCCATTCTTACGTGTTGCTCTTCACAATGAATGCTCTGAAGATTCTGCTCCTCTGCTTCAATAAGGTTTGATCAATCTGACCATTTCCTGGAGAGTCGAGGGTTGAAGTGTGTCCCTTATGCATTCGGTTTGTTAGCGTAAGGCAACGTACCGACGGTATGTTTAGTCCCTATATCATGCATTGCGCTAGATGTACCGTTCCAAACTTGCACGGATTATGCCATGTCGCCATGCAGCAATTCAGAAGCAGAACACAAGAGGGACGAAGTAGTTGGGTCGCTCAAGCAAATACTCTCCATCTATCAGCGTAGGCCAGGGCTGAACATGGGCTGGGTCGATAGGTTCATGTCTACTGTGATGGAGTAGAAGGCACAGCTAGCCAGAGCGAGTACCAGCATATTGCCTTTGCCCCTGTTCTATTGATGCAGAGCATTTCCACTGAGTAAACAGTAGTCCTACATGTAGTACTACGTCGACATCAATTTTCATGGCCACACCCAACCAATGCAATGCTTTAGCTGCCTGATTGCGACCAAGCCTGACCCACATGTCGCTCTGAACTCACCAGATCAATTACTGTACCATCCTTCTTGTATTGATGCTCAGACCGGGTGATGTACATGTAACTTAGGAGTACTATCAGTATCAACTTAGGAGTATGTTCAAAATACACCTAGCAAATCTAAATCCAACGTGTGTGTGTGCGCACTGTGCTGTTAGACTTGCTCACCACATTCTAGCCATCATTCGCGCAATCACATCCATGAATCCATCATGACCAGCAGGCGCAGGTCTGTTTGTCCGATGATCTAGCAGTTGCAGCAAGGACGACGAAATGGGAGTACTCACGTAAAAAGCGGAAGCCTGAAGCAGCATGGCTGCATGGGGCAATCGTTGGTTCGTAGCACTGCCTCATGGACTCACGCTTTTGGACTTTGCCGCGCCAGCTGCTGTAATAATGTTACTAATGCAGTAAATCACCAAATGGAACAACTGCACAGAAGAAGCAGAAGACCCAGCGAAAGAAAAAAGAGAGAGGAAAGGCTGCTACGGCTACTAATAAGGGCTTGTTTGGATTCAATCATAAAATTTTACACCATATCACATCGAACGTTTGAATATCTGCATGAAGTATTAAATATAGGCTAATAAATAAATAATTACACAGATTATAACTAATTTGTGAGACGAATCTTTTAAGCCTAATTGCTCTATGATTTGGCAATGTGGTGCTACAGTAAATATTTGCTAATGATAGATTAATTAGGCTTAATAAATTCATCTCGCGGTTTACCGACGAATTCTGTAATTAGTTTTTATTAGTGTCCGAATACCCTATATAATACCCTATATAATATCCGATGTGACGCGCTAAAACTTAACAACACGATCTAAACACCCCTGAAGCTTTTAATCTGCACAATGAGCTCAGTGACGTCTTATCTGCTGCAGCCATTTCTCATGACACACCTCCACAATTATACTGTAGAGTAGACTGTGGAAACGTTTCGGAGGAAAGGAAGCAACAAGGCCCGGCCAGCGGCCAGCCGGCCAGGATCGATACATGGCAGAGGCACACGAGAAGCCAAGACGTCTCGTCAGATTAATAAATGTGCCGCAGTATTAACTGTACTACTGCCGCGCAGCTCCTGTCAGTTACTAGGACTCAGGCTCAGCCATGGCCAGACGGCTGGCACCTCCGATCACTTGTTTTATCGCTCCCTTTCCCTTGCAAATTGCCATCCATGGCCACGATCAACTCGGCTTGCATGCATCTGCAAACTGTCTTCGGATCCTGTGCTGCTGCCTGTGACTTTTACAGTGCCATCATGCAGTAAATGTTGGGTAGGGTATCGGCTCAACACAGGTCACGGAGCCAACAGAAGCCGCATGCAGCTAGCCATGCAAAGATCAGAATCGGGGTGACGTTAACGAGCACTGAGGTCGTGTTTACTTCACCCCTAACTTCCAGCTTTCTATCACATCACATAACATCCAAAACTTTCCTACACACATAAACTTCTAAATTTTTTTTCAAACTACCAATTTTTCTCAAACTTTCAATTTTTTTCAGCAACTAAACACAGCATGAGAGCAGCGGCGAGTCAACGGCTCAACGCCTCCCTCAACGCAACGGTGCGCCAGGCGCAGAGCTAGGGGAGTCTAGGCGCAGCACGAACGCCATTTTCTGTTGTCATTATCACCTGTCCATCCTGCACCGAGGAAGAATAGCCTGCGGCGCGGACGAGGGGGGTCGACGGCGAGCTCGACAAACGTTAAAATTGAAAGTTTTTAAAAAAAATAGAAATTTACGTGTGTAGAAAAATTTTAATGTGATGGAAAAGTTGAAAGTTTAAATAAAAATTGAAAACTAAACGAGGGCAAACTTGGCCGGGGCCTGGGCTCCGATCAGCCGAATCGGAGGTCAGGTCATCTGATCTGCCTCTTTCTTCTTTCTTTTTTTCCGCTCTGATTCCGATTCCAGTTCTACCGGGAAGTCAACACAGAAGGAGCCCAGCCCATCAAGGCCGAAACAATAAAGCCCAGGCTAGTTCAGCTAGGTGTTCTGAGGTCCGTACAATGGGCCTTTCTCAAAGCAATCTTCGCATTCCAATCTTCATCAAACCTAGTACAGTACAAAATCAAACTGTCAAAATGTGATACTTCCTCCGTATCACAATATAAAACTTTCTAGCATTACACACATTCATTTAGATGTTAATGAATTTAGACATATACATGTGTTTAGATTCATTAACATCTATATGTATGTGGGCAAGGCTAAAAAGTCTTACATTATAAAATAGATTCATTAACATCTATATGTATGTGGGCAAGGCTAAAAAGTCTTACATTATAAAACGAATGGAATACATATTATCGGTCGCCTTTTGCTTGTTCATTTATCTCCTGTACGCATGCAGTGGCGCTGTTTTGGCTCTTTGGCTCTCTCTATCTGATCACGTGCTTGATTCTGACTTCTTGAGTTGCCTTTTGCTTGTTCATTTATCTCTAGTACGCAGTGACACTGTTTTGGCTCTCCCTATCTGATCACGGGCTTGATTCTGACTTCTTGAGTTTTCCGTTCACTATCTCGGTAATATACCCATCCGATCCAAGCGCTTGACATTGAATGTTCCTCCTGTGTCTTTGTCTAAAAAGACTGAATACATTCGAATGTTTACAGTAAGGTAAAGCACTGACCAAGAAGTGCTTAGTACAGAGTAGAAAAAAATAAAACATAGAGAAGGGAGAACATCAGGGCAAAACAGATGTTCCGTCCACAAAAGAGCATAGTTCATGTGAAACAAATGTCTGTTTGACATGTCCAATTATTAGCCAAGATTTCATCAACACAACAAATGCACAGCGAGTGCTTTAAGAGTGAGTTCCTCGTAGCAATTTTTTTTGGGTATTCTGGTTCAAAAGCCTTATGCATGCCCAAAAGACATGATGGCATCTTTGGTAGGCTGCGGCAAGCCCCTTGGATTTCATCAATCTTCACGACGCAGCTCGCCGGTGGCAGGAGGCATCCATTTCCCGGAATTATAGACACTTTGGCCGACCTTCCATCCAGGGACATCTTTCATAATTATTTCCTCCCACATAAGAGACTTTGTCCACTCTTTGACAAATCTAAGGAAGTACCATGGATCTTATGCGTAAGATGAAACTGAGGATGTTGTGGGAAAAATATAGAGTATGGCATCAATTGTTGAGCTGTACCTTTCATCTTCTTCAGCTTGGAGCACTGGCACTAAAGCGGTGCGGGCAGCAATTTTCTCCTCTTTGAGTGCACTACAAAAACAATAGCACAGTCGATGAGACAATTGACAAATATAAAATGCAACAAAAAACAACATGAACTGCACCAGAAGACAAACATGAGCAAGCAATTTTGTCATAAACTGGGAGGGTGGGGAATGTAAACAGCATGGTTTGGCAAGATACTCATCAGAGCTACAGGCCTACTTGTAACAAACAACATAACAGGAAAGCATAGCAGGAATCAACACACTTGTTTTTTAATGTGTATGGTCATTAATAAAAAAAAACATTTAGATAAAAGGAGGATGATATCATTAGGTGCTGCACCTTGATTAAGGATTACTTTCACAATTAATCTAACCAGTCCAAAGTTATACTGTGACCTAACAAATGTCTCAGGATCACTAAATTGAATAAATAAGGCAACGGAACTCAGATGATGCCATTGCCACTGCAATCAAATCTGCATATAACTAGCTCAACGATGACAACAAAAAGTTATGGTTCACCCACACTGTCACATTAATGAAAATTTCTCCTGGAACTGAATACTGAAGAGTGGAGCACAGAGCACAAAAATCCTAGAATCCATGCTAAAAATACTGAAATGGTCACAAAGTATAGGAACTGATAAAATTAACATAAATATGTGGAAGATCTCACATCATCAAAGGGGTTACTAAAGGAGTAGAATTGTAATACATGCATACGAATAGTAACATCCAACTGTCCTAGACAGTCTACATACAAGACTATACCTATACTAATTGGGCACTCTGAGGGGACTCCCACGTTAACCAGATAGAGCTGGCCATTGGTTAGTTGGATTGAATTATCACAACCATAGATTGTATTAAAAGTTCGAGTTAAAAATATGCTATTGAAAATATTATAGATTCTTTAGTTTTTACTACAATGGAATCTTTAGTTTTAGATATCCTAAGGTTTTTCCTAAATTCGAAATTAACAAAAAATGAAGCTGTATCAACCTTGGACTCTCATTTTACTAATCTAATGATTTAATTCCTAAATTCGAGATCAATAATTAGTTGGGACCCATTCTAAGCAAACTGTTGTGCAGAGTTCACTGGATTCCCAATTTTGCAATATCTTTGCTCATAGGACTCCGATCGGTCTCGGGTTAGCTACTTGATTCTGAACTTATGCGGAGACAGACAAGTACGGAAGGGCAGCAAGAATCAGATTTCCTTCAGATTAACTAATCAGATAAGGTGCTGAATAGTAGTGTATCATTAACGCAGTTATTTCTTTTTTTGAGAAAATGCAGCAACTTCATCCATTCAGTGTGTGATACAACTACTACAACTCTAGTTCTTGCTAAATTCTTTGTATGTTGCATTTCCACCTCCATTACCGTACTTCGTGTAAAAGGTTTTTCTCAGACCAAATCGCCGGCTGCAACAATTCATTCGAAGTAGCGTAGAATATAGATAACAAGAAGCAGCTCTGGAAGGCATGATTTTTGGCGGGTGTCCCATACCAACGGAATTCGCGGCTAAACAGACACAGTAAAACGAATTGCAGTTTAACATAAACATGGATGCGCAAGGCGAACTTACCGGCGGACCTTGTTCCCCTGGCCAACCTGGTACATCCCCCAGGCGAAGGCGCCGAAGGTAGTGAGGAAGATGGCGATGGCGCTGGGCCCCTTGGTGGGGATCCGGCGCGCGTAGCGCACGGGCGCGAAGCCGCCCGGCGGCGGCCCGTCCTGCAGCACCGGCATGTCCTTGACGCTCGCCATCCCGGGCTTGTGCCGCACCCACGCCTCCGTCATCTTCGCCCCCGATTCGGAAACCCCACCGCCGGCGACGAGGTCGACTACCTCCCGCAGATCTGGAGCCTCCGGCGAGAGATCGAGCGGTTGGAGATCGCAGTTGCCGCTAGGGTTAGTGGACGGGGCAAGGCGAGACGACGATGCGAAAGAAATGGGGGCCAAGTTTTTGGGGAATCTCCTCGACACCAGCGAGAAGAGTGGGCTTGCCATTTCGTTCCTCTCCAAGGTGCTTTTCGTAAAAGTGAATACGGGCCGGGCCCACTTCACATACCGGGCCGTAAGGCCTGCGCGTTAATGGGCTTACATACTAGTGGGCTTCCTTTTTAATACATACCGGCCCAACTGTGGCATCCGAGTCTGCTACTAGTAAAATTTTGTGTGGTCTCGAACACATCAAGTTCACGACAGCATTGCGTTGCGCATCGCAAAAAAATCTGATCTCACCGTCGCGTTGGGACGTTGCTTGCTTGCGCATGACTCGATCGCTTCCACGTCGCAGCTCTGAGGTCACAAGTTTTCGTTGGCTAACCGATTGGCCTGGCCAGGGCAGGCCACATCTCGACAGCCTCGGTCGACCAGGACGCCGCGCTTGTACATGATTTTCGCCAAGATACCGGACGCGGACAGGAGAAGCGACGCCATTTGGCTAAGGAGTGGCTAATAAGCAGTTAGGTTGTCACCGGTCACGCGACTCCTCCGCGATGCGCCTCGGTTAACCGCGACTCCGCGACGCGCGCCTGTCGGTGTGCGCGAGTTTGCCTACGGATTTACACGCAATCTCTCCCCGATCCGTTGCCGCGCGTGTGCACCGGCACCGCGGCCGCTTTGGTTTGTGTTTCAGTGTACCTGCAATGGAAGGCAACATGAGAATCGGAGAGGAATCGATTCAGATGGGAAGGAATGGATGCTTCTGCTGCTCCTAGATCTGCGCAGATATTGGGCAGGAGGCATCTGCGTCCAAGAGAGAGACGCCGACAGCATGTGCCACGGGCCAGTAGCGACATGGCTTGTTGATTCCGGTCTTGTGCCATGGCAAACCTACCGAGGAGTACCGTGCTAGGCCATCGATTAGATACTTGCACTCTTACTGGCCCTTGGGTGGTTAGGAAAAGAGAAGGGAAAGCCGAGACTCATGCTCAAGCATTGGAGCAAGGGATCAGATGCAAGAAACATAAACACTGTGTTGTCCTGATTTCTTAAGACAAGAGGCAGCTGGGATATTCTGGCTTCGATCTCAAGCCAGTAATAGTTCAGTGTTAGAATTATCTTTCCTGCTTCACTGGGGTGGCCGGTGGCATCGTAAGAGATAGGTTGTCGGAGTCCATCATCTCGTGCCGGCCACCGACACAGAAACTATCCAAAGTCACGCTTAAGCTGCTGCTGAAATTTATCTCTGCTCGTCAATTTTCGGAGTGTTATTTTGACCTTTCTTTTCGTCCGCCTTTGGTCAAGGGAGGCAAAGTTAATTCAGAAACTTCTTGCGTAGTATGCTTCTCCCAGGTAGTCAGATTCAAATTCGCAGAAAGACAGCACCAAATTAATTATTTCTGCGTCTTCAGACAGAAGTATAGTCTAATGACGTTTTCAACTTTGCATTTTACATCTTCCTTCCAAACCGATCAACAAACTCTCCATTCCAATCTCCTGTAAACTGCATTTTATTCCGATGTACAGGCGAACAAATTAACTTTGCAGACCAAATATTCGTGCAACTTGCAACCAGGATAAAAGCAGCGGCCGTTACAGACTTACAGGTTCTTGTTCCTGCCACCAGAATTTTCACAGAACAAAGGCATCTTTCTCACGCCAAAGCAACGGGCGCCGCGCACGTAGATGTCAAGCCAAGATCCGAGTTAGTCAAGATATAAATATATAATAAATCTCATCTACGTAAAGTCACCATTAAAGAAAAACTTTCAGCTCCAGGACAATGTATGCACCATCACATGGACATGTGATAGAACAGTGAATCTTCCAAGAGACGAGTATTCTTTTTCAGGTTGCAACAAAGCAGCGATCCCATTTGGGCACACCAATGGGCAGGGAATCTGTGAGTGGAGCAACACAGGTTTTGTCTCCTTTCAGAAGAAGAAGAACAATCGCCAATCGATCGCTAATTCGCTAGTGGGAGGCTGTGGCGAGCATGGTTTGCGCACCTGCAGCCGCATGCTGCGGAATCAAGCTGAAAAAGAATTAAGGACAGAATTAAAAGTCGGCAACATCATGGAACAGTGAAAGCAGGTTCGGCCATCCTATCCCTCATCTGCAGCCTGTACCACACACACAACTTGCATCAGAATCTTTTACGTTATCTGTCCAGTGCAACTCTCATATCGATCGATCATAGCAGTTGATTGATGCAATGACGGCAACCTAATATCTATCTGCATTGATTACATCTCGTATATACATATGGCATGACGTTTTCCGAATTCCGCTGCAGCTGGTTCTGTGGTTTGCATAATTGCATCACACCTTGTTCTTGTTCAGGCAGAAACCGCAAAAACATCTTGTTGCATTGCACGCAGCTGTTTCTGAATTTCTGACTATGGCGATGGTATGGCCAAGAAATGGAGCTGATCGGGCTGTTCCAGAAGCTAAGATAGCACATGCAACTTGATTACTTGCAGAGAAGAAATTTTCAGTTCGCCGCGTGCTCGAGCCGACGCGAGAATGGAAAATTCCTTTTTCTTTTGTGGTTGCGATCCTCTTCTTGATTCTGACAGGAAGATGAGGTTCGCAGTGAGGCATGTCATGTCTCCCGGAAACCAAATTCAGGATTAAATTCTCTTTCAGAGAGACAAGCCTTTCCTACTCTGATCCGCTAGCTAGTCTTTCTCAGTTCGCCCCAAGGATATCTATATCCGACCTAACAATAGAGTACAATATCCAATCCTGTGTTCATCACTTCATCCAAAAACTTTGTTGCCTAATCACTGTACTTGCCTTCTTTAAACAGTACATGCTACTATGATATTCAGATTCAGCTAACTTAGCTCATAGAATATGTCCAATGTTGAAGTTTGTTCGTTTCAACATCTACCAAGAGAGCGATTAATTAGATGAACAGAACAGTAGGTGAGTTATGAGTAGCCAACAACAAGTTAAATTTAGCTGAACTGAAAAGAATGGGAAGAAAGCATCAATGATTGCCTGGAACGTATCCGTCAAGCAGAGAACAGTGCAGATCAATCCCTCCCGGTATTGAATACCGCAGACCTATGATACGGTATCCAACCAATACTAATTAAAAACACACTCATGATTTCTCATTAATCAACCAATCGATGAACTTAGGAATAAGTTTTGTTTTTTTTTAATAATTGAGGGCCTTATCCGGAGGAGAGAAACAGATAAGCCTCCCTGTCTCGCTAATCACGCAGCCGTGGCGATCGGATCCGATCCACTCGCGGGAAACCCACTTGCAGCAGCTCGGTGGCATGGTTGGTCACGGGGTGGCCTCAGCGAGACTGTCAGGTGGGCCCGGCGCATCCTCCCGTTAGCTGGGGATGGCGGTGACACGTCCGGACGACGGGGACGACACGTGGAGGGTGTGGATCGATTGATAGTTTGCGGAAAGTGTGGACTTGTACGCACGAACCCATGTGGCGACCCTACCCGACTTTGCCGGTTTTGATATCCACAAAATTATCCGCAGACCGAAACTAGCGACGACTGATCAACGGCTCCTACTCCTTTTTGCAGTTTTGCCCGCGGGAAGATTGTGTATTAGACTTAGATGCCTGTCCCTTGGTGATTACAGAAGGTTTACTTTCTGTTTTGTTTTGAAAGGTACTCCCTGCGTTCCAGAAAAATGAATCTGGACATAGAGTATGTACAGATTCATTATATTAGAATGTGTTACGTCGTGGTACGAGGTTAGGTTTTTTTTGGGACGGAGGAAGTATACAAGGTTTACTCGTGTGACATTTGTGTTGTTGTGTGTTCGAGGATGGCTGAAACGATGAGAGTTTTGACCCTCGGAATGCATGAGAGATATTTGAATAAACACATTTCTAATCTACCATAGTGCCATATAAAGAACTTTTCCTCACAACAACTACGAGCCAATTCATTTATTTTTTTTCTATTTACTAACTTGAAAAAATAACTCATTGCTAACTTTTGAATATTTAAACATACTATATCGATCACTGTATCAGTTAATTACTTCTTCTGTCTAAAATAACTTTTAATCATAGGAGCACTAAATTAAAATGAAACAAAAAGACAAAAAAGTACATCTTATTAATGGAGATGTAGTATTGGTGAATGGTTGGATATGTAAGAGATATGGAAGAATAAAATTTGTCAATTTATGGACTGAGATAGACTAAGAGAAATCTTTTATGAAACAGAAAGGTCTGGCAAGACCTTCCCCTTTTCTCATATTAAAAAAGCATGTTAACTTATTTATGAACAATGGCATATGATAGAAATGAAGTTAGATGAAAGGAATGCTCATTCCGTCCCAGAAAAAACCAACATCGTATCAAGATATGACATAGTGTAGTACAATAAATTTGGACATATTCTTTTTTTATGGAGGAAGTATATCTTTTGCTTTAATTGTAGTACGATCATTTAATTAACAGCCCAAGTCGTAAAAAATAATGAACCAACAAATAAACAACCGGGAAGCCACCAACGGTCACGCCGGTTTACACGTGGGGCGGCCAAAGAGAGTAAAAAGAGACTGACTCCTACCCGCCAAATACAAACTTCTGGGAGGCCCTTTGTCCTAAAACCGACAAAGACCAAAGCGGACACGGAAAAAAAAATTCCATAAAAAAAAAACCGCGCGGAAAACCCCCACCCCACCGCGCACCGCCAGGGCGAGAGAAAACGTCGCCGCCGCCGAGCCGCGGAAGCCCGCGGCGCTGCCCCCCAACACCTCAAAACCTCCCACACAAGCCTCCTCCCCTCCCCCATTAACCTCTCCTCCCGTCCTCCCCCACCTCCATCTCGCGATCCCTAGCTCGCTCGCTCGCTCTCTCGCTGGGTGCTGATCCAAAGCCCTCGATCCCCTCGACTCAGGCTCTAGCTTAGCCATGGATGAAGAGGCGCGCGCCGCCGGATGCTCCCCAGCGCCGCCCCGCGCGCCGGCTGCTTCCTGTGGCGCTGCCGCCGAGCTCTGCCTCTGCTCCCCTACAGGTGTGGGTAAGGGGCATTCATGCTTGCTTAATCTCCTTCGGTTTTGGTTCTCGATTTGATTTGGTGTTGGTTTGGTTTGGTGTTGGTTTGGATGCAGAGGGTATCGAGCAGGTGCCTGGATGTCCGTGTTTTGAGGACGCCGGCGCTGTCGTGGTGAGTGGAGAGGCGCCGGAAGGACCGGGGGTTTTGTGCTCTGAGGATGGCGCTGAGCTCAAATTGGCTGAGCAGGGTGCCCTGGATGTGAGATTAGGTTCTCCGGCAGTCGGAATCCATGAGCAGCAGCTGTTGCATCGTGGTACTTCAGGTTCCGATGAAGCTGGTGCAATCAATGAGATTTCACCCGTTGAGGTGTCGCCGTCAGAGGCTAGTTCAAATTTGGATACTGCTGGGGCTATTGGTGGCTCCCCTCTCATGTTGGAGTCCCTGCCAGAGACCAGTGATACCCGAGGATGTGAACAAGAGGTTATGCCCGGTGTTGTTGTAGGGTCATCTAATAGGGATGCAAGTTCTGAGGTCGGTGTCGAGTCGGAGCGTGGCTCGGATGCGGACGGTCGAAATGGCCTTGGTGAAGGGGAATTGGTGTCGAGCGTTGATGGAGGCGGCGCCGAGAAGAGCTCAAAGGTGACTGGCGTCTTGTCTGAAGAAGGTGTGGACGGGATGGAAACAGCCCTGGAGCCGTGTGTGGCGTCTGTTGGCTCCATCACGCAGGTTGAGGAAGGTGTGGACAGGATGGAGACGAGTTTGGATGACTCTGAGGCTTCAGACGGCTCAACCACGCAGGATTTTGATACTGACGTGGAGACGGAGTCGAGCGGTTCAAGTATAGAAGAACAAGACATGGGATACGGAGTGCACATCCCACACACGGTATTTCTTTTTCTGCAAACTCATGACCTAGATAGTTGTGAACGTGGCTATGCTTAATATCAGTAAGTTGATGCTGTATGTTTGTAACTCAGGTTTGCAGTTTATATGAATCAGTTTAGTTTTAATACAAAGATACAGCGTCTGAAAATTAGATACCTCATCCTAGTGAGTCATTTTTTTCTTGCAATTATATGCTTTTATTGAGTGCTCTACATTTATTTTCACACTTCATATCAGTATTCAGTACCTTGTTAGTTATTTGGTTATCCTTTCATGATACGGTCATATATCACTTTTTCTGAAAGGCGTGTTTGTTCAACTAACTCAAGAGACTCAGATTTTGTGTGATATCAATGCACAATTTGGAAGTGACCCTGTTCATAGAAATTTATAGGCCGCAGGCTGCAGTAACTTTCGGGGAGCTTTTGCTGTCATATGAATAAGAATATACCATGGTAATGTTATTTTCTTCTGCTCAGATGTTTGTTCTTCCCCTTTGTAGGAACAAGCGATCTGTGAAGTGGCCAGGGGAAACAAGAGTTCAGAGGTGAAGAGCTCTGACAGGTACTACTTAGCTCTATTGCTTTTAGCATTTTAGAGTTTAAGGTTTTGACTCAGCTTGATCCTTTTGAATGAATATAAAGTTATTGAACTGAAGCCTCTGGTGTAATTTGTTTGCTTTTAAAGTTGGATGTTCCACATGGTTTTATCATTTTCCTTTTGAACCTGCAGAGATTCAAAGAGATCGCATATTCATTTTTTATGCTTAATTCTTATGTAGGATGTCTTCAGTAACCCTACCAACACTTATATTGGCTTCAGGTGCAGCAATGCTACCTCATCCTTCAAAGGTATTATGGTTTTTCTCTGACCCTTGTCTGTAAAATATATTTACTATGTCCTTCAAATAAAAAATGCACTTCAGAATGATGGTACCACTATCTTGATTTTTCACTTGAATGGGTTTGTGTATTTTTTGTATAGAGATGAAATAAGCTTTACTTTCATGCTGATAAAGTTCATTCCACTCCACGCTATTTCCAAATATTTTACAAGAATAATAAACACTATTATCTCGCTTCTGGTTTATTTCTTGCTCCTTTCCCAGTCTATATGTGATCTATAGTTTTCATATTCCTTAAACCTTAGAAGTAAAGATAGAAACATCAACATAAGCTTTTGAAGCAAACACACAATTATAGCGTTCTATCTGCTTGTCCGAAACCCCTTTACGTGAAAGTACAAAGGTATAGCCTCTATCCAAACAAGTGTTGAAACTAATATAATTCATCAACATTTAGCCCAAGTATCCCATGTATTTTGATCGGTTGAATTCTTTGTGCAACTTTTTGATATCTGGTTTTATACCTGAAGTAACCGTCCACGTGTATTTGATTTGTTGAATATGTTAAGTTGTATTACCATCGAGATAACCTCGCATTTTTCTTCAGTCATTTTGACAATGTTATCTGCATAATATTCCAGGTGCTGACAGGTGGTGAAGATGCTTATTTTATAGCTTGTGACGGTTGGTTTGGTGTAGCAGATGGAGTAGGTCAATGGTCATTTGAAGGTAAACCAATTCTTCTTTCTCAACTACTATTTGTTGTGTAACCTCGTCGTTGCAGATGTGTTGAACTCCTGAGTTTTTTTGGTGACCAATACTAATGGCATAATTAATCTCCATGGGATGCAGAATATTTGTACACCAAATTAACTTAGAAATTGGGAAATTTTGTGATTAGGTTCATAGTGGCATAACTATAAAGGACGTGCCTATTTTCGATTACTACTGTAAGGCTCCAAAATTCAGACAAGTTATAAGAATTCCAGGTAAAGTGGGAAGCGAGATCACATTTAATAGAGACTGACAGTGACTATCAACCTAAAAAATGATGGCTGCATTCCTTTTGTTTTTTTTTCTTTTCTGATGTTTAAGGCAAAGACAAATGATAAATAGAACTACTATAGTTTTCAATATCGCACTCTACATCATTTTTATTCATCATTTTATTATGGTATTTGCTTTGTTGTGATTTTTAAATTGTCACTCTATCTGTTGCTAGCTCAATTGAGTGTAAATGAACAACATCTTAACATGTAAAACCAAACAAAATTGTGGAATAATAGGTAATACACATGGAAATAGGACTAAATCATGTTGCTAAAATATGCCATAGTCCAGTTATTAGTCCCAAATGTCATAAAACTTACCCTCGAGCAGAAAGGGGAATAGGAAAATTATGTAGGGGAGACTGAGAAACTATGGAATCTAAGTAAATGAGGCACTGAACTGAATTTCAGGGGGGCACAAGGCACTGCTAAAGAATCATTGTGTACAGCAAAATATTATTTTCTGCTCTAGTACAGCTCGTATATCACATAGTATATAGGGTGCTCCAGTCTGTAAGCCAGTTTGTTAGTATGTACTATTGGAGGATTTGAAGAGAATTATGGATAATATTTCTATCTTCACCTAATTTCACATTAAGTGTGGATTCCATTTCTCACCATTCTTGCTATCCTTTGGAATATGGCCACTTACATTTGTTGATTTGACTTCCGTCCTCAGGAATCAATGCAGGGCTGTATGCCAGAGAATTAATGGATGGTTGTAAGAAAGCTGTTATGGAGAGTCAAGGAGCTCCAGAGATGAGAACTGAGGAAGTTCTTGCTAAGGCTGCAGATGAAGCACGATCCCCTGGTTCTTCCACTGTTTTGGTTGCTCACTTTGATGGTCAAGTATGTTCGTAGATGTCTTGGATGCCCATTTCTCTTTTCTTTCACTGTTGGCGAATGGTGATTAATTGTGAACTCATTGGTTTCACAGGTACTTCATGCATGTAATATAGGTGATTCTGGATTCTTGGTGATAAGAAACGGAGAAATATATCAAAAATCAAAGCCAATGACTTACGGCTTCAATTTTCCCTTGCAAATTGAGAAGGGGGATGATCCTTTCAAACTTGTACAGGTGCCACAGCACTTACCCTGTCATCCTTGCCCTGCTATCATTGGTTCCTCGTATAAAGTTCATATGAACTTAAAACTTATTTTGTCCCTCTTTGCTGGCAGAAATACACAATTGATCTACAAGAAGGAGATGCCATTGTGACAGCAACAGATGGCCTTTTTGACAATGTCTATGAGGAAGAAATAGCAGCTGTCATCTCCAAATCATTGGAAGCCGGCCTCAAGCCTTCGGTTAGATCCTAACACTTTTCTTCTGAAAATACTAGAGAAGACTCACCCATCTCATATAGAACTGTCCGTGAAGTGTCCTTACATGATCATTTTGCATAAAATCACAGGAGATTGCGGAGTTCCTGGTTGCTAGGGCGAAGGAAGTGGGCAGATCGGCAACCTGTAGAAGCCCCTTCTCTGACGCGGCTCTTGCAGTTGGGTATCTGGGTTACTCTGGGGGCAAGCTGGATGATGTAACAGTTGTTGTATCCGTTGTTCGGAAATCTGAAGTTTAAACTATAAGCCTCTTTTTGGCTTAAGTGAATGCAGCTCCTAGATTTTGCCAGAGCTGCGTTTGCTGGCGAATGTCCATGAGCATTCCATGTGAGGTACCCCCAACCTCACGTGTACATATGATAAGCTGTATGTTCCTCGTGGCCATGATCGCAGCTACTAAGTAAGTTGCGATTGCGCTTCTCTGTCTCGAGTGAAGCAGCTGTGTTTGTGTGACTACGGGCTAGTTTTGTTTGGTTTCATACAGGGTGTTGGGAGGGAGATGACACTGGCTTGGGTAAGGTCCATATAAATCTTGGCCTCCGAAATAAAGCAAACTGACACACCCAAACTATGGATGGGCTCAATCAATTTGAGAGAACAAAAGGAGGTGGGCCCAAACTAGTGCTTTAGGGCTTAGGCCAGCATCACTAGTTCACTAAAACAACAACAATTACTAGTTTACTTTGATCGTTCTAGGCCTTATCGATCTTACGCATCACGTCGTAAAACTGAGAATGCAACTAAAAAAGATTGATGATCTGTGAGAACCTTTGTCATGAACGTAAAAAATGCTGGTTTAAGTGTGTAGTAATATGGAGGGAAAAACTCTCACAAGATACATCTCGGTACATATGCAAACACACAAGTCAACAACTGCAACGACACGCTCGTTGGATGGACCCGTGCAGGCCAAAGCCTAACTAGGCACGGTGCGCGAGCAGAGTAGCGGCGGCGATTACAGCGGCAGAGAACAAGGCCGCCTTTGTCTCCTTGGGCCGGACAGCAGCCGACGGCGATGGGGCCGGAGCTCTTACGGTGGCGGCGGCGGAGTCGCTTCCTGTCCCAGCAGGCGATGCCGAAGGCGACGACCCCCCGAAGAACGGAGCCCCGGAGAATGGAGCGGGAGCTGGAATTAATGGAATGGAAGGACGCCAAGTTAACTGATCCATTTTGTCGGTGTTTGACTGTTTTCAGAAGGTATTTCTTTCTTTTTGAATTGAAAAGGCTATAGGTACAAAGCTTTACAAACTGTGAGTTAATTGAGATTTTCTGTAATTATTTTACAGTTAAATCAAACGGTTAAAAGCTTTGTTTGTAAATATTTTTTAAGCATGTGTAATATTTCCTTTTTTTGAAAGAGTTATTTAAAAGCATATTTTGTAATGTTACTTTTCAGAATAATTATACTCTGTAAAAACAATTATTTATAACATGCAGAAGCAATTTATCGCTCTACCTTTTTTTTCCCAACACATCAAAACCCATGCCAATTTTATTCAAAAATCTAAATCCTCTTGAACACGCGTTATGCATTTGCAGGCTAGACAGGTACGTGCAGTGCGCGTGTGTAACGATGTGTGTGCATGTACTCCCTCCATTTCGAAATGTTTGACGTCGTTGACTTTTTAGCATAGGTTTGACCGTTCGTCTTATTTAAAAAATTTAAGTAATTATTAATTATTTTCCTATCATTTAATTCATTGTTAAATATATTTTTATGTAGGCATATAATTTTACATATTTCACAAAAGTTTTTGAATAAGACGAATGGTCAAACATGTGCTAAAAGTCAACGGTGTCAAATATTTTGAAACGGAGGGAGTATCTTTTATGTAATCAGGAAAAAAAATAATGACTTTGTAATTGAGCAATCAATAACTTACCAGGAGCACCACCAGTCACGCCCGGAATAGAAACTGCAAGAGCGCACGAACCACATCATCAGATAAACAAACAAGAAGAAACGGAGACTCAGTTTTCTTTTCTTTTTTTTCCCCCCGAAGATAAGAAGAAGATCAAATTGTGAGCAGAAATTAATTTACTCACGGTGGCACTTGCTGAACGGCGGCGTCTTGACCTTGCACGCGGCGGGCAGCTGGAGCGCCTTGGTCATGTTGAGCGTGACGCCGAAGTTCTGGCTGCCCTGGAACGCCTGGCAGAGGCAGGCCACCTCCTTCTTCACCACGCCCTTGAGCCCCGAGCAGCACGGCGCGTCGGGCTTCGCCACCGTGCTCCCCTCCTGCACGTAGCTCAGGCAACCCGCCAGGCTCAGCAGCGCGTCCGTGCAGTCCGCCGCCGGCGCCGGCGCCCCGGCACCGCCGCCGCCGGTCGTCGCCGCGCCGTCTAGTACGGCGACCATCGAGAGAAGCAGCAGCTGCAGCAGCAGCGACGAGTACGACCACGCCGCCATGGCCGTGCTCCTAGTCCTCCCAGCTCCTGCCATTCTTTGCTGCAGCCGATAGCGATGACGATCTAGTGCTAATTGGGGTTGGAATGGAAGGGTTTATGTGCTGATGGACTGCTACTCTGCTAGTGGGAGTTTGGTTGGCGTTTACACTGCGGCGACCTCACTGACAAAGTCACGCACACCCTAGCGAAGTCTATGAAAATGGCGCCTTGCCACGGTGCGTAGCTAGTGGAGGATCGCACGCGCGCGCGCGCGCGCGGGGCATGGCAAATTGGCAATGTATTGATTGGAAAATCTTTGGCAGATGGATGCATGCATTGGGGATGAGCCGGGGACGGCGAGCGTATAAACTACAGCGAAGTGGCGGGCGTGCGTGCGGTGGCAGCGGCGGTGCGCCTGGAATGATGAGGCCGCGGCGCTAGCTTTGTGGAATGTGGATGTGGGTTGATTTTAGCCCATCTTTTCAAAAAGCTTTCGATTGGGATCGGCCACTGATTGACTGACCTTCTCCTCTCTTTCACATTGTTTTTTTTTCTCCTGCAGCCCTGAAACCCAGTTTGATGGTTCCTCTGTTTTTTTTCCCTGCAGCACAAAACTTTTTTTTTATTTTTCTGCAGAACAAAACGGGCATGGTTAATTGTGCAGGTAGTTATAGAAAAACTAAATATACTCACAGCATGACACGTAGTGTTAGCAAGAATTTAATAAAACAAAATAAGAATTTAATAAAACAAAATTTAACACGTATAGATTTTTTCTTATATTAACTGGCAATTGGATGGTTCCTCTCTTTCTATTTTTCTGCAAACGGGCAGTGTTAGTTCTATAGCTACATTAAACGAGTATATGCTCGTCTAATCCATCGTGACAGGGCTGACGTTTGGTGACACATCGTGTGGTCTTTTGGAAAGCTTTTTTTTTTTTGCATGAGAGAAAAAAAAAAAAGCCGTGCGCGCACATTGGCACGAGAAGTGGAATCCAAAGACCTTTTCAAGCCATGCCCGGGACCCAAATGCGGTGCACGCCAAACGCGGCTGGAGTGGAGTGGCTGCTTACGCTGCCTCGTCGAATCGCTTACATCACATTCAGATTCAGACATTCGCCAACAGATCACGCAGTAAGCGTTGCGAGATGCACTTCTATATTGATGCTGAAAATACTATACATGAGAAACAAATGCGCCCGTGAAACGCCTTTGTTCTCCCTATTGAGAGAGAGAGAGCAAAGGGCAGTCATACATGTACACTAGATATATACTCTGCAATAAAGCTTGCGAAAGTGCATGTAACCTAATGGTTGCAGTGACCTGAGTAGTATTTTATGGTCCTGAGTCCATATCTCTATAAAAGCGAATTTCAGATTAAGTTGCTTGAGGGCTTGGTTGGATGTATAGGCTGGGTAAAAAATACCATTCTCTAAAAAGAAACTCTAAAGTAGTCCTGCTATTTGGCGCTGAAACAGGCGATCGAGATCCCAGTGGGGACGGCGGTGTGGCCGGCGCAGGAGTTGGCGATAATGGGAGCACTGGAGCTGCACAACATTAACCAGCCAGATTCTCTCTGAGGGCCACTTTCTTTTCAGCAAGGCAATGCGCGTCAACTGCAGTAGTACCAGGTTCCGGAGGCTGCGCGTTGTACGTCGGAGCACGGAGCTGCACAAGCACAACGACAGGCAAAATCAGAACTAACATCAGATTTTTCACCACGCCGAGAAAAGAAAAGAAATGCAAAATGGGAAACCTACGCAGGCCGACTTGGGCCACCGCGAGACACGACGGCCCAAACCGCCCAAAACGGTCGCAACTCGCAAGACCATCCGTCTAATAAACCGATCGGACGCCCGTGTAAACGTACTACTCCGCACGTCACGTCTCGTACCGTGGCGAGGGCTGAAGAGAAGGGAAACCGCAGAGGCAACCGGGCGCAGGAGGCAGCGGCATCGGCGACGGCGCGGGCGGATCCGACGGGGAGGAAACGGCTGCAGCGCGCGGAGCACACCGAGATGCTACGCCATACTCCGCTCCGCACGTCACGGGATTATCTGCACGAACGTCAGAGGGGAAAACACAGATGTCAAGGCGCGCTCTACACGTTACGCACGAACTCGCGGAACTCATGTGATTCGCCTTGCTGTCTGTCTGTTTGGAAAATTCTAATTTTGTTAGAGCATCTTCAGACTAATTAAAATAGACTCTCTAAATACCCATATAGCCAGTTAACCAATTGATTTGGTCGGTCAAACTCATTGTTGACTATAACAACCTCTCCATCTAAACTCTCTATTCTGAGCCTATGACATTGGGATCCATATGTCAGTCTCTATTATCCCTCCTTCCTCTTTCTTCCCCTCTTCCTCTAGATTTTCTCCCTCTCCTCTTCCTCAACACTGGCAAATGGAAACGACGACGGCTACCGCAGTGGATGGGGATGGTGGCGGCGGCGAATGGCAAGGCGGCGACGGCAAGACGGCGGAGGCCGCGTGAATCCACGTCGCGCCGGTGGGGACAAAGGCAACGGAGGTCGGTCGCCGCCGGATCCAGACGACGGCAACGGCAACCTCGAGGACGACTGGCGACGGTGCAGACGACGGCGACAGCGGCTAGCGACCTCGACAACGATGGTGGCGCTCCAGCGTGGGTTCAAGATGCTCGCCGTCGTGCTCTCCGCCGCCGGCTCCCCAACAACCCCGCCACGGCCCCCTCCTTGCCGCCGGCGGCGGCCTAGCGCCCGCGCCGAGGAGCTCCGCCGTACCATCCTGGTGCACGGAAGCCGATGCTCGCGGCGGTGGCGAGGTCTTGGCTGCCTGCATCATCCGAGCTGAAGGAGAGGGGAGGAGGAATCTGTGTGGGACCCATGGTTGGCCAGTGATTTCTGGCTGGCCAAATTTGACTAGTGGATAGGGGGTTTTGGCCAGTTGAAGAGGCTGTTAGAGCACGTTTTTAGGCTAGAATGGCTAAAATTTGACTTGGAGAGTAGGATGGAGAGACTGTTGGAGATGCTCTTACGAGGATGATATAGGAGTATACTCATATAGGTGTATGATAGAAAATCTAGTTTGATGCGGTAAGGGCATCACCTATAAATTTCGCCATCTGCCCGCGGTTTTCAGTTTTGATCACACCATCCTCTACTCCTCTTCGTTGCATAATAGTTGGCTAATAACGCGAGCAACGAAGCATATAGTGCAGTTCTGCATAAACCATCTTGTTTACAAAATCACAACAAGATGCTATGCCTAGTTTCCTGCATTGTTTGCCTCGCGGATTAGCAGTTTAGCACACAACAGAGAAGGGGGAATTGGTTATGTTACAAGGCGAGAAAATAATAAAACGCTCAGCACAAAGTCAGCGATGAACTGAAATCTCCGATACTAATAAGTTATAAATAGAGGGGAACTAGCTAACATTCTCCATAACATCATCCAGTACCATAGTAAGGCTGCTGCTAGTTGCATAGCCCGATAAGAGTCTCACACAAAGCACAGAAGGTTAAGAATGGGAAAGACCGAAAAATCACAAGAGAAGCTAAAACAATTCTTAGAGCTAGCTAATCACGTCTTTCTTGCTCCATCCCATTCGCCTCTTTGCCACATGCCACGGCTGCTCGGCCTCGGCAGCCTCCCTCACTTGTACTCCAGGATCATGTTGTTCTCGGGGGCCAGCCCAACGCAGGCCCTCATGATGTTCTCAAGCATTGCCCTCTGCTTTGCCAGGGCGTTCACCACTGGTGTGCCAGGAGGAACCTGTTCCAGGAGACGAATTTTTCGTGACATAAGTAAATCAGTTGGTATATCATGAAAGAACATAACGGTTAATGGGCAGTACAGATGCATGTATGCACTCACAAGGGGTGCCTTGGTGAGGTAGCTCAGGATGGTAGCCACTGGATGGAAGGAATGGAACTTCTCCTGCACAGGATAACAAGTGAAACAACAACATAGTCAATTTTGCTGGCAAAAAGGGTGGCAATTGCAGAGCAGCAGAGAGTCAATTGATCTCAGTCCATCAGAACTCTTACCTCCCCCTCGGCTTTCAGCTGAATCCTGGTGCTGAGCTCGGCAAGGAGCACCAGATCAAGAATGATCGGCGCGGCAAGGAGTGAGTCCTCACAGGTGTTGTGCAGAACGATGGTGCTCTTACCCCCCATGAAGATCTCTGAGGTGTACTCGTCCATTGCCCTCTTGCTGTCTCCAACATACGGCACATACTGCAGAAGAATACATGGACAAGTTTTAATCCAAAACTAAGTTTTTTTTTAATGGCATACTGCTGCAGAAGAATCCATGGACAAATTGCAAACCTTGATCACAACAACATGATCAGGATGCTCGCCAAGCTCATAGAGGATGGCATTGCTTGAGACCATGTCATCGACCACATTGCTCTTGGAGATCTCCTTGGATCGGAATGTTTGAGGTGCGGAAAGGTTCATGCCATCATTATTCCCCAAGTGGTTGTAGCTGACAATTGAGGTGGGCTACGAAAACAAAAGCCAAAGTTCTTATCAGGTTATATATAAAAAAAAGTTTCCGGAAGAATATCGACGTTTCAATGCGAAAAGCTAGCCAAAGGATTTGATATATGGTTGGTACCTTTATTCCAGCACCAACTAGGAAATCAACCAAGACAGACTTCATCTTTGTCTGTCCACTCTTGAAATCATCACCACCAATCAGGCAGTTGTTCTTAATAGCAAGATCGATCAGCCCTGTACACAGTAAACAAATAAGCCATGAACCTGAGAAAATAAACCGCATACTACTCTACACAGAAAATTACATACCAGGCACAAAGGTGTTCTGAGGACTCCCGTTAATGAACGGTATACCCTCCATGACGCAGGCAATGGCATACAGTGTCGATGGTGATATCTCCGCCTCGTTCTTGTCCACAGACGCCAGGAGGTTCTCCATTGTGTCATTGAGCCCAACACAGACATTGCTGTACCTTTCAGTGTTTGCAGTCCACAACACCACCACCTTGTCCACTTTGCTCTTTTCCTTGAACTCCCTATTTAAGTAATAAAAAAAATATCATGTCTAATGTTTACAGCATTCATAGTCACAAGTTTGTCATGTTGTTCCAACCATCTTAATGCAGACTGGAACTAATCTTACGAAACAAGTTCACTTCAGTAGTATAACTCTTCGGGGAGCCCTTTTGATATATGAAAGTGCCAATATATATTTAGTGCTTTGACACCATATCATGTGAATACTATTTTCTGTTATAAGCTGGTGCCTGAAGGTATTCCGTTATTTCTGCCCCTAGTGTTCATGCCTCGTAGACATAACTAATTCAGAATACTATTCCTTTTTGTTATGAAGTAAAATGGGCTCAATTCCATGCATGCCAGTATACCTGATGTCCTTGATGATCTGCTCCATCTGCTCCTTCTTGGTGCCCTTGATGACATTGTTCGCGCGGGATCCCTGGTTGGCGGCGATGAAGTCGGGGTCATAGATGCCGGGGAGAGGCACCATGGACTCCATGTAAGGTCTGAGCTGCTTCTGCAGATCAATGTCAAGTACCTTTGCCCTGGTCATAGCATCAGCCAGGTTCATGTTGCTAATGTCCCAGCCCCCGAACACAAGGTCATCAGGGTTCACCTGAATTTTTTTCATAACCATCAGAAAACGGAAAAACAGGTTCTGCAAATCTGAAAACTATTTGTGGATGTATTCAACAGATCAATCATTGTCCAAAGATGCTGGAACCTTGTGGTTGTACCACAACATTTTGACTTGCATCATCACAACATGACAAAGGTGACACACGATGGTCACCTTTTGACACCCTTTTATGACAGGACTTATCTTTTGATACCCTTTTGTGACAGGACTTATCTTTTTCTTTTTTAGGACATGACCACAAGTCAAAGTTTCTTCTTTTCATTTAGAACCTTGGCCTTTAAAACAGGCCAAGGCCATGTTATGATTGTACTAGCACTACTACTATCACATTAGCAGTGTATTACTACTACCATCTTTTCCGTGGTTAGCATGTCAAAGAAAACAGGACAGATTACCATGGGCAGGAGGCTCTTGAAGGGCGCGTAGATCTCCTCCCCGTTGTAGCTCCCGACCCTGATGGTGGACGCCTGGGTGAGTGAGCCATAGTAGTTGGCTTGCTGCACCTTGTCCTTGGTCGCCCATGAGATTCCCCTGATTAAACTCACACCATCATCAGTTAAATTCAGAAAAGAAAAAACAGATGAAGCTAGCTTAGGCAGAAAAGTAGAGCGTGAGTGATCACTTACTCCCTGTTGGCGATGACCCCAGCCGTCAGCGTTGAGCCGTTGTTGCCGCCCCACCCCACGAGCATCACCCTGCACCCACAGCCATAAAACTGGGTCAAGAAACATGATCGACAAGTGTGCTGGCACGTAGCCAACATGGACAGAAAAAAAAACAAAACAAATGGGGTGAACTAATAAAAGAAGCTAATAAACAGTCATAAATTTGGGAGTTCTTGCCAGTGGTATATATGGTACTAGGTAGGTCCCCCTGCTCGATCTTGCAGATGCAAAATTTTAATGGAAACCTCACATGCAGTGCAGGTGCAGCCATGGGATAAAGCCATAATAATAAAAACTAGCGGATATAAAAAAAACTCAGAAGAAATGTCGTTTTGAGCAGACGGGATCGAATCCCAGAGACAGGCAAATTTCCACGGTGGCCGAGCAGCAAGGCAACAAAAGGCGCCGCAGACTCGCAGTCCCCCTCTTTGGCCTTTTGCCATCCCACATCTCGCTGGATCGGGCGCTAGCTATAGCTAGGAAAAACACGGAGACCAAACGGGAGACGAAAACGAAAACGAGAACAGGACGGACGCCGGATCGAAAGCGATCGGTGGACAGATCGATCGATCGGCGAGGGTAATGGGTGCGTACCCGAGCTTGGGGACGGTGGTGGTGGTCCGGAAGTTGTAGCGGACGGACTTGGGGCGGACGATCCAGCGGGAGGCGCCGTCGTGGCTCTCGTGCACCAGCTCCGTCGTGTCGTACTGGTAGTCCGACTCGATCTCCGCCGCGCCGTACCGCACGTGCGGGCTCTCCACGCGGAAGCTCTCGATGAACATCTCGCCCCGCTCCGCGGAAGCTAGCGGCGGCGGCGGCGGCGGCGGCGGCGGGTTTGTGGCTAGACTTATGCGGGCGAAGCGAGCGAGAAGGAGAAGCTAGGTAGGCTGTGGAATCGGAGGCTGGTGGAGCGTGGGGGATTTATAGCGGGTTTCGGCGGCCACTTGGCCGGGCTGCTCGGGCCCACCGAGCAGGAGGGTGGTCCCCACCTTGGGTCGGATTGGGAGACGACTCCGGCCGCCGGTGGGAGCGCAATGGGGGAGGCAAGCGGCGAGGCGAGGAGTATCATCTATCTATCCACCGGTGAGAGCTGAGAAGGTTCGTGCGTTGTGCGTGGGGGGAATCGGTAAAATCAGTTTTTCTCAGGGAGAAAATCTCAAGTTGACGGTAGTAGGTAGGACCGTAGGAGTACGTGGGTAGGCATACAGTTCTGTGTTTGCAAGTTCGTCCTCTCCGGATGGGTTTTCTGAGTGATTATTATGTTTTGTCTCTGCTTTCTTTTCGAGGGCTATTTGCATTTGATCGCTGGAAACTACTATAGTAAAAGATCAGTTACAAAATTAGAAAAGCTTGTTTGATACCAGTACTGATACGTCCCGTGCGTCGCAATGTTATAGCTATATTGTTTGGCCTAAACAGCCAAAGAATAAGTCAAAATTTGAATTTTTAAATTTGATTTTGAAATATTTTTAACGTAATTTTTTTTTGTTAATGTTGGCTTTTAAGTCGCTACGAATAGTTCTATAAAAGTTTTACTTACAAATTAATTTTAATTTTCTAATAAGCCAAATAAGCTATTTTGGCCAAATGGGCAACCAATGGGAGCTTAAACAGGAGAGGTTTGGAGTTCAAATTTTCCACTGAAATTCAGCAAACCTAAGGGTGAAAGAGAGTCTGATGATAAATCACTGCTGATAAAAATACAAACAGGGTGATCATGTTTCCATCACCACGAAAAATTGTAGAGGGATTACTATATAAATAATTAATGGTTTTTTTAATACATATAGGAGCAACAACTAATTAAATAGATAAATATGAATGTTTTTTCCGATAATGGTAATGGAAATAACTATGATTCTTTTAATATGTAATAGCGATAGCTAGACAAATAAATATGTATATTTTGGATAATGGTAACGGAAATTGAAACGATAAATGGATTACGATATATAAGTAAGAGATTAATTCCTAGTCTAGCCTTCAATTCTATTTTGGAAGAGACCTCTAGGCCTTGTTTAGTTGGAGAATAATTTTGGGTTTGGTTGTCACATCGGATATACGGATACACATTTGAAGTATTAACCACAATCTAATAACAAAATAAATTACAGATTCCGCCAGGAAATTGCGATACGAATTTATTAAACCTAATTAATCCGTCATTAGTAAATGTTTACTGTAGCACCACATTGTCAAATCATGACGCAATTAGACTTAAAAGATTTATCTCGCAATTTACACGCAATTCATGTAATTGTTTTTTCTCTACATTTAATGCTCCATGCATGTGTCCAAACATTCGATGTGATAACATAAAAATTTTTGTTTTGGAAACTAAACAGAACCTAACTCTCTAAGTGAAGGACATTATTATATACAAATAAATATAAATCGGTTGTACCGTTTTTGCATTAGAGGCATTATTGGTTACTATGTGTTCTGGATGAAGGGTGAATTCTTGGATTAGTTATTACCTAGGGAACAATTATGTTCTACAACAAAATAGGGCCTTGTTTAAAGGAGCATAAGATTATGAGAATCTGTTGTTGGTAGATAGTTTTTCAGAATACGGTTTCAGCTTCTAGCTTTCAATTTATTTTTTTGGATTATATGATTACTGATACTTAGAATCTATGTGATAATCTATAATCCGATTACACCATTGTGTTCGTTATAATTGAATCTTCACAACAAGATCTTACACGATTATATTACGATGAAAAAATATTTATATTTGTAAATTACTTTTATTACATATGAACGTTACTTTTATAATATATATAAGTTACTTTTAGATTTGACTAAATTACTTCTTAGACATATAAAAGTAAATTCAATATAGTCTAAAACTAATTTAACACTTAAAACAAAACGGAAGTAACTTTGTCAATACATTATAAGTAAATTCGTTGTAGGAATAACAATATAAATTTATCTAGAAATAAAATTTAATCAGCACGGATCAACACATGTAAGTTTAACAATTTTGAAAAGTAACTTCAATGTTAATTGGTAGTAACTTTTGCATTGTTCAAAAGTAACTCTCTATAAATCTATTTAATCATCGATTGTTTTTTCCTTTTTTTTTAGCTGTGTAGTCACGTCCAATGAAAAAGGCATTCACTAAAGTTACTTTCTTTTTGTTATAAGTTATTTCTATAATATATGTAAATTACTTTTAGGCTTTATTGAATTTACTTTCATATGTCTAAGAAGTAATTTAGTGAAATCTAAAAGTAATTTAGATATATTATAAAAGCAATTTATAATTTTTCATCAAAATATAATCATGTGGGATCTTGTTATAAATATTTAATTGTTACGAACACAACGGTGTAATCGGATCGTAGATCGGATGAGTAGTTTAAGAGAAAATTGTATTTAAAGTATAGGTGGATAGTGTCTCTCATATATGGAGTGGTAGCTAGTTTAGACAAACCAGTTATCACTAGCTGTGTAGTCACGTCCTTTTAAGAATTGGTGGCTATAGATGAGAATATCTAGAAAATGAATCAGAGGTCAAAGGTCTAAATTTCAACTTTAACAAAAGGGCATGTACCCCAGTGGTTACAGTGACATAAGTAGTACCATAAGGTTGAATCTAGAGGCCGGGTAATATACCCTTCTCTAAAAATAATAATAAAAAAATCAGCTTTATTTTTTTCGGTCTCACCAGTTGCCTACTCGATCAGGAGGTGTTTATCATAATCTTAAGCATCCTCAAGGTGTTAGTAGGAAAATTATTTAACTCTAAATTATCCTCGTTTCTAGCAAATGGCTCAAGCAATTATGAAAAGTTAAACACCATACAAGTGATGTTATATATTACTACTATATCAATGTAAGGTTAAATTTAATCTGTGCATGAAGAGAGAAGAAAACTAACAAAGCAAATTACGAAAAGTACGATCACATTTGCATTATATTTGTTATTTATTTTCATGTGTGTATTGAATTTAACCTTGCATTGATATAGTAGTAATTAACCATATATGATCACGCATAAAATGAGTGCATATATTCTAGTAGCTTACTCGGGTACGTATTCCTGTTCTCCAATCGTACCTATTTTCTGGTATTTGAAAATTTGCTTTTCGTCCAACGAAAAGGCTGATCGTTTATGCTCGCAGCTGCGGCCCGCAAGCTGCACAAACGATCAAAGCCGAAGTATAGGACTAAACTTCGCTAATTTTCACTCTACGGTGACTCGAACGAAGTACATCGCGGTACTTTCTTCACACCGTGTAGACGATGAAGTACACTAGTACGTGCTGATGTAGTACATAGTACTACTCCTACATGGGAAAGGCAACGTCGACGTGCCATGTATCAAGGAACGTACTCCCTCCCCCTTCGTTAAAAAAAACAAAAGACAAACCCTAGGTTTCCATATCCAACATTTGAGTGTCTATTTTATATGCAATTTTTTTATAATTAGTATTTTCATTGTTGTTAGATGATAAAATATGATTAGTACTTTATGCGTGACTTATCTTTTTAATTTTTTTCATAATTTTTTTAAATAAGACGAACGGTCAAACGTTGGACACGGAAAAATAGAGTTTGTCTTTTTTTGGATGGAGGGAGTATACGGTATACTGCTCTTCCATATACGTCCCAAAAAAAAAACATCATCCACATTAATTAATTTCTCGAAAGCAAAAAAAAACACACAGAAATCTGAGGGGGCAAACCGCAAAACAGCCACCCGTCGTGGGCTGTGCGGCCGAGAATCGCCAAGTGGCGCTTTTGGCTGCGTGGAGGCCCGCTGGCGCCGTCACGTGGACCGCGCCGGGGCCCACCGCGTCTCGACCGTGGCGGAACCTCCTGGAGGGAACCGAAGCGGCTCACGTCTCGTCTACTCTACTCCCCCGCTCCCTGGACGCGGTCCACGCACCGCTGCGGGGGTGGGGTGCCGCGCAGCTGCGAGCCACAAAACCCACAGGATGACACAAGCGGTGGCTGGCCCATAGGCAACGCGCACCATGTGGTGGCGGGCAGTGCCTCTGTCACCGGGTTGCGTGATCCCGAGGGGAGCCGCGTGGCGGGGGACGTGGGCCCACGTGGGAAGGGGTTTGTCCTTGCATGTAGCGAAATGGAGTAGCCGTGTCCTTGCTTGTAAAATGGACCTGTCCTTGCATGTAATAGCCCTTGTCCTTGCATGTAAAAGCTTTTTTGGTTAGTACTGCTACACGGGACGCTCGCCACGTTCCTGTACGTGTCGCGTTCGGCCGTTCAGGCGTGTACTGTAGTATATCGCCGCATGATCTCCAACGCCAGAGAAGGTCCAGAAAAATTGAGTGAAACAGCTACTTGACGCTGTGAATTAGAGGCAGGAAAAATGTTCTTACGAATTTACGTACGTGAAGTACGTAAATTTGAAAGGAAAATGCAGTGTTCAGCATATATATGGGGATCAGTTTTTTTAAGGGTAATTTGGAACCATACCATTATAATTTTTCAAAGTTTGAGATATGACATCGGTATCTAAGTAATATGTAGGACCCATATGAGTCATCGGTATCAGGATGACATATATCAAATTTTGTAAAATTATAATGGTATTATTACAATTTTAAAATAGCGGTTGTTTCTCTGGAGACTAGGAGAGGGAACTTTTTTTTTCCTTTTTCCTTTTTGATATAAATGGCCGATCATTCGCCAAGGCAAGCCAATCAAGTCAAAAGAACGGAGAACTCGAGAAGAGGCACTATTCGGTTCTCTGTGGCAGCTGCTACAGTGCAAACCCAACGCTGCTGTAAAATATGGGCGACGTCGACCTGAAAGATTCTTGCACATTCATATGCGCGATCGCGACGATTCCCGATCGCACATTCGCACTCCCTTTCTGGTGTCTCCAGTAAATCTCAACCGCTAGCTAAGCCGCTGGTTGCAAGCTCGGCCCTATTTGGTTCTATAGGCTAATTATTAGCCTCCACCTTTTAACTCTCAGTTAGCCCTCAAGGATTTAAATAGATGGGCTAATTTGAGGCTAAAGTGAATTAGCCCCCCTTAAAACATTAGCCCCTCCAAAAAGTGCTAATGGGGCTAATTTTGTGTGGGGAGTATCAAAAAGCAGCTCTCTCTCTCTCTCATCTCTTTTTACTCTCTCTTCAACTTTTAGCCTTGAATTAGCCCATGGATCTAAACATACAACCCTAAACTAATGTTTAGCCTACTGATTTATAACTAAACATTAGCTCTTATAATTAATACTGGGCTAATCTTTCAAACAAACTGAGCCGTCAGTCGTCACTGTGCTAATGAAGTAACCCACCCCTAGCCCTAGCAAGCGTCCTGCTTTCGAATTCACGTGTTAATTGATTTTGCGACGTCACGGTCAGGCCGTCAGGGTAGAGAGGTCGGTGGTTGGTGGATGCCTGTGAGTGACGAAAAGTTCCTTTGCATCCAAGCTATGATTGCCGCGCGCGCGGGCACGTTCTGGCGAGTTCTTTTTGGATGTAGCTAGTTTGTTCGGTGAATTCTGGTTTTACTGCCATTGGCCACCTAAGGTGTGTTTAGTGCACACTAAAATTAAAAATTTAGTTAAAATTGGAATGATGTGACGGAAAAGTTAAAAGTTTATGTGTGTAGAAAAATTTTGATGTGATGAAAAAGTTGAAAGTTTAAAAATAAAGTTTGGAACTAAACATTCTTTAATTACATAAGTAGAATGGAATGCCGCACCACATTCTTTAATTGCTATCGTGCTAAACATTTCATTCCGAGTTTTACGATAGGCCATTATTTAATTCTACGTTCTAATATGCTTGTCAGGTTGATATACAACTTTTAGTTTTGGTCTGAGATAATTTCTTTTCCATTTCCCCATTCCTTTTGCAGCCGTTCCTTGATCAGTAAATATACCTATTCTGCTCATTTTGCCCTTGTTGGAGTTGAGCTCACGTATCTTCACGTCCCGGCTCAGCGGATTGCCTCCTGGCCCAACACCTGCTCCATCCGCCGCTCCTACTCTGGGCCCATGCTTCTGGCCTGACCCATCGTGCAAAGTGCGAACGGGCTATCTCAGGCTTGCCGATATACAGCATCAATTCAGCCCAACCATAACACAACTCCCGGACTGCAAAATTTGATGGGCCATACTACCACTACTTCCAATTACAAATGTAGGCCCATTCGCAGATTCGCTATTGATGCAGATCGATCACATTACGGGCACTAGAGAGATCCAGTTTTGTTATCCGAATTTCGTATCTTGAGCTTTGATTCCGGAAGATAACAACAAAATCTTCTAGATTCACACGGCGATTAGCGAAGAGATTGGGCCTTCTAGCTTTGACATCGCAACGTATGGCTACGAGTCGACCCAAAAAAATCTTCCATCATTTATTTTCTTAGAGGAAAAGGCCAAACAAAATAAAAAGGAAAAAAAATCTCCAAGCATTAATGACGCTTTAAATTACTACCCCTTCCGTGCCTATCCATCCAAAATTTCCCGTTTCGTTTAAACTTCGTTGCGAGCTCGAGCCCGAACCCGAGCTCACCGCACCCGTCGCACCGCACCGCACCGCACCGAACCGCGCGCGGCAGGAGGAGACCACCGTCCTTTCCTCTCCGCCTCGGCCTCGCTCCCTCCGGCCCCGACCGACGGCGACCCCCGCGACCGCCGCTTCCTCCCCGCCCCCGCCGCCGATCTCCGCTCCGGCTGCTCCAGGCGGCGACCTTCTCCCCCTCGCGCCACTGGGGGGATCCACCCCGGAGTACTGAGCATCTGTTCCAGGTAATCCCTAACCCCCACTGGCGGCGGGTTTCAGCGATCGAATCATCAGTATGACCGCGAGATTCCGCGTAGTTCCTGCATGTTTCGGAGTATCGGAGTAGGTGTTGGATTTGGTTCCCTGCGCGCTGATGTGCTAATGCTGTAGCCTCCGCTTGTTTCCATCTACAGGGAAGGGGAGCGGCGGCGGCGGTTTTGGTTTGGCGTTGGTGAGTTGATTTTGATGGTACAATGAGCAGGCCAAACACACGAAATAAGAGCAAGAGGCCGCGGGCTGATGACTGCGAGAGCCCGTCTGCTGTTTTCAAGTATGTCTGCATTGCCTTGTCGCCTTGGCCAAAGCTGTGGAGATTTGATATGCTAGTCTTGAGGTGCCGCTGCCTTTGCTTGCTGATGATTTTTTTTTTTGAAAAAAAATTGGTGTCTGCTATGCAGGAAGATACATTCCACTGGAGCAATCACAAAAGGCGATATTAAACAACTTTATATGGTGTGGAAACCTGTTTGTCATGGTTGCCATGGGAACTCCAAGGACTCACCCAATTGTTTCTGCGGGTTGATCCCTGCTGCTAATGGGGTGAGGAAATCTGGCCTGTGGCAGAGAACAAACGAGATCATTCGCGCCCTTGGTCCTAACCCGTCGACGGATCTTCGTGACTCCACTGAGACGCCTGCTGGATTGACTAACCTGGGCGCTACCTGTTATGCAAACAGCATACTGCAGTGCCTTTACATGAACACCTCCTTCCGCTTGGGCATTTTCTCTCTAGAGCCCGACATCTTGAAGATGCACCCTGTGCTGGATCAGCTTGCTCGGTTATTCGCTCAGCTACACTCCAGCAAAATGGCTTTCATTGATTCGGCACCTTTTATAAAAACCTTGGAATTAGATAATGGTGTCCAGCAGGACAGCCATGAATTCCTCACATTATTTTTGTCTTTGCTCGAGGGTTCACTAAGTCATTCCAAGGTTCCAGGGGCTAGAACCATTGTGCAGCATTTGTTCCGTGGAAGTGTGTCCCATGTTACTCGGTAGGGTAAATGCTATATGCTTCTCATGCGATCTTTGAGTCTTATTCCTAGAATGGTCTTATGTTAGGCTTTGGAAAGGAAAGGGAAATAAGCTTTCTAGTTTGTAGAAGTTCCTTTTTTTCCAAGGTTATTATGCTTGTTGGTTTGTACTATCATCTTTTCAAACATATCTTTTTTTTTGTTAGTGTTTTTTGTTGTGTAGAAGTTCTAAAAAATTCTTAGCTGCATGAATCTAGTTATGCCAGATAGTTATATTGTTTTACTACTTAAAAACATGTGTGCAGTGTATTGATTGATAAGACTGATGTTGTGTTCTTATATTGATTGAAAAGATCAAGTAGATTTGTGCTTTCCGGTAGCAAGATCTTTGCTTCCCATGCACTTATTATGTTCACATTCACATAGCCTGCAGATGTTAAAGGGAATGATATACTTAGTTCATAGTACATTTAATTTTGCGTAGAGCTGAAGTTTATTCATCCTATGCTTTAGGTGCTCATCATGTGGAAGGGATTCCGAAGCATCTTCAAAGATGGAAGACTTTTACGAACTGGAGCTTAACATTAAAGGTTTAAATAATCTAGAACAAAGTTTGGATGACTATTTGAGTACTGAGGCACTGGATGGAGAGAACCAGTACTTCTGTGAGTCATGTCAGAAAAGGGTAGATGCCACTCGTTGCATAAAACTTCGCTCACTTCCTCCTGTTGTTAATTTTCAGCTGAAACGCTATGTATTCCTCCCAAAGGTGTAGCTTGCTTTATATTCCTTCTGTTTGTTTGTTCGTTTGATTGTGTATTTGAGCAAGAAATTTGTCTAACTCGTTTCGTCCACAGACAACAACAAAGAAAAAGATTTCTTCGGCATTCAGTTTCCCAGGACAGCTAGATATGGGGAAGCGGTTATCCAATCCTTCATCTAGTTATACGTATGGCCTGTCTGCTATTTTGATCCACAAGGGTAGTGCTGCCAATAGTGGGCACTATGTAGCACATGTAAAGGACGAAAGCAATGGTCAATGGTGGGAGTTTGATGATGAGCATGTATCCAAGCTTGGTCTTCATCCCTTTGGTGAAAAACCAGGCAAATCATCCGATAAAACTGATCAGAAACCCCAGGGTAGTTCTACAGCGGATTCTGTTACGAATGATGACAACAATAGCTGTCATGAGGCTGCATTCACTTCTACTATGGAAGAGATGTTTTCTTCTACAGATGCTTATATGCTGATGTACAAACGCATTGCTAAGGATGAGAATGGTATCGAAAGCAATAATATAAGCAGTAACAATTCGCTCCCACACCATTTTGTGGATGAAATTGATGAACGTAATACATCATATGTAAAGGAATGTGAAGAATACGAAAGCAAGAAAGACGTCCATTTGGCATATATAACAGAGAGGCGCCAAGAAGTAAAATCTGTTCTGACAGAAGCGCCTGCAACTCCAGAGGAGGATTCTTATTTTTGGATTTCAACAGATTGGCTTCGCCAATGGGCGGACAACGTTAATCCTCCCTCGTAAGTTTACTTGAGAGCATGTTTGCTTTATTTTATGTAGTCCTTTACAGTGAATTTTCAACCTTTGTAAATTGTGCTTGCCTCATTACTACATTATGTAGTAGTCTCCGCTACTCTGACCATTTTGAACCATTGCACTATCAAATGTTTAACTAGCAGGACCAGTACATTTTGAATCGTTGCACTGCCATTAGCTTTCATGTCTTGCAGTAACAAGTTCTATATGTCACAGTTCTTCAGTAATATCTTTTTGGTATCACTTTATGTTTCTGAATCCAAATTTAGACCTATTATAACTGGAGTTCGTGTCCACAGCTCTATTGACAACAGTCCGATTCAATGTGAACATGGAAAAGTTCCAGCGTCAAAAGTTACATCCATGAAACGACTATCAGCTGGAGCTTGGCATAAGCTATTTTCTAAAGTAAGAAACTTCTATTTCTTGGTTTTTATTTCTGAAGAGTAATTTGCCTTAGATTACCTAATTGTAGTGTTTCCTGCCGATTTTTGAGAAAACTATTTTTGTGCTCAATTCTATGCTTCTGGAATATTTCTGATGAGTTCCTTTCTTTTTTTTTTTTTGGTACCGTGGTTGCAAAATAATACAAGTATGGAGGGGGGCCAACATTGAGCAGTGATGATTTTTGCATGGAGTGCCTTAAGGATGGAGCAAAAAATTCAGTATCTGCAGATGTTTATCGTGATCGGAAGGCATCATTAAGAAGTATTGCAGAAGCAGCGCTTGCTGGAAATAATCCAGATGGTCCTTTGTACTTTGTTTCCAGGCCATGGTAAGAGAATTACATTCAACAATAAGTTGTGGATTTATTTTTTTATGAAATACTATATGTATTACTATACCTATTACAGTGTGCCACGCCCTAAGATTATGTTGTCTTTTAGATGGCAATATAGTGATATGGTCAATCATGTCTTTCTCTACGAGTCATCACACCTTAAATATTTATTGCAGCTAATCCATTTGTTCTACTTTGCTCTATTCCATGTATACGCTGGAACACTCGCGAAATTTCCATTTAGCCCTTTGGCTAAATAGTCTTTTTTCTTTGTTTGCTCCTAGGTTGACCCAATGGTTGCGCAGAAAAAATGTGGATATCCCTTCAGATGCTGACAGTGGACCAACAATTGCTCTAACGTGCACCCATGGAAATCTTCTTCCGGAACATGCTTCAGGCGCAAAGCGGGTCACTGTGCCAGAGGACCTATGGTTATTTCTCTATGAAACCAGTGGAATGAAGATTGATGATATTGTGACTTTTCCGTCAGATAGTCAACCATGCGGAATTTGTAGCCAGCAATTATCAGTTGTTGCTTCTGTTGAGGATAATCTTAGGTTAGATAACAATGCCAGACAATGAATTCCTGCAATCGACTGTTTACTTAAAGTTCTGGGCTAATATTGACTTTCTTGTGCGTGTTTTGCTACTCAGAGCAGTGAAACTCAAGCAACGACAAAGCCATGAAAAGTTAACTTCTGGGAAAAGTCTTGCACTTCATCCTGGGCAAAAATATTATTTAGTTCCTTCCTCATGGTTGTCAGAGTGGAGAGCTTACATTACAGCGACTGGGAAAAATATTTCTTCGTTACCAGAACCTCAATCTCTTGAAGTTACCATCAATTCACTAATCTGTGAAAAGGTAATACTAACTTTATCTTGGTTCAAAGTCAATGCATGCTATGCACACTCACAGCTACTATGGTATACATGCTTAATTGATGTAAGAATTCATGGCAAGCTGTTAATTTTGTTTACTTCATCTGGGGTTCAATGGAATTTTGTGAAAATTTTGTTTGTTTATTGAATGCCTGTTAATTTGATTTTTAACTGATTGCTGATGCCTAGTGAGTTGGCGAATCCATTCATTTTTATTTTTATAATTTGCTTGTTGAATTTAATGATTGGTAATTTTTCAGCATTCAAGATTGTTGCAAAGGCCCTTGGATCTAGTTTGCAAGCGTGGGACTATCACTCAGAAAGCATCAAATGTAAGCCCATTCTTTTTGGAGTTATTTCTTCCTCTTCTCTTTTGTTTTACATTATGACCTGTGGCATATGCGCCATTAGCCCATTACTGTTGTGTTACTCCTCTACTATGAATATAATACCTTATAGTTTTAAGTTAGCTGTTATGAAAGTTGGTAACCCCTTTTGGAAATGTTTGTCTTTATCTGTGTATCTGTCTTAAGTTTGTGCATAGTGTTTTCTCATCGTGCCAACTGTGCTTGAGCTCCAACTGTACTGCATTAGTTCACAACCATGAGTGGATGATTGTAATCATGTTTTCTCATTCAAATGTGTCTTCTCAGTAATCTAACTGGCAAAACTAGTTTCATCTTTTAACTGTGGGTCTGGAACAACAGTACAAGTGAAGGACCTTTCATTATATCGTTGCTGTTATCTGTTTTATTTGGGCCCTTATTGCTGATATATGTATGCTGAAAGATAAAAAAAATTGACACCGGGTTAATTGTCTTTGTTTTCAGACTGATGGATTAACAATGATATCAGAATCTGATTGGATTTTATTCTCTGAAGAGTGGAATGTAGCACATGGAAAAGGTTTATGTGCTGAAATTGTTTTTAGCAAGAGCTCTCAAGATAACCTGCAGTCATCTGAAGCAGTGCCAATTTTGGTTGAAGATCTGGACCAGTCAACAAATGATTTAAGCAATGACTTGGGGGGCAGAGAACCCTATGTCAGAACTGATCCTGAGGTAAGTGACGAGTCAATGAACTGTGCACAGGCCTAGATCTAATTGGGTAATAGTTTTACATTTATTGGTTTCCATGGTTGAAAAAAACTTCTTATGTTGGGAAGATTGATAGGGAGTGATCGCCTCACTGGTTCACATATAATGCATCCAATATTTGCATACTTGCATCAACATCATCATTATCATCAACAACAACATCATCAGCCTTTAGTTCCAAGCAAGTTAGGACAACATTTTATAGTTACTAGTTAAAATAGTGAAGGTAAAGGGTAGCAAATGCAGTACATATGAAATTAACAGGTGGATCCTCTACAGAATAGGATTATGTTGTACTGGCATGCTATTAGCATTTTGCAAACTTGCAGATGAAACAATGTCTTGGCATTTAATTTTGTTGGAACTGTTTATAACATATAACCACTGAGTAGAGCATTGTTCTGAAGAACAATGAGACCATACCATGGATTTTGAATGGCTGCATATCACTTTAGTCTCAGTTGCAAAAACAGATACAGCCTATATACCTTTTTTATGTTCTCACATCCTGCTGGGCAAGGCTAAACTATCCCACTGCTTATAGCTGAGGTTAATGATTGGGTTGAGTTCATCATATAAAAAATTATACTTTAGCGGAACACTGGCTCCAGAAAGTAAATATGCCTATGATTGTTTCTTCAAACCCAGACTTCTGGAGAATAAACTGCTTTCAATCACTATAAATATCTGGCACCTACCTGATTTGTGCATATGTTTCTTTCTGTTTTGCCCTTACCTCAGCTCTGCTTGTGAATGTGTAAATCTGTGATAGGTTTGTGAAGAATGTATTGGAGAAAAAGAGAGCTGTGCATTGGTTGAGAAGCTCAATTATCAGAATGAAGATATCCAGGTTTATCTTGTCCGTGGTAAAGAAGCGCCAAAGTCAATTAGAGAGGCATCGGCAGCTGTTCCTGTACCAGATCGTAGGACTTCAAAGCGTTCCCGGAGAACAACCTCAGGAAATTCGATCAGTTTGAAAGTCTCTGGTTCTACAACCGTATATCAGTTGAAACTCATGATATGGGAATCTTTAGGGGTATGAGACGGACTGAAACCATAAATTTTTTTTTGCAAGAACTGTTATTGTTTACTTGTTGCGATTCAGATAATAAAGAGACCATAAAAGAAATAAGCCTATAGGTTCTGTTAATTGTCACTTCTACAACTTTATGTTATTTCAGCTTAAAAGTTTGCAGAGTTGTCAATCCTAACTAATGAGTAATCATAAGTTGTGAGACTTGTGATTGGTACTACATACTTTCAAACATTTAGAAGAAGCTAACTTCGTTTGCAACTTGAACAAACAGTTATAGTTGTCAATTTGAGATCCTTTAGGACCTGCATGATCAGTTGATCACACCTTTTGGACTTTACCGTGCTTCTATTTTCAAGTATAATTAATATTCAAGGTTTTAAGTCAGTCAGCTACAGTTATGGGCTTACCTATCCAGTATTTTTTTGGGTTGCAAATTAAATTTTCATATATTATTGTCAAAAGTTATTGTATGTAGTTTGCTGTAGATAACTGCCCCTTTCTCCATTTTTTTTATTGAACCTTGCTCCTTATTTGATTTACATTATGCTTGTTTACTTTAGATTGCATTCAAATTATTACTGTTGCCATATTCAGATTGTTAAGGAGAACCAGGAGCTTCACAAAGGCTCTGTTGAGATTGAAGATGATTTTGCTACTCTTGCTGACAAGTGTATTTTTCCTGGAGATGTTCTATGGGTTAAAGATTCCGAAATCTACGAGAACCGTGACATAGCAGGTGAAGCAACAATTGTAATGTGCTGAACATTTCTGAAAAATGATATTGTTGATGGTTCATTTTTTTCTTTGCCCTTGATGTTTCAGATGAAATTTCGGAGCAGAAGGTTGTAGTACAGACTGAGGAAGGCTTTCGTGGGACTCTGTTGACATCTAGTGCTTCAGCTCAGCTTTGCCAGGATATATCATTTAGCGATTGAGTTCTCCAATGTCAGCTACATCACTGCCTGCATATGCTTGCTTCAGCTAGTTAAGCTTGCTTGGAGGTCAGATTGACTTTCTTCCTAGTTTTTCTTAGTTGAAAAATCAGCCTGCAGTTTCACCTGATTCCAAACAAAGGTTATTGCATGTATGCAATGTCGTTAATATTTTATTTTGTCCATTTTGACACCAAATACCCAGCTTACATTTAAGTTTCCTAATCAGAAATGTACTAACTTGCTCTCATGACATGCAGGAGTATGCTGAGGATTAAGTCACAACAAGTTGTTCTAAATACATGGCGGTTCTGCACTTGCCGTCACCGTGGGTGAAAAGTTTTGTCTGCCCCTTATCTCCATACTCTGTTTCCACCTTAGGGTGTGCGTCCTGCTGTTGTATCAGCATGCCAAAATGAGCGGAAAAAGAGGGTATGTAATTATTTAGGTAGTTAATCCTTGTACTACCTTTTAGTGGCTATGCAGAGGTTTTATGAAGGAGAGCCGGAAACTATATGTAGAGCAGTTCGCTGTGTGTTCTTACGTTGTGGGATCTGCAATTCTTCAGATCTCATCCCTGCAGCTTTTCTCCCGTTTATTTGTTTGTGGGCTCGCCCCTTTCCTAAGCCTTTCCTTGGGTGCATGCATATTCAATTCTACTACCGAGAAGTTCTGGTTAAATTTTACTCACTTTGGTTGGTTTATTTTAGGACTGGGACGGAGATAGTAGATGATAAAATTTCGTCCTATTATTTTAGCACGGAGGGGGTGGATGATAAAGAAAACAACTCTGCTGTCACACTGAAAACATGATTTGTTTTAGCTAATAATACCATTCTCTAAATCTCCTCTCTTAAAATATTTGTCACGGTTATGCCTGTACTTGTTTATTGTCATCGGGGATGAGCATTAGGGAAACAATTCTTGTAGGAAATATAAAAAAAAAACATTTGCCTACCTTGACTTCAGCCCATTCCCATCAAAGTAGTGGGGTATAAAAAAGATTAAGCAAGATGGATTTTTCCAAAGGAAAATGATGGCATCATTCTGGTGGCTTGACGCAAGGGACTGCGCATAAAATAGCGGCGTATTAGGCGCGACCAAATCGGCAAAAAGGCACGAGATGATATGAAGTCCTAAAAGAAACAGTAGAGTGGAATGCTAGTCTTTTGTTGTGGCAGTTGCGAACGGCTCGACACGAACACGAGGCAGCCGTGGCCACGCGGTTTTGTTGCTCACATCGTTGTTGGAATCGAGTCAGTTTCGGGTTTGCCGGTTTCGTGGAAGACTAGTGCTCCGCCTCCAAAACAAGCTGCGGCCCCTAGCTTGTGGCGATCCAGCTTACGCACGTGTGCACTCATGCTCTCGTCATCGCCTTGCTCCGTTGTTCTTAAATACTGAGGTTGAAATTTGACAGGAAAGGAAATACTCCTATTTGGTTGAGTTTCATCGAAACATATAATAGTAGCGGTTGGTTCGGAGGGATGAGATCGGTACAACTGTACAAGGCTGGAGTGTTTATTTTAGAAACGATTAATGTTCCGTATTTGGTTCGATACTAGTTTGGACAAAACTTAAAGCAAGGTGCACTGTAGTACTTTTCATGGCCTTTGGTAGGAAATCAAATTCCTTCCAAGTTTTGGTCAAATTCTTATCTTGTACAGTACATATCATGGTTTATATGGTCATCTTGGATTGATGCCAAAATATATCTTATCAGTTTTCTATTTGAATAGTATATGTAATGGTTTAGTTTGAAGCCAAAATTATTGGTATGATGATGTTCAATTTGGCATAATTCTATAAGTTGCTTCACCATAATACTAATATAGAATTTGGTTTCTAATTGACATCAACCCAAACACATTAATTTACAATGGTACCATATTAAAACATTGGTTTTGGTAAGGTACTCTAAACAAGCTCATACTTTTTTCTCTACATTGTACACGGGTACATGAAGGCATGAAGCTGCAGTGATGAGGAGACACTGACCATTTTCAGTAATAGTATGAAGAATTGGGACCTAAGACCTGTATCGGACGAAAAGGACCTGCATCACCGGGGAGGAGTCACAAGAGACATAAATACTGTAGTACACGAAAATCCCATCCACCCCCATGGCGACAAAAGTATCTGTCCAAAGCTCGATCGTCGACTGGACAACGAGCCATGCTCTACTAGGATTGTGACACACGTGTGGGACTACAGACTACCTCGTTTTAATCCCAGCCAAGTTAGCTGAGGATTTTCATGTGGCCCCTCTGATCAGTGATCACCTGATGAGGGACACACAAATAAATCTAACAGTTTACACTTGTCGGCTTAAACAGTGTTATAAGAGGCTATTAGAGCAGGTACAATAGCAGACTAGTAGCCAGCTATAGACATATTTTAATGAGATAAAAGATAAGAGAGAAGAGCAGCGGGCTACAGATCTGTAGCCAGCTGCAGCACGGACTCTAAGACACTGTGTGTATGACAGGTGGAACCATATATTAATAGTACAGTAAGTAACTATTTTATGAATTGGCTATTAGATTAACTATAGGTGAATTACAGCTAGTAGTGGGCTATACTACTATTTAACTTGCTCTTAGCAGCTTCTTGGAAAGCTCTACTAGGTGCACAAGTACCAGCGTTATAAAAGTGGAGGAAGAAGAATCTCATTCATCTCTCAACACTACTGTAGAACATTATACACAGAAGTACGGAACACAAGGCGTTTGGTAAGAGAGCACTTGCAAACTGCAGTTGTCATCTTATCTGTAATAAGAAAGGAGGCCTTCGGATGGCTCGTCGGAGGAATAAGCCAAACAACAAATTTATAAATAAAAAATAATTTTACGAATATTTATGTGTTTTTAATGATCTAAAAGCAAAGATTGAAAAGTAAACTTCGATAAAAAAACCTTAAAATCAACTACAAATTTAAGGTTGAAAATTTAAAATTTAGCTGATAATCATAAGCATAAAAAAATAAAAAGAGACCGTCAAATTTGGTGGCCCCAGCAAAATGGCCGTCAAATTTTACAAAATATCTCGACGCATAGTACTACAATGCAACATGACATTTTTTTATGCTAGTAACTGGTCCACAACGATCATATCAACCCTACTAATTACTACTAATACCACAATAGTTTTCTCTTATAGTCTGTTTGGCACGATTCCAGCTCCAACTCCATTTCTAGAATTGAAGTGAAGCTAGCTGGAACACCCTCCTAAAATAAACTAGAGATATAAAATTAGGTTTAGGTCGCTTTATAACTTTAATTCAGACTTAACTTCTAAAGTTAAATTTAAAAGTTAGAGCTATACTAAATCTACTGTATTTAAGTAAAATTCACGGTTCGCTGATTCGTGAAAAAAAAAACTACAGCTACCACAGCCGTATGACGGAGGGTAGCGATTAGTGAACAGACGTGTGATTAAAAGAGAGCATGTGGGGGCGCAGCAACATTTGTTACCTGTACTACTGATTAAACTAAACTGTTTAATTGCAACCACCAGGTGCGTTAGCTGGCCATCATTATTCTCTCCCTTTGCTGGGTTAAGTTACTGTTTATGCTTAATTTGCTTCCATTTTGTTTATTACTCCTACAAGAAATTGATGAGGGGGTTCGCTTGCCGTTGCAGCACACCACATCCCCCTCATCCACCTGTCCGTGATGATACTCCCATAGTTGAGACTTGAGATTGCCCTTCTCCTCAATCTTGTTGATCTCTTCTCCCACCTCGCGCCTTCGAGCTAGTCGTGTTTAGGTTTAGCCCCATTAATCTTGGTAAGGGTGGTAGTGGTTGTTGCTGTTGTTGTTGTTGTTGCCCTGAAGCTTTCTTCCTCAAGGTACAAGCCTCTGTCTCCCTCTGGCTCCCTGTGTCTCTCTCTTTCTCGGAGTTGAAGCGTAGGAGGAGGAGGAGGAGTAGGTTTGGTTGTTTGGTGCGGTGCCGCGCGTGAGATTGAGCGCGTCATGTTTGTTTGTTAATGGCGGAATCGGTTTCGGGTTTAGGTAGTTGCGTTCTTGTTCGCGATGGCCTGCCGAATCGAGGTCTGGCCACCCTCCGCCACCGCCGGCCGGAGCTGCCTTTTCATCAGCCGAAGCGGCGGCGGCGGCGGTGAGCAGCCGGGGAGGTGATTAGGAAAATTTTCCAGTTTGTTTTCCTTTTCGATTTCATTTTGATTTTTTTTCTTCAATTGGTACTATAATTTTTGCCCTGAAATGGAAGTCTTTAATCGGGGATCGAACGTTTCTAGCCCAAGTTTGGAAGTTTTTAATTATGGGTTGAAATGGAAGCCTTTAATGGGGAACCAATAGTTTTGAGCCCCGGGTTTTGCTTATGAGTTGAAATGACTCCAGTTTGGGAGATTGTGTAGTTGGTGGGGAAGCCGGTAGATAGAAGAAGGGCGCCGGAGGTGTGAGAGGTGGAGGCAACGTGTCGTGCAATAGATCCGATTTGGTTTCTCCGTTTCTAATGAATGTCCTCAAGGTGAACTTTGCTCATATCAACAATGTATCTCCACTTCTTGTATTTAGAAATACGCCTGTATTTTGACGTTTTTTGTACAGATTATACAATTTGTTGCCAGAAGAAATACTATTGACTGAGATTTGGAACAGGTTAAAAGTTGATTCATCTTAACTATGGAAAGAGGAATGGTATCTGCATCTCTGTTTTGATTCCTTGTTTGGTGACTGTAATTCTGATAGTATGCTCCAGTATATGTATCCCAATATCATCCTACAACCATGATTCAGGAGTGAAGCAATAGCATGAGACTCAGACTGCCTTTCAAAGTTTCAGACCAATTTAGTCTTTTTAGATATTATGGAAACCAACAAAATGATTCTTATTAAGTCCAATGGTCAGGAACACCAGATCTCTCTTGTCTTATTTCCACTACTCTTTTGGTTTTGTTCCAAAATGGCACCATAGAATCCTAATCATATAATTCCATCCAAGAAGTTCCAGTCATCTAAATTCCAAGGGGAGTTGGACCATAGTACCATACACCTTGATGGCTTGCCGATGCACTAATCATGTAAATATTCAGAATCTATAATCAAATTAATGAGTGTTTCTTTTTTCTGGGGAAAATTAATGAGTGTTAACTTAAATGAATCGAGATTGATGCTCTGTTTTAATCATGTGAAATCCTGCAGTATTATTTTCTGTGCTCATCATACATGTTTGTATTGAATTCTTCCCTGTCTTTTTTAACTGTAATCAAATTAGGTTGCCTCCAAAACTTTCTGTATCCAGCGCTTGCAATACAGGACTTCCAAATGCCCCCAAAGCTGTGTTTCTTTGTCCAGTTCTTGCATTACAGGATTGAGCTGTGAGGTATTTCCGTAATACTAGGATAATGAAAAGGCACAACACACAACATTTACACACAAATAGCATAGGCAATGTCATGGGTGACCTCGGGTCATGACAGGCAAGAAGATACATCATTTCTTTGTGTTAATTTTTTTTATTTAGCCACTAAGAATATTCATCTTTTATTTGCCACTAATACAAAAATCCCACTTTTGGCACTCATTTGTGCTAGCCGCCAGTGGCAAAGCAAAATACACATGACAAGAGATTTCATCACTCCTTAAGTGGCAGAGACAAATTTAGCCCTTTCTTTAAAACTGCGGAGTGCTGACACAGTGACATATAACTATATAATGAATATGCAAAACTGTAAAAGTGTTCCATACACATTTTTTGCTAACCCCCCTGGCGTTGATTTATCACATGCTATACTTTATTACAAATAATTTTTTAACGATCATTTTCAAATAGCATAAACCACATTTCAGTTAAGTGCTAATCTATGAGGCACAAAAGCAATGTACTTGTGTTAACAATGCGACGATGGAATTATTCGTGATATACTTCTGTGCACCACGATGGCGAAGCATTATTTTAAAACAAAGGTTTTTCGACACTTGGTAGTTACAAGCTTGCAAACATGTTCGGTTGAGAGTTACATATGATAGTGGCTCTGATAACATGTAAGCAAACACGGAGTGTCTGGCCCTGTCGCAGTCATGGCCATGCTGTTTAGTTGGATTGTGGATGCATTGTAGATTATATTTCTATTTGTGGCAAAATTATGTATTCCTTTGCATGCCATCTGAACTACAGTTCTGCATCAGCGTGAATTTGTATTATTTATTTATTTTACATTGCTAATTTGGATCCACGCCCAAATGTATAAAAGAATATATTATGCAGCTTATGTGTTTTGTTGGGCCAATTCCTTTGACCCTACACCTCTCTACCTCCATCTGCCATTGCTTGATCTAACACTCTTCTTTTTGTTTGTGAGCTTATCAGCTATTACTCATACCGTGACAATAAATTTATTTTATATTGTGTGTCATCAACAAAATTGTCCATGTGTGGATCTTATGTTTGTGTGAAAACTTTGTGGCCTTGGATTCTAAAGTATGCTAACTCATACTTTCTATTTTTAAAAATGCCTATCTAACTTTGGTGGTGACTATTTGCTGAAATTTCACCTCTTTCTTATTGTTAGGACCAGAATTTGTCTTCAGCTGCTAAAGGAGGGCCTACCACTAAAGATTTGTGATCAATCCCACTTTGATGTAAGTGTTTTTTAGTCGAAAGATTTCTTCAGACTCCTCTCGTTGTAGTTTATTTCTTTCCTTAAGTGTCAAGGAAAGTCCCAGGAGTCAAACAAGAGATGTAAATCCCAGAGGAAGAATACACCGATTAATGATTCTGTCAAGTTGAAGTTGGGTTAATTTTTCAGTGAAAGAAAGTTACTTAAACATTTTATTTTGTGAAACAAACTGTCACGTCCTTTGAATTGTTCCATTGTACATTACCATGAAACAACTCAAACAAGATTATTTCTTTTGGGCTGATAATTGGCACTTACATTCATGTGTTGAGCTGAGAATACTTTCCTAGTTTTAACCTCAAACTGCTCAGATTATTTTAGTTCCGTAATTCATTATTAAACATCTATTATTATTATAACTTCCATTTATATTCTCTTTGTCATAATAATCAGCTATTACCATTGTGGCGCTGAATATTCAGTGATAACAACGGCAAGATCAACTCCCTATTAATTGTTCGGAAGTGCATCATTCCTCAGCGACTCCAGCATATAAATAAAATCCAGAAGGTTGCACCAGAGAATATGTCAATGCAGGCCTCTAACCGACCATACAGATATCCAGACAATTCTCAAATACCATACTACAGCCGGAGTTCAATGCATGTGGGGCAAAATGGTACTTACCATGTGCAACAAAATCATGAGGATCTTTACGCGTCATCTGATGATGGTTCACAGAACGGCAATTCTAAGGCTCAGGGGTTGCAAGCACAGTACTGCACTCTAGATTCATCCTCAGGCAATTTTGTGTATCCAGCACATAGCTCTACATCCTCCCACATAAGTGGGAGCCCCATTTCTCAGCAAGATAGCCACTCAGAGCACACATCTGGTTCCCCTGCAAGTGCTTCATGTGTTACTGAAGTTCCAGGCTTGAGGTTTACAACAATTGAGGAGATAGAGAATGCAATGTTTGGACCTGAACCTGACACAGTTAGCTCGGACTGCTCCTTACTTACTGATTCTGCTTTTTACCAAGATAACTGGAGGGAGCATCTGGGAATCAATACAGGGGACTTGAAGCAGGTAATTGCAGCATGCGGTAAGGCTGTTGATGAGAATAGTTGGTATAGGGACTTGCTGATATCTGAGTTAAGGAACATGGTTTCCATTTCTGGAGAGCCGATGCAACGCCTTGGAGCCTATATGTTGGAAGGCCTTGTTGCCAGGCTTTCTTCGACTGGGCATGCCTTATATAAATCCCTGAAGTGTAAAGAACCTACTAGCTTCGAGCTCATGTCTTATATGCATCTCCTCTATGAGATATGCCCGTTTTTCAAGTTTGGTTACATGTCTGCCAATGGAGCAATTGCAGAGGCTGTTAAGGGCGAGAACTTTGTTCACATCATCGACTTCCAAATTGCTCAAGGTAGCCAGTGGGCAACTATGATACAGGCCCTTGCTGCAAGGCCTGGGGGACCACCATACCTGAGGATTACTGGTATAGATGACTCGAATTCTGCCCATGCCCGAGGTGGTGGACTGGATATAGTCGGACGGCGGTTATTCAATATTGCCCAGTCATGTGGTCTGCCCTTTGAGTTCAATGCTGTCCCAGCAGCTAGTCATGAGGTTATGCTTGAACATCTTGATATAAGATCTGGGGAGGTTATTGTTGTTAATTTTGCCTACCAGCTGCATCACACTCCTGATGAGAGTGTGGGCATAGAAAATCACCGGGACAGGATATTGAGAATGGTCAAGGGGCTCTCTCCAAGGGTGGTAACTCTTGTAGAACAGGAAGCAAACACAAACACTGCACCTTTCTTCAATAGATACTTGGAAACTCTTGATTATTACACAGCTATGTTTGAAGCTATAGATGTTGCTTGCCCAAGGGATGACAAGAAGCGGATTAGCACTGAGCAACACTGTGTTGCAAGAGATATTGTTAATTTGATTGCATGTGAAGGTGCAGAAAGGGTGGAGAGGCACGAGCCTTTTGGAAAATGGAGGGCAAGGCTTTCAATGGCTGGCTTTAGGCCGTACCCACTAAGTGCACTGGTGAACAACACTATCAAAAAGTTGCTGGATAGTTACCACAGTTACTACAAGCTAGAGGAGAGAGATGGTGCCCTTTATCTTGGATGGAAGAACAGAAAGCTGGTTGTATCTTCTGCATGGCGGTGACATCTCCGTGTTAATTTGGAAGAAGCTTCTTTAGGTATGTTGTTGGCATCTCATACTTAACGCAGTGAATATGCCAAATTTTATCACAGGAAATAAAATTAACTATTGATAGTTTGTAGTTCCAAAAGAAAAAAAAAAGGGAAATGCATCAGGTGTTCATGTGACAGTGTAGGCTTTCCATCTAGGCAATTAAAAATAAGCATGCACAATTTATTACAGTTTCTAAACTTGGTATTGCACCATTGACTGATGCGTTTAGTTAATTTGATATGGAATGATTATATGAAGATCTCATGCACCATTACAACATTATAGTGCCTACACATGGAAGGAAACAAATCACCTATATGATTTATTCCCTCAGTCCCAAAATAAACAAATCTACTATGGGATGTCACAAAATAATCAAACCTTCTTGTACTAGGTTTGTTTATTTTAGATGCAATCAAGAAGAGTATCCTACTGTGAATGTTACGTTATCCAGTGGTAAACGCTACTGGGCATCATTGATGTGTGCAATCTCATTACATTTAAAATATTACCAGGATACCTCCATCCCAAAATAGATGCCATTTTAGAAATCATCATTTTGCTTAAATTCTTCTTGTATTGGATTCCTAATAAGCGTTATGGACCAAATGAACCTATTAATTTCCTTTTGTTCTCAGTAATTTGCTAGAGATGGATATATAATGAATATGGTTAGACATATGTCAAAACATAAGGCACTAATTCTTTGCCTAGTCTATGGCTGGACCGGAAATGGTATCTAAGTTTGATCCGAGGCAGTATGTTCTATAGTTAATGCCATAAGTCAAATGGTGGTTAGTGTTTTGCTGTTTATTGTGTCTTATGGTTAAGCACATATGCTTGTGCCATGGACTAGAATTCAGTGCTCAACCTGTTCCAATTTTATTGGCTGCAGGTTCTTTCGTGGCTTCTTGGTGGACGCATGAATCCAAGGTGGAACCTGATCTTCATAGAGCAGAGAGAACTCCATAGTCCAGAACAATGTGGTCGCTTGCTTGTTGGCACCCATCTCTAAACCCTCGTATGCTTACCATCCGTCAGATTTAATCGCCATAGGCAGAATACTCTTCCTGACTTCCCATAGTCCAGTCCAGTCGCAATATAGGTGTACACTGTACTGTTTTACCTGCTCATGGTAGAATGTCCGTTTTATGTCGATCAGTCAAGTAGAGTCTGGTCACCAGAATCCCCGTCTTAATAGAACGTCTGTTTTAAAAGTCAGTCAAGAAGAGAGTCTGGTCACCAGAGTCCGTTTCTTGATCCTGCTCGTTGTACAATACAATGACGTCTCAATGTGAATTCTGGATCCTATGCTACTACAATGATGATATGCCTCACTGAATTCTGGATCTGCTGCTGCTCGGTTATACAATCTCGGTGTTTTAGGTCCCGTTATTCTCTCCAACAACAAGAGTTGAATGAAGATTAAGATTTTTATGGCACACATTTTATATAAAAGTTGCTCTAAAATATTATATTAATCTATTTTTCAAGTATGTAATAATTAAAACTCAATCAATCATATGTTAATATCACTTGTTTTGCGTAAAAACTTAATCTTCATCTTCATCTCCTCCAGTAGATTATCAGGAGAAAAGAACACAACATTGCTACCCAAACACCAAAAATTGCACCTGATGCGTGACCAAACGGCGTGCCCGGCCCGTTTGCATCGCGGCGGAACGCGTGATTGGCTTGCGAATCGCGCGCGGCAAGCAGCACGGAAAGGAGTGGATTCCGCGGCGGAAAAACGGTGCGGTTTCTGTTCTTCTCCCACTCCCCTCACCGTGTCGCGTTGGGCCCTCGTCTTCTTCTCCTCCTACGACTCGAACCGGCACCCGACGCGGCCGCGGCGCACGCAGCGCGACACGGTACACTGGGTTCGCTGCCGTGCCGTGCCCCACGCCGCATTCATTCGTTCGCTTCATCGCTCGTCTCTCACCTCCTTAGGGCTGTCAACGAGCCGAGCTCGAGCGAGCTCGTCTGCCTAAGCTCGAGCTCGACACAAGCTCGAGCCGAGCTCGAGCCAAGCCTATTGCACCTTCGAGCTTTTAGGCAGCTCGATGCCGAGCTCGGCCATAAGTAGTATAATATATATTTTAATAATAATCTCTTGATAAGTATAATTATTTTCTAGTTAATCACACTAATAAAAGAGTAAAAAATGATTAAAATAAATATATTGTGCTAACACATGCTAATTTACTGTGTAAATAGATACATATATATATATATATATATATATTAGTTTATTATATTAATAAGGTGAACATGCAATATAGACTATACACAGCCAAGCTCGGTCAGGCTCGGTAGAAGCTCAAGCTCGGCTCGGTAAAGCTCGCGAGCTTTTACTCAAGCTCGAGTTCGGCTTGTTTGGAGCTCGAGCCGAGCTCAAATCAAGCCTAGGACGAGCCAAGCTCGAGCTGCTCGTGAGCCTCGAGCTTTTTTGACAGCCCTACACCTCCTCCCCTTTTTTTTCTCTCGTTTCGTTTCCAGTTTCCTTTCCCCTCCCAACCCGCCGCCGTTTCTTCAACTCCAAGGGAAGGGGGAAAGGCGACGCGACGCTTTCTTGGGCGCCGCGTCTCCCCTTCCCTTCCCTCACGAGTCTCGTCTACTGATTTGATTTGATCCTCGCGAGCGTTGCGGGGATTTTGATCCATCATCGATCTGGACGTTTTGGTTTTTTTTTTTTTGGGGGGGTGGGGGGGGAATTGTGGTGTTGGTTGGGGGGGATGGGGTTGCTGTTCGTGCAGCGACTGGACGGGAACGGGGTGTTCAAGTGCAGGCGATGCCGCGTCGACGCCGCGTCCAAGGACGCCATCATCTCCAAGGAGTTCCAGGGCAGCTCCGGCCGCGCCTACCTCTTCGATCATGTGTGCGTCCCCTTCCGATCCCCTGCTCTCTCTCTCTCCTTAATCTCTTCGCTGTGTTTGCGTCGTCGAGTGTGCCAGTTACGTGGATCAAAATGATCTGCTGTGGTTGTGGTTGGAGGCTGACCCGCTTCGGAATTCCTTGTGAATTAGGAGTCTCTGCGTTGCAATAGACGGGCCAAGATTTGGCAATGCTGCTCTGCAGTCCAAGAATTTTCAGTCGTTTGTTCATGATATCTGCTTTCCAGCGAGTTGAGTGTGTGATGGAGAAATGTTAACGATACAGTTTTTATCGTCGACAAAATTGACAATTGCTATGAAATATTATGTTCCTATCGATGTTATGGTACAAGAAACACTCGCATGGTTCAACGAATCAATCAGATGTAAATAAGCTGGAATGCCAATTCATTTAGAATACATTCAATTGCAGTAGTTTGTTTAATATGATACATCCCTTCTGTCATCAGTATGGACCTTTGTGTTGGCAGTTAATTAGCATACAAAATGTTGTATCTTGTATAATTGTTCTTTTCAGACGTTTTTCCGATCTTGCCAACATATTTGCTCGTCATACCATTGCATGATTTACTTGTCATTACCATTCAAAATACCTTTTTTTTTTTACTTCAATAACATGTAGCAATAACAGACAAAAACATGTCTTCAGGGTTCAGGCTATATTCTTTTGATTCATATACTCTTTTTCACATATGCTTATTATTTTGTTTACTTGTGACATTTCAGAGTGAACATATGCTTAGGCCCTAACGAGGATCGTTATCTTATAACTGGACTGCACACGGTGAATGACATCTACTGTAGCTGCTGCCAACAGATTCTTGGCTGGCGATATGTAAGTAAACATAAATTGTTTATCATGAATGTGCATTTTTCATATTCTCAATTGCATGATTGCCAGTAGATAAAATAGAATTGCTATTCAGTGAGAAACAGACGTAGTTAAGAAACTCATATACTGTTCAGCTAAGTGAACTCTGTTTCACCGTGTAGGCTTGATCAATTATTATTTCTCTTCTCATGTTATTGAAACATAGCCATCTCAGCTAGGTACATGGTTTAGCTGACATCTATGCTGAACATGTCAGCAACACTGTTGGTGTTCTTGCTCATAGCAATTCAACTTTCAGTTCCCTGTTCTTGTATATTGTTTCTATTTTTCAGAAGAAAATTTATGTGCATATTTGTAACGTCAGATCTTGCCATTGTATCAGTCAACATTGCAAATCACATATTTAATCCATGTGTAAATGTTTTTGCTTATCAGAACTGAATTTCTTTTTCTGCTAATTAGTTATTGTTACTCGTGGTCCTTCAACCCAACTTCTCTCCTTTTTTTTTTACCAAAACTTCACTCTTTCATTAGTGTTTCCAGAATACACGGTTCATCCATCCGAACTGAATAGTAGCTGTAGCAGACTAATACTCCGTATTTCCCTTCCATATAGTAGCTCTATGTCTATTTTCGTGTATCCATCTATGCTCGTTAAATCTGTTGACATACTTTCACTCCATTCCGTGGATAATACTCGCTTCAGTCATAAAAACATACTAACAAGTTAAACTTTCAAGTTTGAACATAGATATATTTTAAATCATTAAGATTGGATGCATGAAAAACCCTGAAAATAGTACATTGGATTTCATAAATAAATTGCAATAACAAATAGGGGTCAAAGCTGTGTTTTCAAGATCGTGTTAATATGCAAAACGACATGTTTTTATGACCATTGGGAGTAATGTTCAGGTTTTCAGTTTCGAACAGCTCACACATACTACATTCTATTGAATGCATTTATACAGTCGTGCACCTTATTCCGCCATAACCATTAGTAAAGCATTTTATTTGAATTAATGCATCCTAATTCCAGCGTGTTTTACCACAGGAGAAAGCCTACGACCAAAGCCAGAAATACAAGGAAGGGAAGTTCATTCTCGAAAGAGCAAGAATGTGGAAGGACAGCTAATGATGGTGGAATGCTTGTCAACAGCCAAACACGGAACTTGTATATGTTTTTTTTATCAGTTGCCAATATTAGTAGTCTAGACAAATTTGAAATCAATCTGCCATTTGATTGATGAACATTGAACTCAAAAGAAAGGTAGTTTGTACCGAATGTTATTTGACACATAATGATAGCATCTTGGTTTTCAGTTACCACCTGTTTATCTCATCTGTTACACGTTGATTATGTACACGACGATTCTGTTTTTTTTCTTTGTGCGGGGATACGGTGCAGTCGTTTTTACTTTGCAGATAAAATAATATTTTTTCGGTTTGTGTTGTACGAGTGATTCTACAGATATTCCGGTTTAGTTCGTTGAATGGGATAATGCGATCAGCTTTACTTTGCTGATAAAACAATTTTTTTTTGTTTTGTTTGTTGTACTAGTGATTCTATAGATATCCCGGTTTGGTTAGTTAAATAGGAGATTTATTGTTATCCCGTAAATCAAAGTCGAGTCAGGTACAAAGAAAAAAAAAAGTAAATCCAATCTGTAGTATTTGGAAAGAGAAAAAGCACGGGTCAATGGGAGTCGTATCTCTTTCAGTATCAACGGAGAGACCGGCAACTCGCCGATTCTTCCGATTCGATTCAGGTTTCGTGCATGCGGGCGCGTGCGCGTCCCCCCTATATAAGCGCCGCTGCACGCCTCCCCCCCGATTCGATATTTCGATCCCCTCCGCGGCGACACACCCACAAATCCAGGAAAAAAAAAATCCAGCCGCGATTCGATCTCCTCGCCGCCGCCGCCGCCGCCATGGATCGGGGCAAGCAGCCCGCCGCCAGCCCGCCGCCGCTGCAGCAGCAGCGCACCGCGTACCCCGCCAGCTTCGAGGCCTATTTCAGCGCGATGGGCCTCGGCGGCGCCTCGTCGTCGGGGCAGGAGCCGCAGACGCCGCGGCAGGCGCAGCTGCAGCAGAGGTACGCGACGCCGAACTCGCCGCTGATGCTGCCCCAGCCGCCGCCTTCGCAGGGTGGTGGTGGTGGTGGGCAGGGCGGCGTGCACCCGCTGATGCAGCAGCACCAGATGATGCTCGCCCAGATGCGCGCGACGCAGCTGCAGCAGCAGCAGCAGCAGCAGACGTCGAGCTACTGCGTGGGCGAGCAGGGCTCGTCGACCAACGGGTATTTCTGGCCGGTCGGCCACGGCGGCGTCTCTCCGGCGGAGGCGGCCGCCCACGAGCAGGGCTCGTCGGACTACGCCATGCTGCTGGCCGCCGATCGCCCCATGCCATTAGCCGCCGACCGCATCTTGCCATCGGCCGCCGACGGCAGTAGCAGCGACTACCTCTCGCGCTTCGCCAATGGCTACGCCAATAACGCCGCCGCCGCCGCCCCGGCCGCGCCCCGCCCGCCCGTGGCGCCGAGGCCGTGCACACTGAGAGCCAACGCGAGCCAGTATCAGCCCATCGGTGCCTCGTCCCGCTCCGCGGTGGCGTCGCCTTCGCCGCCGAGAACCAGACGGCACCCGTACCCTCATCCGGCCAACAACTACAACCCCAGCGCCGCCATCGCCGATTACCAAGAGCGCCTCGTCGTGATGAACGCGCTGCGCGCTAACCCCAAGGACCCTCTATGGAGGGGCGTGTCGCGGATTAGCCAGGGCCGGACGCCGGAGGAGATCCGGTCGGACATGCTCCGCGGCCCGATGCCGCTGCAGCTCGTGTTCTTCCAGGAGTCGGCGGCGCACGTGATCCGCCTTCTCGACGAGGGCGCCGAGACGGGCGTCGACCAGTACCGCCTGAGCGTGCTCGCCGCGATCAAGAGCGACGTGCACAGGGTCATGGAGGACAGGGAGGGGTGCCAGGTGTTCATGGCGCTGGTGCGCGCCTGCGCCGAGCAGGAGGACGAGATCCACGCCATCATCGCCGCCGCCGCCGCCGCCAGCGCGCCGCCCGTCGACGGCAACGGGAAGCACAAGACCACCCAGCTCTTGCGTGTCACCGGGCAGGATTACGGGTATCTTCTTCTGCCCCACCCAATCAATCTATCTATCTATTATTAACCCCATTGCATCAATTTCTCAAACAAAAAATGTTGAGATGTTTCATGGGTGCAGGGAGGCTTCTCTGAGGTCGCTGATCTTGGCGGCGGCGAGATACCCCGACCTGTGCAAGCTGCTCACCGACTGCCTCGTGTGCGAGCGCGTCATGGATCATGCCAAAGGGGATCGACTTCTTCACGACTGCTTCAGGGCGATGAACTACGAGGATTCCAAGGTAAACTGATCACAAACCAAACCATACGAGATTGAGATCGAATTGCTGGAATGTAAAACATTGCTAATTTCCCTTTTTTGGGGGGGCAGATTCTGATCAAGTTCGCGTGCTACCACGCCAACAAGATGCTCCTGGCGTCGTCGGGGTCCCGGTGCCTGGTGGAATGCTTCATGAACGCGAGGGGCGAGGAGCTGGAGCACCTCGAGCAGCTCATCCTCGCGAACGCCACCATGATCGCCAAGGGCCACTACAGCAACTACTTCATGCAGAAGGTGCTGGAGCACGGCAGCGAGGCGCTCAAGCGGGAGCTTGTGGCGCTCCTCATGGCCGACGTGGTGAGCCTCTCCCGGCAGCAGTTCGGCAGCTACGTCGTCGAGGCCTGCTTCCTCAAGGGCTCGTCGGACCTCAAGCGCATCGTGATCTCCACCTTCGTCAGCCTCACCAACGACCAGCTCGCCGACGTCGTGCAGTGCGGCTACGGCAACTACGTCATTCAGAAGCTGGTCGAAGCCTGCAAGGACGTAAGTTATACGGTCCCAAAAAAAATTCAATCCTAACAACGAACCTCCGTTTTATTAGTAGAAGATGCCGTTGATTTTTAGACACCCGTTTCGTGTTTCTCTAACTGTTGATAATGGGTAGGATTACCCGGAGGAGACGATACTGCTGGCGAGGAGAATCGAGAGGCTGCCGGGGGAAGTGCTGGACCGGATGAGCGCGAAGCAGGTGATGAAGGTCGTCAGGAGGCTGTTCCCCCGGCACCGCATCTACTAGGCGCATTGTTCTGTTTTGTTTTTTTGTAGCTGTCTGTCACGATTGTTAGTGACAATTTATACGAGTGTCTGTGATCAACTGTCGATGTAGCCACCCAAGGCGGGGAAATTAGGGAGAAATACCTCTAGGATTTTGTGTCGGTATTTGTGTGTTTGTTGAATTTAGCCTGTGTTTGTGATTGTTAGACCGAACTGTTGCTTAGGGGATTTTGGGGTCTGTGGCCTGAATTTGTATGTCAGTATTTGTCATCTTAATAAAGTTTTAGTGTACCGTGTGCTATGATTATTGTCAAGATGATACTTTGTTATGCAATATTTGGATATTATACGATGTTTGGCTAAAAATACGTGATGTGCTCTGATGCTGTGCAATAATCACTCAATGTATGTTGCCGCGTTGATCTTATAATACGTGTACTACCCTACTACGTCTTGGACAGTAAGACCTGAAAAGTTTAAAAGGTATGTTCCTCATGTGAAGAATGTGTGCGATGAATTCAAATTTTCCTCCATTATTTGTATTTGTCCTTTAGTTAAAATTGTCAATTTCATTATGAAAAACTCAATAGAAAAATGAAATGTAAAAATAGATGAATTCCTAGTTTTGATTCAAATTCTAAAAAAAGGTTGCCTGTTCAGCATTGGATAAAAAAGGGCAAGATACAAACAATTGACCATTTTATTTATTTTGAGTGTTCAAACCATTAACCATTTTCTTTATTATGAGTGTTCTGTATCAAATAAATTTGACATCAGCTATTTTTTGTTTAGAGTATTTTGATAGTAATACTAATATAGTTGTAGAAAGATTACCTTTAACTGTGTTGATGTTCTCACATTATTGGTTTATTATAGTGAATCAAAATTGGTTTACCTACTTCACAATGTGCTTTGGTATAATGTAAGTAATGGTGTATGCGTTATATGTGCATGTAATTGTAAAAAAAAATGTATTTACAAAACCGTATCGAACTATCAATGATCTATCGCAAGCAGATAAAAATGATGAATTTCACATATTTTAACCCTTATATTATTGCTTATTTTTTTCATATCTTTTTTCTACTATCACTATATCCCGTCTTTTTTATTAAGAGGGGTATTTCTAATACTCCCTCCGTCCCATAATATAAGGGATTTTGAGTTTTTACATGTAACGTTTGACCACTCGTCTTATTCAAATTTTTTTGAAATTATTATTTATTTTATTTGTGACTTACTATTATCTACAGTACTTTAAACACAACTTTTTATTTTTTATATTTGCAAAAAAAAACTGAATAAGACGAGTGGTCAAACGTTACAATCAAAAACTCAAAATCCCTTATATTGTGGAACGGAGGGAATCCCTTATATTGTGGGACGGAGGGAGTAGTAAACTTCTAAGATATTTGTAATATCCTAACCAGCTCCTAAATAATTAAGATTAACCTTGTAGTGTCCTTAGCCTTTCTCAGCACATATCAGATAAGTTCATGCACCAAAACAAACATTTTACAAATTTGTGCACTAGATTGCACCTACAATTTCGTGTGTTACCGATACAATTTAATAATAAAAAGGAAAAATCAAGAAAATCCCATTATCCGTAACAACTACTAAAAACAATAGTTACAGGAAACACAATTTTAGAGAACGAGGAAAACGACATGTTAGAGAGTAACTAAATGATTGGAAATGATTGTTACAAAAAACAAGTTTTAACAACGACCAACAACCGGTAGTTAAGATGCTGGATGAACTAGTTTTAGAGAACAATGACCAACGACCAGTAGTTTAAATCCTGGATCAACTATTAGAATCAGAAACGTAAAAACCAGCAAAATATCATTAGACCAATCCAAATGTCACAAGAATTAACAGTCCACGGATGATATAGCCAAGCATTTATATTAATCTATATGAATATTTGGAATTTACACAGGATCAGCAGCCTCTGCTTGGCCTCAAACTAAAATTTACATGTTAGTCCCCCAGAGGGAGGGGGCATAAGAACCATATCGAGGTTATTTATGGATTAGGATTATATGTCGACATACTTGACAACGAATAGTTGTAAGACGAACCCTTCTTATCTGATGCTCGGGAGACAGCAGCCAGGGGATCTGCAGAATAGAGCTTTGATCTGGAAGATGTGTGTGCACTCGTAACACTTGATCCAGGAGATACAGAGTCGGGCCTAGGTCTGCCGGAGGACAGTCCATAGTAGTCAGCCAAGCCACCATACCGAGTCTGAACAGGCGGTGTATTCAGGGTCTGATTCTTGATGCCAACGGGATGTTGGCTCAGTGGGCTCGGACTAATAGCCGGAATTATATTCTGGCTTGAAGCAGCTTGGTACAAATTTAATACTCCTGAGATACCCATGCTCTGGCTCGACATGAGCGGTCGACTGAGGGAATCAACCGAATGGATGTTTTGGCTTAAGGAATTTTGTGCTGCTTTACCTGGAACCCGTGATCGCATAGCTGACTGCACCTGCTGCTGTTGCTTCTCTTGCTTCTGAATCTTCTTACTTACTTCATGAGCTGCTTCAATAGCAGCACTAGCTGCTCGCTTTCTCTCCACACTTTTCTTCTCCAAATGTGCCAGCCGCTGTTTAACTATTTCCAAAATAGGTAGTTCTTCTAGCTTCTGGTCTTTGATGAACTTCTGCAATACTCCGAGCAGCATGCGCTCTTTTGCATCGGCTTCAGTCTGCAGTTCCGTTTTAAGATTTAACTAGCTTATACGGTTTTTAATGCCTAAAGTACCTAATGTGAAACTGCAGCATAAATGTACCTGACAAGCAGAATCATCTCCTCTGATGCGGATCATGTTCCCAGCTTTTGCAGCATCACTGATGTACGACCTCAGAACAGGCAATAAAGGATATTTTTCCACCAAATTAAGAGCTTGAATGAATTTAACCGCCTCCAGCTGTTTGCCTTTCTTTATCATTGTATGAATGAAAACTGGTGGAAAGAGAGTTTTCATGTTAATGTTCACACATACGGACATACCTCAAAGAACAAAAAAACATTAAATGTAGAGCAGAAAACATCATGCCATGGATGATGGACTTATAGAACAGAAAGCTACCATGGATCACGACAGAATAGGGTGGGGGTGAACAAATTGACAGATACATGAGCCAAAAAATAAAAAGCACCAGATATATTGAAAAATATTATTCATCGACGTTGCTAAAAGGTACAAAGCACTCATGAACATTATTTGATGTTGAAAAGAGCTTTCTAAGATCCATTATCTCCTGAAAAGGAATCCAAAATCTGCATAAACTACAACGTACTTACATAAGCTGCAATAAATAATGATAACATAACAGGATGGAAATAAGAAAGCTGCAAATCCCTCTAAGAATGCAGATCTAGATGCTGAACGGATAACAACTTATAAAAAACCTTTGTAAATTTCAAAAATAAATAATATACCGTAGGGGATCCCCCTACTGTTTCACGATCAAGAAAATAGCACAGGAAAGATTGCTAAAAGCCTAAATAGGCAGTACTCCCTCTGTGCATGATTCTTCTACATATAACCTTTTTGTATTTTTCCAGAACTGATCTACATACTCGCTTGCCATTTCTCATTTTTGCCGCTGCGTCAGATTGGTTTGCGGCCGTAGGGATCATTTCTCGCACGGCCCGAGCCCACAAGCATGCATGCATGCAAGCAGACTTCGCGACATAAACCAATTTGCATGAGTGCAAATTCACACCAATATGCAAATTCACTGATGGAGTGATGGGTCCAGGCATGCAACGCGGGCCATCATGCAAATCCAGTCAGTGGCGAGCAAGCGACGCAGCGCAAAGACCGCAAGACACAACCAAAACGAATCGACACGGGGGCTAACTCGATGCGGATGGTGAGAAGATTAATTGAGTTAGGCTACGACTTAACCAAGCCTTGGTCTCAATGCCCAAGCCAGAAACGCAGATGAATCATGGAAGGAGGAAAGCATTTGGCAGCAGCTGACAAGTTATGAGAAGAGAAATGACTGCACGCTTGTACATACCAACAAGGTCATAACCTCAGAAATTGTAGTGACAATATGGCTGGTTGCCAATCAGGCCCGAAAGATGGTATTTTCACAAAGGTATCATCACAGGTCACACGGTGCAGTCTTAAACACAAACTATTCAATGATTCATTGAATTGAAGTGCATCAAGAAGACTAAAAAACTAGCAGTGCAATTAGAGAACAGTATTTAACAAAGAAAAAAAAGAGACTTAGTTAATGGAGATATATAACATGGAGTCATGGACATGGAAATTGCAGAATGGCAGCATGGCAGAGAAATGCCAATCAGTGCCAAAAGATTATATTTTGTGAAACATTTATCATCATTGTCCACATAATTCATAAAATCCATGTATACCATAAAACCAGATGACAGGATAACATACTCATCATGGAGCATTCCACTTTAAATTCACAAAAACGTGCTATAAAACTCGATGATAGAAGACAGCATACAATAGAATATAGACATAAGAGAAAAGTATAAACAACAAACTTGCTTTTTAAGGACACCACCATTCAAGTATCGGTCTTTCTAAAAGGCTGAGGAAAAAGCAATACAGACCTTTGAACTCCAAATGTCAATATGGCAATGAACCTAATCAGTACAGGGAAATGGTTTCACTGGATTGTTTTATCTAGATAGAAGGATATACAAGCACAGGGATATACAAGCACAGAAATAAATTATGTCATGAATTTAGGGCAAGTAAAGAAGAAGTGTCCCTAACGAAGTAACGAATCATGCAGTAGCAGCTCAAGAGTGGCGTGCTAATTCGGATGAATACACAAAACAAAGCAAAAACCATTACAAATACGTATCTGTGATGTTTCTCTAGTAATAGCAACTCAAGAGTGGCGTGCTAATTTTAAAAAAGTAGTTCCATTTAGCATCATTTGGATGAATACACAAAACAAAGCAAAAACCATTACAAAGACGTATTTGTGATGTTTCTCTAGTAAGAAAGATTTGTGTGGGAATTGTAATGGCATCTGGAAACAAGAGGTTTGACCAGAATATAAATAAAAGTGAAAGCAGCATCATTTCATCTTGCACATCAAAGAAGATGAGCATCTCCAAATTTAAGAACAAAGACAGCGATACAAAGGAAAGAACAAAGACAGATTGTCCCTAGCAAAATTGCAGCATCATAACTACAAGAACCGAATGGATGAGAATGTGTACTTAGTACTCATATGTTCGCATCGAACTCACAAACTGCTGGTCTGGGGATCTCCAAATATAAACAGAAGTGACGAAACCCAACATCAAAGAACATTGTGCGGAACCTACTGATCTAAAACTTAACAAGAGGAGTACGCTGGCTATACTTGCAGGGAAAAGTCCAATATACTGATAAAATAAATAGCATGAACATACCTCTATCAACTTTGATAGAGCAAATGTTGCACAAATAAAACTTAGTTGGGAGTACTGCAGTATTAAGGGTACTGAGACACCGTAACACTGCAAACCAGCGATCATCCTAAACCAGTTAGGAGGTGAGTAAATGATGACCATGACTGAACATTTCTTCACATAAGTTCTATATAAGACCACAGTAAAATCAACAATTTTGTAAACCGAAAAATTTGTTAACCGAGTGAATCTTACCTGGCATGTGCTTCTCAAGATCGAGCCCAAGGCCGACGAAAGCCTCAACGGCGCGCTCCCGGCCAGACACCGACACGACCAGATCGAGCACCTCGCTCGCGTCGCCGACATCATCCACCAACCCAAACGCCCCCACGAGGAGCAGGAAGGCGATCGTCTCCTTCTTAAGCACGGCCTGCGGCCCGATCCGCTTGCTCCGCTTCCAGTCGGCCGCGATAGCCCTGGCCTCGTCGCGCGCCTCCGGCGAGGGCTTCACGCCGAGCGCGCGCAGCCGGTCGAGCAGGTCGACGAGCAGGCGGCACGCCACCTTGGCCGCACCTTCCGTAGGCGGCGCGCGGCAGAAGCCCGCCGCCGCGGAGAGCACCAGGCGCCCCGGGTCGGGGGCCACCAGGAGGGCGGCGTCGAGGGCCGGCAGGGACGAGTCCTGCAGCGCGTCCCTGTGCTCGGTGAGGTACGCGCGGAGGCCTGGCCCGTCCATGGCGGAGCACAGCAGGTCGAGCTCGGAGAAGCCCTCGAGGCGGGACGCGAGGGTTGAGTCGAGCGCGGTGGCGTCGGAGTAGAGAGCCCGCCATGCGGAGGTGAATGCGGAGAGCGCGGAGGAGTAGGTCTGGAGCGAGGCGAGCGCGGCGAGGACGGGGGCCGCGGCGGCGGCGGAGGAGGAGGGGGGCGTCTCGCCCTCAGCCATGGCTGCTGCGGTGGAAAGAGATATCTCAACCTTGTGAATTGGGGGCAAGTAGGGAGGTCCGGAGGTGGAAGATGACAGGAATACGTGGGCCTGAGGTCCGAGTCCGACCCGAGTTATTGTCCAAGGAATAAGTCTATTTTACACCCCTCATGCCCTCAACCTTAAAATAGGGTATGATGTACTCCAGTTTTTAAAGATAGGGGAGGCGTTATGAGAGACCATTCGACAGAAAGGGATACATGATAGACTTATTCATTGTCCAAGTCGGGTAGAAGCCTACTACTACTGTCCTAAGACATGAAGGCACAAATACATATAGCCCATAGCACCAAATTTGCACGGAATAAGTTCATCTGACATCCCTCAACTACTACTGTCCTAAGACATGAAGGCCCAAATACATATAGCCCATAGCACCAAATTTGCACGGAATAAGTTCATCTGACACCCCTCAACTTTGCGTCGAGTCTAT